AAGATAAAATGAACAATTAAGTTCACTTAAAGACTTCTTTTTCACGATTCAACCCAAATCGAGTTAAATAAACTCAAACACACCTTTCATCTTCATTTTCCCCCATCCTGTTCGGCACACCATCCCAAAGGTTTGCAAAAGGAACATGTACGAAGCAAAAGCTTGAAAAGCAACCTTTTGTCTTTCAAAAGTAGATCTTGTCTGAACCATCACTCAACATCTCAGATAGACAAGCAGTTCTCGCATATCTCACAACTCAAAGTGATGAAGATTGCAGGCTACAAGAAAAGCATCTCATAGAAAGTAGAAACCGACACATTGTCATGAATGGAGAAAAAAGTATGTGATGAATTTTATGGACAAATGAAACAGCAGCTGCTCGAAGTTATAGACAAGACAAACATGGATGACAAGACTCTCGAACAAAGGATTAACATCGTCTATGAGGAAGGCGAAACTGGAAGACAAACCAAATCGCCGTTGCACTCTTCTGGCAGGAAACAGACGATAGTTCTATACATGCAAATCAAAAAGGCAATTAGGCAAGCTACCGGCCGAACCACCCTCTAGGCGGCTGGAAATCCGAGTCGTTCATCAGCTTATCCAGGACGATGTTCAGGTCGACCGACTGCCCGTTCTCGGTGAGTTTCCGAACAGCCTCACGAACATGATCCCTCGGGAACCCCATGGTCGACACCTTGTCAATCACGTCATCAATCGGAACCCTGTTTCCAGAGCCTGAACCTGATCCAGCCCCACCAGCTGCTGACCTAGAGGGCGAACCCTGTGGCAGCACACGGGTAGTCGGAAGTTGAGGGTACCCAGTCCCACCGCCACCATGAGGAGGCATAGAGACAGATTGGAGTTGCAGCGGTTTCACCATCGTGCTGCCGCCTCCACTGTAAGGGTACATTTCCATGGATCCGGATTGAGGAGGATTGTACCCAGTAGAGGGAGGAGGAGTGCCGTAGTACTGCTGGGGTGGGAAGGGACCACCACCAGGTAGCTGAGATGGAGCTTGTCGTGGTGGATAGCTTTGAGTGGCGAGATAAGAGGCCTCGTCAGAGTGGTGGCCAGCTGGCTGTTGAGGTTGCTGTGGCATCTGGGGTTGTTGCTGCGGGTATTGTGGCGGAGCTGACTGATATAGTTGATGAGGAGGGGGAGCAGCGGCAACAGGAGATGGTTGCTGTGGTGGGGGCACCTGGTACTGTGGGTTCGGAGGTGGTTCGTGAGCATGGCCAGCAGGCACGTAGTATGGATCTCGTTGAGGGACTGAAGGAGGGGGTGTGAATTGGTTTGGAAGTGGAGTGACAGGGGGCAGACTTTGCGGCTGAGGGAGAGGGACGGTTGGAGGAGGTGGACCGGGCACAGAAGGGAGTGATTGTGGGAAGCTTGTTAATTGAGGAGGCGCATGTTGATGATGGGATTGTGGTGGGGCAGAGGCAGATGGTGCTTGTTGCTGCACAGCAGTTGCAGCCTGGCCGGTGTTTTGTGACTCTTGTTGATGCTGATTGACATTAGAGACGTGAAGGTTTTGAAGGTGAAGCTGTGACTCAAGTAGTTCTTGCTTATCCTTCACATCCCGTACTCCAGTTTGTACCTGCAGGAAAAAGGATCAATTGGGATCGTCATCGGCACCAAATAAATAGTGATTTACAAAGATGGACAACAACACCAACGTGACTATGTGACCAAGTGTCAAAACAAAAACAACTCACAAGATAAAACAGAGCAGGCACCTAATCTTTGGTTATTTTGTGTGACAAGACATGGTAAACTACATCATAAGAACTCATGAACAAACATAAGAAATCCGAGGCAATAAAAGCAAAAGGCAGCAATGATTTGCTATGCGCGAGGACCAAGAGTACTCTATATGTGGACTGAAAGCCTACCTCCCGGAGGATATTCTCCAGATGTCTCATCTTCCCATCAGTGCTTCCGTGATTGTTCCCCACAGAAACCTTCAAATCGTCAACAGAACTCTCGAGGTTGCGAGTTCTGCTCTCCAACTGGATCAGTCTGGAACTAACACCTTCTAAAATGATCAGCATGTTATCTGTGTGTCTCTTCATAGTTCTGTCTATCTCAGATAGTATCGCTGAATCAGAAACGGTTCGTTCCTTCTCCAAGTCATCTTTGGATGGTTCCATCGAATCAAGCGACCCATAGTGCTGTCGACAAAACAATGTACCACAACATCAACAATGCAATACAGACAACATACTATCGAGACCGAAAACACACACGAAACTGTATTAGAAATGCACAACCAAGAACTCCATTCCGCACACCTAATCAAACTAATACCTGATCCAACAGTTGGGATATATAGCTCAAGTCAGAAAGAAAGACAAGCATCAGGTCTAACATGCAAGTAGAAAGGAATCACTCATCAAGCTTAACCCCGAAACGGAATGGAAATAACAAGTGAAAAAACTTTCTATTTCCAAGTCTACATTGAGGCTTTACTCTAGCTCAACGAAATCCACAAGAACAAAACACTTCAATTGCTGCTCTGACACATAATCCACAGCCAAATCGTCACCAGCTAAAGCATAATAAAGCATCGTAAAAATTCCTATCTAAACAATGAACCCTATCAATGTGTTCGACACTATTCCATTGTCAAAACAACATGGCGAGCCCCAATTCCAGATCAGACAATAGGGCTAAACCAAAACTGAACTAAACCACAAAGAAGAGGGTTTGAATTTGAAGTACCCGGACAGGAGAATCGGCCACGGCGAAATTGACGGAACTGGACTTGCCGTCGACTGAACTCCAAGCCCTAGCACCAGCAGTGGAATCTCCTCTTCCTCCTCCCAATCCTCCAGCAACGGGGCGAATCGGGTGGAAATCGTAGCTGGGAACCATGACGTCCTCCTTCCTGGTACCGTTCCCAGCGTAATTGGCGTGCTGATCGTGTTCGTCGTCCCGCGGATGATGATTCATCAGATCGATGAAGTCCTTACCGCCGCCGGTGGAGTGGTGGGTGGGGGATGATGATAAGCCCTGGGGTTGGGGGGATGAGGTCAAATCCATAATCTGCTTGTCCATATACTGCGACGTATTCATCTGAGATAATCACGATGCCGAAGAGGAAGGGGATGGACCAAGGAAGGAGAGAAGAATAATAAAGAATGACTTGGAAGAAGGTGAGAGAGAGAAGAAGAAATGGGATGGGAGCAAAGTCTGGGCTCCCCTGGTGTTGTTCGGCTCGTCAGTCGGCAGTCGGCACCCACACGCGTTGTTTTGTTTGTGGGTTTACCCTTTTGCATTCTTATACGCGAGCGCGACGGAACTACGGCCCATGGCCCATGGGGCAAAAACAAACAATGACGTGAAATTAACAAGGTTGTCGACAGCTGGGTCGAACTGCTGGTTGAACCATTTTGACCATGACCAAGTGAGTAAAAAAGGTCAAACCATATATTTATATTATATAATGTGCCTCTTTTTCATGTTTTTCTCTTCGACTAACCATATATTTGAAATTCTAAGTTGAACATTTGAATATTGATATTATATAAGTATGTGTGAATTTTAAATATATGTTGGGTCCAAGTATGATATGTCATTTTAATGTAAAGTTATATGTTATTATATAAGTATGTGTGAATTTTAAATATATGTTGGGTCCAAGTATGATATGTCATTTTAATGTAAAGTTAAATGCTATTACTCATATGTTAGATGAGATTTGATATTATTTATAAATGTATGAACAATATAATGACATTTTTCATATATCCAAGCTAAAATGGTCACCGAACCATTAACCCTCAACTCACTTACTCGACCAGGTCAACAGGCTAAATTGGGATGTCATGACATCCTTGGTTTTAACCATTATGGCTATTATGGCATAACATTTTAGTGTTTTAGAACTGTTAAATTGTTTTTGCTTGCACTTAGTGGCGGAGGGAGATGGATAGGAGTGGGGTCCTAGGACCCACTTGGATAAATTAAAAATGGCTACATATATGCATGTTCTTGTTTAATTTTGGTAGTTTCGGAATTGAGGACCCCATTTGTATAAAATTTTATTGTCATAGTATTATGAAACACACAAATCAACTAGCATGTATTGATTAGATACAATTGAAAATTCTCAATTTTATAAATCTTAATTAAAAAAAATTGAATTCTACTAAATATGTAAAAAAAATCCTAGCTATATCTAATAAGCCCTTAATTCAACAAATTTTCTATTAATATACAATTTCTTTGTCATCAAATGTACTTTAAAATATGTTTGTGGCTTGGGAGCTATTTATTTAGATGTATCGAAATGTCACTTTTCAACTATGAGTTACACAAAATGTAAGATACAAATCTAATAATTGATAATCTAACGAATGACTGTTTGACTGAATTTTGAAGTGAATTTACTTCATAATTGAATAAAATGTCTTAGAATTTTTTATACTAGAACCCCACTAAACCCGAATCTTACTTACGCCACTGCTTGCACTCAACAGTTGTAGGTTATAGAATACATGTTCCAAACTCTGGTAGTGTGTCTTATTTTCAATGAGGGATAGTAACAAAATTTATTTCTTATATGTATATACAAACTTGTTTCATAGTAATTGACTTATTGATTCACTTAAAATCAGTTTAAAAAACCTAGAAGAGCTTTTTTAGTTTGACACAATAGTGAACTTTTGGATACCAATAAACTTTTCACTCTATCGACACATGAATACATCGCTCATTGTCATCAAAGTATGCATTGAGATTGTCCATATCGGTGTATCAACTTACTCAAATTAGTAATGAGAAAATCAAACAAACTATCTAATTATGTAGCTTTAAATAGATATGAAGAAATTACGTTGTTTTCTGAAAACGAGAGTTAAAGTTCACTAAAATAGCCAAAATATTGATTTGATTTGGATCAAGTATGGATCAAATGAGTCATTCGAACCACTAAATCAAGATCTATATACGGCTTTTATTATTACTCTCAAAGTTGACATGCTAATATTTTATCATATATAGACGGAAAAATTAGTAACAAAAAATCGAGGAAAATCCATACTCATGCTGAAAATTTTCATGATTTCAATTACAAGTCTCTTAAAATTGAATTTAGTGACTAATTTGTTTGGGACCTCAGCCTCTATAGCCCATGCGATTATGAAAACCATTACGATTAAAATTAATTAAAAGGTCTCAATTCTCAAGTCATCATTTCTTACATTCTCAATCACACTGACAAATAAAAATTAACACGCAATCCAATCTCAGGCATCCATTGCCATTTGAGATATAAATCAAAACGCGAATTCAACCTGTGAAACACCCGACGAATCCGAGGACCATGGAACTTCGACGGTAACCAAGCAACCATCGTACTTGAACTCAACCTCCCCACCATCCACCTTGCAACCCGCCGGCTTCTCCGACGCAAACGCCACCATTTCTCCGGCACCCTTAACACCAATTTCCACCGATTCGTCCCGGTAATCCACCGACCGGATCGCCCCGCCGGAGTTGAGCATGTTCACAAGGCCCATAGGCGCAAATTGGACCGACTTCCCGGCCAATACGGTCACCGGCGACACCGTGATCAGCTCAAACTCGAACGGCTCCAGCGAGACCTCGATGTTGTCCGTGGGCTTGGACATGACGAGCTTCTGGGCCTTCGACATGTACATGGCGAATACCTGGACTCCTTCGATGGAGATTGGGCTTTTCCCGCTGGCCCATTCAATGTCCTTTGGGTTGGTTTGGGCCGTCAACTTGTGAGAGAATTCTGAGAAGCATTGGTTTCGTCTCGTCTCTCTGGACCACCCTCCGCCTTGACAGTTGAACGCCCCAATAACCCCAGTAAACTGTAAGGAAATCAAATAATTACTTTTCATATTTAAATGGGCTTTACCCGGCCCAATCTAAAAAAGCTAGGCATTTCAACGCACCTTGTTCAAGTTCCAAATCTTGAGCATGGTTTTTCCATCATGGAGGGGATCCTCAAAGAGGCAGTCCCTAGTGGGGAGAGCATAGTACTCGCACCGGAGGATCGAACCGTCCGGCATCGCCAACCGCTTCAACAACGGGAAATTGTGGTTGCCCACGGTGTCGCTGATGTAGATTGGTCCACCGGAGATGGCACGAGAGGCCGCGTGGAACTCGGCACAAGGGTGTGTCGACTGGAACATGTCCCAATCCGGGTGGATGAAATTGCCCATCCACAAACTGTTGTATGCACAATGAACCATGTGACATCCTTGCAGCCAGAACGTGCCGTTCGGGTCGCCTGAAGGATCCGTGCACCAGAAATCGTCACCTGGAACCGGCCCAAAGCCCAACAACACCGCCATTTAGCCCAAACTTTCAAGCCCAATCCAGCCCAATAGGTAGAAGTCCAAACAAGTAGGGTAGAGGAGGTGTAAAGCGAAAACTTACCAACACGTCCAAGAGCGATGGCTTCTGTTCCAAGGAACATGAAATCGTTGCAATGCTCCATGCTCGCAATTACTCCGTTGCCTTTGAAGTGCTTCTTCACTGAAGCGGTCAATGCCTTGAAATACGCCTTAGCCAGGTCAACTCTCCCTCCGTAATTCTCACACAGCATTTCCAACAACTGCCACGTCCCTCACAACCATAAATTTTGTAGAATATAAAATTAATAGTTAAGTAGACAGCATCCAGTAATGGCTAGAACTTACATGGATGACGTCGACTTTAACGCCGTCGATTCCGGCCTTCTCGAGATGAGAGTGGATGCCATCGTACATCTGGTCCACAAGCTCCGGCGGGACCAACCCGATGCCGTTACTAACGATCTTATCCACGGCGAGATCCTCCATGGTCTTCTCCAGCCCGGGAGACAACTTGGGCCTGACAACGACGCTCTCCGGCAGGCCCGGAACATTGGGCCGGATCCCGCCCCAATACCCACACAGCGCGTGCCAAACATAGACGTAATCCACCGTCCCGAACTCATCCTTCAAGTCCCTCACAAACGCGCCCATGCCCTTTTCGGTAACTTCCGCCTTCCTGCTGGCGTAATCCCGGAACTTGTAGTTCTCCTGAAACTTGAGCAGCCGGCACGGCATCTGCTCCCCGGCGACAGTGTGGTTCATCCCTTCCTTCGTCACCGGATCCTCGTCGTGGCTGATCGACTGCCACCCGTCGTCGATCAGGACTAGCCCCGGCGGGCACCCGCCGTCGGCGAGCCCCTTGACGCCGTCCCAGATCCCCTGAGGGTTCACCGTAAGGTAGAATGCGTCCCACGTGCACCACCCGAATTTGTCCACGATCCCCGGTGGGTCCTTCTCGTCGAGCAGCTTGAAAGTACCGAGGTGGGCCCGGACGACTCCCATTCCTTCTTTCACGAGGGTAAAAGGGTCATTCCCCGCGTGAACGTACACCACGCTGTGGAAGGACGAGGCCTTGACTTTCGTTGACCCGCTCTCCACGCAGACGTCCACGTCGTCGTTTTGCCCCGGCTGGAGGGAAGCCCGAAACTGCCCTTCCAGAATTGGGACGATTAACACGTAGGGCCCACCGCCAGTCGGTGACGTGTCGAGAAGGAGGAGTTGGGTCTCGTGTTCGAGGTCGCGGCCGTTGGATCCAACCCAGTGGGTGGTCCACCAGACTTTGAAACGGAAGATGCTCATGAACCGCAAGTTCTTGAGCTTTCCGATGGGCGACACGTGGCGGTGGTCGGGTTCTGCGCCGTTGAATCCGAGGAAGGCGCCGGATTTGTCGGCTGAGGCGGTGAGGGTGATGTTGGCCGGGACGTCGGTGAGGAAGGCGTGGCCGTTGGATTTGAGATTGGATCCATCTAGGGAGATGGCGCCGGGGGCCGGCGGGGAAGGGTTGAGCAGCTGGTTGGCGTGGGATTCCATCAGGTCGTTGATTTTGGCACTGAGTTTGGGCGCGCTTGGAGCCATTGATGCTGGGGGAGGAATCTGAGAAGAAGGTACGGGGAGATGGATTCAATTGGAGAGGAAGAGAGTGTAGTGGGGAAATGGGGAGTGATGGCAGAGGGAGAAAAGGGGGTTGAGAGTCGGTTTCTGGGGGATGTATTCTAGAAGTAAAGAGAAGCAACGAGAAGGCTGGGAATTTTATTCTCTGTGTTTTTTGTGTGTGTGTGTTTGGTTGAAGGTATTCGATTCTCTGTGTCTAATGGAATGAAGGGATTGTGTTTGTGGTTAAGCCTAATGTAATGAAATGGGTTCTCCTTTTGTACTTACTTACAGTTGGAGTGAAAACTGGCCAATACTTATATATAGGGACTGAGTCACTGAGCTTCGTTCACTTTTGATTTAATTATAGGGTAATTAGTAATGAAAGGGAAAGTTAGAGTAGGACGGTGGCATTGGTTTGGAAAACCAACCGACATGACATGATTTAAATATTATCAGAGAAGTATCTGGGTCGATTACTGGTCGTTTTTCTCGTTGATTTTACTTGAAATGTGTGGTGATGAAGAGTCTTTGCCTTTTTCCTTTATCAGGAAAACTATTTTTCCTGTGGGAAGGGATGTGTTACTCACTGGAATGCTGAGTTTGCGAGTAGGGATGACAAGTTCGATTTTACTCATTTTATACGATTTGCTTGGTTTGTTTTTGGGCGTGACTAATACTCGTTCCGTAGGTGGTGTTGGCTGGCTATAGCATATGGGTACTCTTCTCGATTTGATCTGACTGAACTCGTCCCCATTTTCAATTTGTTTCTGTCTAAATTACATTTAATTTTACTCAAATTACTTATGATATTACTTTTCTTTATCACTTATTTTAGTCATAATGAATAGGGGTGATAATCGGTTGGCGGTTATCCGGTTTGACCGATCACCGAACCGAAACCGGCGGTTATTCACCGAAACCGACAACCGAAAACTGCTGGCGGTGTCGGTGTCGGTTGGGGATTTCAGGCGAATTTGATAACCGGACACCGACGGTGATTAACCGACAATAACTCGGTCAACCGTAAATAACCGCGGAGAACCTCGTCGCCACAGGCATAACCCCTCTACCCTTGCTCGCTACCACCACCAGAGCTTTGCTCTGCCCCCAGCCCCCATCCAGATGCTTCTCAACCCTCAACCAGACTTCACCGCCCCACCTCCTCCTTCCAAGCTCGACCTCGTCGTCCCAATCTCCCTAATCCCGACCTCGACGCCCCAACCAGACACGCACCACCACCAAAATCACAACTCTCATCCAAAACCCTCTATGCATACAAATAGATCCAAATCCCTCCAGACATGCAACGAACCCTAACCCCCAAATCCCCAAATCCCTCCATACATGTAACGAACCCTAACCCCCAAATCCCCAGATGGAAGATTGAATCAACGACGACAAAAGAATCGGAGATTAAATTCGGGTAGGCTTCTGGTCGATCATCCTCCCGCCTTACTCATCCTCTCTTTGCATCGTTCGCCGTTTGGTTGTTCCTTCCTTTGCCTGTTTCCGCCGCATCGCCGCCCAACCTTCCTCATACTCGATCGGTGGACATCATGAAGAAGCTTCCGAGTAGGCAGAGAAGAAGCAAAAGATAAAAGATTGAAAGTTTTTTCATTTGATTTGTAGAGAAAAAGAAGATTGAGAAGAAGAAAAGAGAGGGGATTTTAGGTAGCAGAGTAAGAGATGGGGAACAGAGAAGACGGAAGAGAGAGGGGTGCAAATTTGGTATAGTTAAATATTAATTCCCCCTTCCCTTTTGTTTAAGGCTTGATATTGCGGTCTCTCGGTTACTTGTTCAACCGAACCGACTATCTGCGGTTGCGGTTGCGGTTAACCGATCAGAATAATCGGTGCGGTTGCGGTTGGTCATTTTGGCACTTTTCGATAACCGATTAACCGATAAATCGGTTCGGTTTAACCGCAACCGAACCGACTATCACCCCTAATAATGAACTTGTAAATATGTGAGAACCTCAATTTGTCAAATGATTTAACTACATTTATGATTTATTTCTTAATATTTTATCGAGAAACAAATACTGTGTAACGAGATATCCACTCCGGACACCTAGTGCCACTGGTGAAGGGACGTCCTGGCGGGCCCAATACCCACCGGCCCATACATTTCCGGACTTGATAACATGAACACGCGGGGTCCTCCAGATGGGGCCACGTCAGGGTGCTTCTCTAGCAAGTAATTAATCAGTGACTAAATACGATTACGAACGATCAATAAGAAAAAGCAGCCACGTTGAAACAAAATGCACTAACGGCTTCACAACGGCTCAACTAACAATTTCAGCCAATTAAAAACCACCACGTTTAGCAGATAAACGCGTTTTAGGAGACACTAGAGTGGTGGTTGTGAACTGGTCAACCGAGGAGGTTACTTCTATGAGAGAAAAAGCAACAGGTGGATTAGTGACTAGTGAGTAACGACTAACTAACCAACGGCGGGACAAGGCTGCATGGCACCTGGACAGTGGACACCATTGTCGCGCGGGAAGGACTCCCATTCAATTAATAACCGACAATCGGGATTAGGATAAGGTTATTTAATGTATCTGTTCATTGCGGAAAATTAGATTGCGATCGTCCTGCCGGCGAATTGAGGGCGTTGGGCTACGGAAGGTGTCTCCACTTTACTGACGCTTGGTAGTCTTGGCTCCGGTGGGAAACAGAAGAGTCAAGTCCGTTCAAACTGCTCTTAAAATCTTTTTTGACCGGGTTCTTTTTTGGTTTAGTTTGGTTAGTTTCTTACCTAATTTTACGGTGTCGTTGGTCGTAGATAGGACAGGACAGGACCCGTCTTGGACAGAAATTCGCCACGTGGTAATGTGTTCTGGGCTCAATTTTCATAACTGCCTCCATTCGGGTTGCAGTGGGCACCTCTGGCCCACCTACAGGCCCAGCCCATTTCATGAATTTACTGTAGACGAGTCCAAAATGTGATTTCCACATCAGTTGACCTACACTCCTACAGTGGTTAGTGAGTGTATTGGCTAAAATCAATAAATCATCCAATTAGTATCTGCATCAGTAGTACTGTAGATTTCAATCTTCATTTCTAGAGCTATCAATTAAACGGCCTTCTATACACAAATATACAAGGCATGACGATGGCGACCCAAAATAATGACAATCAAACAGAGCTCGTCTTGCACACTACTCACTACGTAAGAAAAGGAGAACATACAACAACACACGCAAAACCTAGGACGATTTGGATTCGGTACCCAATTGCCTGTAGAGACTCTAATTTAGAGCTCGCTCTCTCTCTCTCTCTCTCTCTCTCTCTCTTCAGTGTTACGTTAAGCTCCACTTTGTATACTTTCATCCTTCCGTATTATTGAGAGTTTAACACTAGTTTTGTTCAATTAACTTATCACCATGAGGATCAGGGATTGTCTGTTGCTTTATCGACTCTGAGCTCAGACTGCTGACAAAACGAAATGAAACTCGCCGAATGAGAACCAGAATATGGAGGCGCCAGCAAGCAATTTGAAAGTGATTCTTGATACTGCATAAATGAGTCATGGAAGATAAACCTTACCATATTGAGGAGTCGGAGGGCAGCGGGGCGTGTGAATTTCCTTGCAAAAAGGAAGCACGTTGAAGGTTTCCCTTTGCTGGTGCACCACTCTCGTCGGTATTCGGTCTCGTAGTAAATGTTATCAATATCCTGCAAATGCATCACCGTTAGTATGTCACTTCACTGGAGAAGGAATTCTTGCAGAAAGAAAACTGTGTAATGGTTTGATTTTACTAGTACCTTGATAGACTGTATCAGCATGGGAGTAGCATCAGAAAACTTGTAGGATACAGGATGCCATCCGCGGCGTTTGGGGTCTTTAGATGATGAAACGTCCCATGAAGTGTGAGTCAATGATCTTCGTGTTATTTCTTTCTCGAGGCCCTTTTGCTGATTTAAAAAGAGGAAGAACGATAGAGTGTTTCAACAATGTTGTATGATGGAGCAGGGGGGAAATCAGAGAGGGGGTTTGGTAAGTCAAAGAAAGCATACAGGATAATTGTTGAACTGTATGGACGATGGAATGAGAAAGTAACTTACAGCTAATAATGTTTGGACATAATGTTCATCAGGTATACAATTGTGCTCTTTAGATGGATCAGTAGGCTGCAATCACAGAAATTCGAAGAATATGGTGGATCAGAATGCATCAATCTCAACATTGCATGAAGCTGAATTTACAGCATGAGTATGAACAACATCGTATAAACTTAGTAGTACTTACAAAGGGTTGATCCCTCCAGAACTCAGGTAGCGATTTCCGCTGTATGTCAATAGCAGCAACAGTCAATCTCCAATTAAAAGAAATAGAGAATCAGACAGAGAATACAGCTAATGGCGAATTAAGAAACTTCCAAGCCGTTCAAGGGAATTCCATTTTTTATAAAATGAGGAAACAGATTCTGCACTTCGAGAATAAATGAACAAAGAACGCAAACAGACAAACTTACTCTGCAATGCTTTTGAAAAGCAGGAAAGACAGTACTGTCCTGCACTACAACCTCAGCATGCTTTCTTGTTAGAACAACCCACTACAAGAAGGAAACGAGAAAATAAAGATTAGGGAATCTGCACGACGATCACAAAATTGGATTTCACCTTGCAAGCTTTAACAGCCTTTTGTTAGCCACAGGAGTAATCATGCAAATAAAGTAGCTGACCACCTGAGATCCTTTCCTCCAGTTATCTACAGGGATCACTGGGTCCATCTTTGGATTGTAGCGACCTTCTTTTGTATCAGCAAAGCTGCATGCAGATTTTAGGTTAAACATTAGTGTTATGATCAGCAAAAGCCAGACATGCAGATGCAGTTCTGATGCTGCAGGAACTGTTCCCACTCTACAGCAAATACCAGTATGTGTTGTTAAGCAAGCACAAGCAGAGGTAAAAAGAAACGAGAGTAATAGCTAACAAAGAGAAATTCCCATAGGATTGCCGTGAAGCACTCAGACTATCCACCCCAACCACAATCCTTCATGGAAAACACAAGTGGCAAGAACCAGACTAGAATGCATCTTTACTCTTTGGTTCAGTGCCAACTTAAGCATGACTTTTTACACAGAAGCTAAAGGACTAACCTGTCTACAAAACTGGTTGATGTTGACATGATATAGTCATATGTGTAGCTGAAGTTGTAAAGAGGTATGCAGCTGAAAAAAGATCAAGCAACTGAAAGCTTGTTAGCCAATAGCAACCCATAAAAGTTAAGCTCGGACCACGGACAAAATAAGTCCTAATAACAATAAGACATGAAGAAATTCCCTGAGATGCTGAGTCACACACCTGTCTGAGAGGAAAACAAAGCGCTTGTTCGAAGGATCCTCAAGTGCATGTCGTAGTAATATACGCTCTGCCTCAATCATACTAGCTCCCCCCCAATCTACCTGGAATAAAAGTTCCTAAGCCAATGATATTCCACAAAGTGTAATCTTTTAAATCAAAGCCATAGCTTTGCCACAAGAATCAAGGCTGAGAAACATTTATTCAAGCAATGATATACTTGGTTCACAGGTTTCACAATGATTCATTATCTTCTACAGAGCTAATAGATAGACCAATGTGCACAAATGCAAGCACTCATAATTTAGAGGCAGTTTTTTTTGTAATGCTGTTCAAAATGTACATCATTGCAATGCCAAACCAAATGTTTGTGGTCGAAAAGCTACAACAATCGACAGAAGAAACAACAACCTGAATGCTATCGTTAAGTTGTCGATCCAGGAAATACTCCGACCTCGTCGTTGCCTCGTTGAATAGAAATCCAGGCCTGGAATGAACAAAAACTGAAAATCTCGACTCCTCGCCCTGCAAATAACACAAAAAATGCTTCATTCATTAGCACTCACTAGTCACTAGCCCTAAAAAAAGGTGCATAAACCAGTAGTTCCTGCATTATAAAAGATGAAACAAACTCTTAACGTATCAAAGCGATCGAGATTCTCAAATTCTCTCTTGAGCCCATATGAACAGCAATCAGACAATTAAGCATCACTCTGTAGCAATTCAGCACCATTACTCACACGCATGACACAGAACTCGAAATAGATCCTTTTACCTTGAAAAAGACATCCCAGACTACTTCGAGAGGGAGCCGATTCCGAGCGATGAACAGGAAGGCGATCTTCGGCGGCAGCTGCTCCTGCTGCTCGTGACGGAACCGCGCACTGAGCGCCATGATTTGACTGTTCTGAGTCTGCATCAGAACCAGACTGCACAAGCAGAACCCTAGCAGCACCATTGCAAACACTTTTCTCCTCCATTTGTAGTGAGACTTGAGCTGCTGCTGCGTCGCCGCCGCCGCCGCCGCCTTCCTCTGCTTCATCTATTCCTGCAATCCGAATCTCGCTTCCTATCAGTTCAATCCCTCCTCCACCATTTCCAAAACCTCAGAAGAAGCTTCAAAGGGGCGGATGAAATGATTCTCAGCTCGATCCAGCTGACAGTCGTGAGCCGGAGTTCGACACGGGCAGGGCGTGAAGGCTTCGCCGATTGGAGCTGCGGGGAGCAGTTGACGAATCACGAAAGTCACGGGATAGTCCCGGTGGAGATTTATGTTGAGAGGATGGATGGAGATCTCTCTGGAAGCTCTCTTAGAGATTTGGGTGGGAAGATATGAAGCGGAAACGATATGGGAAGGAAGAAAGTGGAAAGGGAAGGGAAGAGTTGAAGACTTGAAGTGCATCTGACTTCACCGGAATGGAGACTTTCCTTTTCCGTGTGACTGCTGCGCTGTCGTATCCTTCTAAATCAAGCCTAATACGGTGATTATCACTTTATCAGTATTTAACACTCAATTTTTAGTTTTTACTTTAAGAGCAAAATCTACCTAAAAATTATGCTTTTCTCGGTCTGCTTTATTTCCCTTGCGGCCAAATTATAACCATCAATTACCATTTTTATTACGGTTAATCATTTGGCGGACTAGATTGTTTGACCAACTATTTTAATATGATTCGTTTAACTCAATTTGTTTATTTGTTTTGTAATAATGAAGTAAGATATGAGAATCACGATCACCTTGCTACGTCTCGTTTTTATTCTCGACTCATTTCATTTGATTATACTCAATATCTACTTATATTTCTCTTCTTTTCAGTTTTCTTAAGTCTTGTTATTAACTTATTATCATCATCCTAATGAAACACCGACCAAGTGCAAAACTCAATCGTTTGACCGATATATTCAAATACTGAAACTATTTTTCCTTTTTATTATTACTTGTAAAGTGTTTTATCTTTGTTTTATCGTAAAATAAATTATAATGCTCCTTTTATACTAAATTACTAAGAACCAATATTAGGATGAGCATACACATTGCACTTCATACCCACATGAGTATTGCTTGGTCCTATCCCCTGGCCCTGAGTGCAAGCCAGATATCTTGTAAGCTAAAGTTTTTGTAAGACCAAACAAATTACAAGAAACAAGCAATTGTTTTCTTGTTGTGCACCATTATTGTTTTGAGGGAAACATAACAACTACTGCCCATTATTAACCCATGTGTTCAATAGCTAAAGATGATTCGTAGGATGTTTGCAAATACTGCAAAGGCAAATGCTATTGTTGGAAGCAGTTGTGTTTGATATTTTTCTTTGAATTGAAAGCAAAGCATCAACTAAATTTGGTAAATAACCATGGATATTGCCTATGTTTGGCCCGGCTTTTAGAAGTGCTTTTCGGCTTCAAAAGCTTAAGCAGGGCCAAACACCTCTAAAAGCTCGGCTTTTGAAAAGCCGAAAAGCGCTTTTGTATAACATAAAAGCAGAAGCTCCGATTTGGAGCTTCTGCGAAAAGCTGTTTTGAAAATACAAGATTATCCTTACCATATTTTAATTTTATTTCATAAAATATAATTTTCCTTCATTTATATCATTTTAAAAATAAAATAAATTATAAAATCATATTATTTAATATAAAAGAAATCTAACAAGATCCATTTTGACTACTTTTTATTGTTTCGAATTTTTATTTATATTTTATATTATAAGTCCTTTATAGTCATTTTACACAACCGCTCATATTAAAAAGCACTTCTAATAGTTTTACAGCCAAACACTAAACTGCTTTTTTTGAAAAGTACTTATCTAAAAGCTCCAGCCAGAAGCTGCTTCTGCAAAAGCTACAGCAGGGCCAAACTAAGCTATTGTCTGTCGCCATTCGCCAACCACATGTATGATGTATCTTGCTAATCATGCAACTCTCAGGTTGGGCCGGAAGGTCCAGTTACAAGGAAGCCACCGGAAAGCCCGTTTCCATTGGGCTTAATCCGCTTAGATTCACCGTCCCGTCGCCGCGGTGGCTGCCGACGGTTTAGCACCATAGTCGTGGGTAATTAGCATAAATGGTCACAAACCTTTGCACTTAGTACAAAACAGTCACAAACCTTTAATTTGTAATCATTTGATAACAAAACTTTTTTACTTCTAACAAAACAGTCACAAATTAAACAGTGTGACCATTTCATACCAGTTCAAACTTTTGTTACCGTGTCAAAGCAAATTAGACTTTTGGTGACCGCTTTGTACAAATTAAGTTCAAAAGTTTGAACGCTCAATCACCGTTACAATTCACTCTAGTTGTATGGTGGTTTTGTTAATGTATGTGAATGATATTATGTTGTTTAGGATGACAATGAGAGAATTCAATGGCTCACAAACGGGTTCCATACTGCTTTTTAGTTGAAAAAACTATGTCTACTTTCTTACTTTCTTGGTATAGAAATTGAAAGGTCAACTGAGGGCATTCTTATTCGGCAAAGCAAATATGTCGATGAACACATGACCTGACATCTTATATGTCGTTCAAGTGGTGAGTGTCATATACTTAACGAACAAACTACCCGACCTCATAACATGACAAACATTTAATTTGTAACGATTCGGTAACAAACATTTGCACTTAAAACAAAACGATCATAAATTAAATAACGGTGACCATTTTATACAATTTCAAAGTTTTGTTACCGTATTGTTACAAATTAAATGTTTGTGACCATTTTGTACTAAGTGCAAAGGTTTGTTACCATTTATGCTAATTACCCCCATAGTCGTCACAGAAAGTTTTACAGCACACGAGACCGCTTTGCTGCTCTCCAAATCACCGGTAAATCACCACAAAAAGGGAAAGGAGGACGTCGTTAGAGTCGTTGTCCCTACCTCATCCGAGCGCCCCGCAAAAGTAATCAGAATTCGCGTTTCTCTTCAACTTGAATTCGAATTCTTTTCAACATTTTTGGTTCGATTTTCAGTTGTTTAAGGGTGGTAGGGAGTGAAGATGGAAGAAACCCAGTTCTCAAAATCTCGAAACTTACACTGGGTCGTCCCAAAATCAAGTCTTTAGCTGTGAGGATGAGCTCGGGTACTTCTAATGGCGAACTTGGGGAACAGTCGAACGCACCGTCTCACTGAATGGTCATAGTATTGGCAAATAATAGTTGGGGAAACAGTTAAAAGCACTATTTAGTCCAATTCAACCTTTTGTTTCCAACATAGGAAGCATTATCAAATGTTCCAAATTGGTTGTCTCTTGGAAACATGAATAAATAAGCAACTACACAAGAAAAAAATCTAAAAACAAAAACATGACCGTTCTTTTGCAGCAAAAAATACATCACCATTCTTTTGCAACACAAGAAATTAAAAAGTTGTCTTCCGTCATCCGTTCACCCGTTTCAAGCATTCATTAGAAACATGAATAAATAAACTACTACATAAGGAAAAACTTAAAAACATGACAATTCTTTTGCAGCACAAAATACATCACCATGACAATTCTTTTGCAGCACAAAATACATCACCATCCTTTTGCAACACAAGAAAATAAAATGTTGTCTTCCGTCATCCATTCACTAGTTTCAAGCATTCATTTCTAGTTGCTTCGTCTTCCACACCATGATTATTGTCTCAAGGCCATCCACCAGCTCTGTAACCTCTTCATCTTTCTTCCTTTTTGAATATTTGATCTCTTCATCTTTCTTCTAAATCTCTTCATTATGATTTGCCACTTTCTCTTCCAACTCCTTTGTCCTTTCAACTACTATTTCCATTCTTTTTATCAGTTCTTCACTTGACTTTCAGGGCTACTCTTTCAACCTTATGTGTTGCAATCATCGCTTCTTTTCCCTTTGAAGTGATAGTCGTTTCTTCAAATATCTTAGAAAGTTGAGCATTAATTGATTGCAAAGCCTCGTTCTTGCCCCTCAACACATAAATTTCACTTTGTAAATTAGCTTCAACCTTGCCATTTACATCAGATAACTTGAGAAGCTTTTGAAAATCACGATCCTTAGTCGCAAGGAGACCCTCCGTATCAGTAAGTCATTCTCCCAACTTTGATGTTTTCTCTTCATTCTCAATAGAATTCTCTTTCCACTTTTTCAATTTCACCTCTCTAACCTTCTCTTTTTTTGCGGTCAGAGCAATCTCCAAAGCTTTTTTTTTTAATTTCTTCTCAGTTTCAATTTCCCAAATCAACATAGAAACTTGGGATTCCAATTTATGATTCTCCTAATTTGAGGCTAACTAAAAAATTGACAGACTCTCCATTGCAAGCTTTAATGCTTCACTGAGTTCTTCCTTCCCTGCTGATTCTAGTTTCAATGTCTTCTTAAGACAAGCAAGCTCCTCTTCCAAAGGAGGGATTGAAGATGTGTTTTCCCATTACTATCTAAATGGAAGGAATAAAAAGCAGATTTAGCAAAGAATTACTGTTATCTCGAACCCAAAATACTAGATTGAAAGAAAATTTCATACTCATTGTACAATCCTAAATTTCATGAATTGGAGGGTTAAAATTGTAACAGGCATACCTGTAGACGCTCAGAGCAGATGAAGAAGAGGATTCCAAGGAGGAGACTAGCCGAACGGTAGAGGAGATGACCAGACGGTAGAGGAGACTACGGTGAACTATGACAGACTGTTGATAGAGAAATTAGGTCGGCGAACGAGAGGTTGGGTATCTCGATTTTCTTTGGGTAATTTCTCTCTCTCCTAATTTATAAATAGTAGACTAGGACGTATAGATGTAAGATTCTTTTTTATATATAGATGATATAATTTTATTAAGGAAAAAAAGAAAAGGTTTACAAAAGCAGCACCAACACATGAATGAAAGAAATAAATGCTAAGCAATCAGATATCTTAGCTCTCAAAAGCGAGCATCATAACAATATGAGTCAAAAGACCCCATTAGCAGCCAAAAGAAAGCATATCATGAGCTTTTTTCTATCACTTGACACAAAAAACTGCAATTTCATTCCTATAATAAGCCTCCAAGAGTTGCTCATTATTGCTGATTTTTTTTTACAATTAAAAAAAAAAGATTATTGCTGATTCATTAGTCTATTTCTTACATTCTCCTAATTTAATTTGGAGTTTTGAACTCAACTTCTCGTGTGTGTATGTCTTGTAAAAAAAGATAAAACTTTTGGATTTCTTTTTCTAAGAGGAGAAATCCATCTCGTGAGTTGTGGTAAAAAAGCAAGTATTATAAATTGGACCCTTAAATTTTAATGGGATCAACCCTTAAATCCTACTTTGATTAATTTTAAGAATAATTGTGGATGATCATATCGCTATGAAACTTATTTTTGCTTCAGAAAGAGATTAATCAGAGTCAACCACACTTTCTTATGATATCACAATAACTCTCATCTACTCTAATTACATAGGGTATGAATGCACATTAAATTGAAAAGTGTATATAATTAGAGAGTGATAAATATATGTACTTATATTCAAGGCTTGAAGATCGAATAAGTTCATTGTTTGCTGAGTGGATGATTCTCTGCGGAGAAGATTTCTTCAATGCATTAAACCACCTATTGGTCAAACCAATTATGTTTTATGTAAAATCTTCTTATCCTTATACCTTATTATTTTCAATCTCCGAAATGGTTTGTTTTGTCATAGCATCCTACTATTGAATCAAGAATAGTGTTGATTTGCGTCAATCTATAAAAAGAATCTTTAAACGCTGCTTAATGCAATTTTTCAATTTCTGTTTTCAATTTTTATCTGTGAATATATAGACGAAAAAAGATAAGTTATGTTTTCATATGTTATTGTAGCAATAAGAGTTGACAACACAATGTAAAACCGTTGAAATAAGTGAAATCGTTTTAAGTTACTTCATTGCTCTTTTTTTTAGGATCGTATCAATTGTATGCATAATTTCATTATGTGTTAAATCTCACTAGACCTACTTTCTACATTTTTCCTCTCTAATTCAGAAAACACATCCCAAAAAACTTTTTGTCAATGTTATTCGCGTATCTTTTTGTCTCAATTTCTCATAACTCGTCATGTCAAACTATTTCTCATATTATTTTTCTAGTTTTGTCTTAGTATCAACGTTGATACTAAACGAGTATAAAAAAATAAATAAACATATTCGGGAACTTTTCATAGAAAGAGGTGCAACAACACGAGTTCTTTTAACCAAGGTTGTTAAACTTCTACAGATCGACTAGTCGAACTCGATATGAGTAGGTCTACAAAACGGTCTCCAAAAAATTAGTGGCTTGAGTCTTGATCGCTAGAAAGGGCGAGGGAAGGGAGGACGGGGGAGAGAAAAGAGGATAGTGGGAGGGTAACGGGGATTAGGTAAGTTTTTTTAACGAGAGGTGAGTTTCTAATATATACATGTAAAGAAAATTTCATTTCAATTATTAAAATTTTAAATTATTGTCTTATTTGCATATATATTTAGAAAATGTATAATATGGTTCAAACGAATTGGATCTCGATCAGACCATTAAATCTCAAACCACTTGATTGAATGGTTTAATGGCTTTAACCGGTTTGACAAACCTTTAAGTTTATGGACCGGCGTCGTTTCGCTGCCAAATTCCTAGACTCGAAAACCGTCGTCTGCTTGAGCCGTCCTCCCTTTTAAAAAGTCTCAGTGACGCCGGTGTCCTCGGCGAAGAAATGAAAGCGTGGTCGCCGGTGAAGAAGAAGACAACAACAACAGCAAATGGCGAACGTCAGAAAATTTCTCAATCCAATCAAGCAAACGATCTCCTTGTTCAGCTCTCGTCACCGTTCTCCAATCTCCCAATCCCGGCAGCTAGGTCAGTTCTCCTTTTCTCCCGCTTCTTCCTTTGAAACCCCAGTAAAATCCGTCGCCACGCTCTGCCTTGTTTGTGACGATTCATCGCCGATTGCTTCCTTTAGTTCATCGCGAATTCAAGTCTATGACGACATTGATAAAGCGACTCCAACCTTCAGTAACACAGCACAACAAGTTCTTACCGCTACGAACATTTGGTACTCTTAACTCAACAGGTGAACTCCAAATCCTCCACTTAATTCTTCAATTCCGCGCTCCTGCTAGTTTGGTGAATCCTTGAACACGAAATTGTGGTTTCAGTGAGGAGAGCGAGTCTAGCAATAGGCATAGCTGGTGGTGCTTCAATTGTAATCTGCTCAGTTACCTGTTCTCCTGCGGTTGCCTACGCGATGGATGGTGAGATTTGGTCTGCTTAATGCACAATTTCACATTAAGCATATGGCTGTGTACCGCTGACATTGTGTGTTTTTGGTAGGTGTAGACATTTTGATGGACGATGATAGAGAGCCCTTTGATGCCTCAGATAGGGATGAGTTTGCACACGCTGCTTGGATGGTGATTCGGAAGCTATGGCTGCCAGCTTTTTTCGTCCTTACGATAGTATCGAACTGGAATAATCCGATTGTGCTTTTCACCAAGGGCGTGCTTCTTCTCCTTGCTACGAGGCCCAGCCCCTTGACAGTTTACCTTTTCGTCGAACAGGTCTGCAAATTCATTAAGAGCTTGTTGCCACTGTGGATTTGTTTGTGTGAAACAAAGTTAGATTAGGGGTTTGAGCTAATTCCATTCACAAGATTTTGCCTTTGGAACCGGAGTTAGATCTTGATGGATAGTTGTGATTGGTTTCAGCTGTGTAACCAGTCCAAGCGCCAAGAACCTCACTCCTTTTGGACAAAGGTACATTCTGGAATATGATGATACAAGTTATACTAGTGCTTAGTGAACCAATGGAGTTGACCGGTTTAAGTAGTTTGCTGCTCTTAAAATGTTTTAATGGTTTGGATGCATCATGTGGCTGGTTTAATTAACATGTTTGAGTGTTTACTTCAGAGCCTTGTCATTTAGGAAATGAGGATGCTATAATACCAAATCTCTTCCATATATTATTGTTAAGCTGGTGATGAACACTCAAAAGTCAAAAGTGAGTGTTAATATATGTGCATTGAAACTTTAGAGGATGGTTTCTTATCATAAATTCATAATAGAAATGGTGCAAGTACTTGGAAGATGCACCGGTTATCTCTGCAATTGCCGAATTTCTCTACCTTGCTGATCTACTTCCATTATCTACTTCTATCTCCTTAATCTAGTCATTCAATCCTCTTAGCATTTTTTCTTTGCAATCAAGTGTCTGCATGTCTTTGTATTTGATTAAGAGTTACTTGCACCTCATAGAAACTATGGTGGCTTAGAGTGACTGATAATGTTTTAACTGTCAACAGTCCTTGTATGCGAAAAAGGTTGAAGTCCAAGACTACAAGTTCCTGTGTATTGCCGCAGTGGAAGTAAGGGACAGAAGGTTCACTCTGGTCGGGATCCTTGGAGGCTGGTGGGTTTTGCCATTGTCACGAGAAGCATTTTCAAGTTTTTGGGAGAGTGCTCTTTACTAATTAAGACGACACGGAATTTAGGTAAGCCACCTCTACATATTACACATCTATATACAACCTGTAACCATTTCATCTTTACAGTTATCAATCCCAGAACATCATACCACAACAGACAGACCGCTTTCCCTTCTTTTAGCGGTCAAGCATGTTGCATTCCTGAGTTGATCATGATTCTGTTCTTGCCAATTGCTAAGAAGACTGCTGAGTGTTGATACTTCCATAGCTTAACATAATGGATTGATGCTTTTTCCGTTAATTTGATTGAAGCAGGCGGTAATCTTCGTCACCATCAACATCTTGATCAGCTTTCGAGTCTGACTTATTGGTCGGAGGGAAGTAGATTAAGGTGACAGGGAGAGAACAGACGATGATCACGATCCCCATGAGAGATATGCTGGTTTGTGTCGTGAATCTGGACCCGGAAAACAACAGGAGTTGAGTCAACACGGCGCCCATCGTCCCTCCGCTGCCGGTCATTCCTGCTATCACCCCCATCGACCTGCAGCCGCCGCCGAGCAACGGCGACGGGAAGAAAATAACAACATTGTAAATTGCATTCTGTTGTTCGAGCTATCGTAAGGTGGGCTAGCTGCTAAACAAATAATTTGGGCTACGGGGTGGGCCTATGTGGATTCAAGAAACTTGGTGGGCCGACTTCTTTATGGGGCTCAACGAGCAACTTGGCTACGTCATCATCATATTCTGCATGTATGAAACGTGGCACGAAAGATAGCCATGCAAACAAGGCGACAACTACGTGGACTGAGGATCAACTCCAACCGCAGAAAGCAACCACCAAATTACCTTTCACCAGCGAAAGACATTCACCCTCTCACCGCAGTAAAAACAGTCAACAAAGGTAATGAAAGCCCTTCCTCTTTTTAACTTGCTTACCTCTTGGAGACAAAAGGCACGACGCCAAACACGAGCCCGGAGGCAGCCTGAACCACGACGGAAAAAGCACACATAACCGCCACCGATCCCCACAGCGTCGCCGCCCTCCCCAGCGCAAAGCAGATCCCTCCGGCCGCCGTCAGCGCGGCCCACAAGGCCCAGACCCTCCCTCTCTCTCCAAACCTCTTCCCCATAGCATCCGACGCCACTCCGCCCATCGGCCGGGCGAAAAAATTCGTCAGAGAAAATGCCGCGGCGATCGTACCAGCCGCCCGGAGATCCAACCCGAACCGATCGTAGAAGTAGCCCGCCACCACGTTGTCCGTCGTCAGCTCCGACCCGAAGGAACACGCGTACGCCAATCCCAAAATCCACCCTCTGTAATCCCCCAGCCCGTACCTCACCACAACGCCCCAAAACGACGCCGTTTCAGTTTCCGATCTAAATTTTGCCGATTCCGTCGTCAATGCACGGTCACGGCCGCGGCCGTAGACAAGGACGAGCGCCGCCATGACTAGTTGGAAGATTCCGGGGATTAAGAAGGAGAGCCGCCACGCGGCGGAGGAGGAGAGTTTCAGGGAGAGGAGGAGGGAGTGGATTTGGGGCATGAGGAATTGGGCGGCGGCGGCGCCGGTGTTTGCCCAGCCGGCGGAGACGCCGTTGGCGAGGCCGACCACTGAAGGAGAGAAGATGGAGGTCATCCAGTACTGATTCGCGACGAAGTTGCCGAGGGAGAGGCCGACGAGGAGCCGGACCACGAGGAAGGAGGCCGGGGAGGAGATGAGGGCGGCGGAGAGGACGGCGGGGGCTGTGAGGAAGGAGAGAGCGGCGGAAGCGGTGGCGGGGCCGAGGAGGTGGGATAAGGGTCCCATGGCGAAGCGGGAGAGGATGGAGCCGGCGAAGGAGGCGGTGGCGGCGGAGGAGAGGTCGGAGGGGGAGAGAGCGAGGTCGGCGCGGATTAAGGGGATGAGGGGCGGGATGGAGAAGGTGGAGACGAAGTTGGAGAAGAGGGATAGCCATGCGAGGTGGAAGGCTCGGATTTGCGGGGTGGAGACGGAGAATGGGTGGAATTCGGCGGATTTTCCTTCCTTGTCGGCGGCGCCGGCGGCCGGAAGGGAGGAGGTGGTGGAGGTTGGTCCTTCCATGATAGTGACTGGAGTGGAGGGCAACTTACAAGTGATCAGAGACCATGTAAACTTTTCGTTAGTATGCAGTTTCAAGTGGACTACAATGAGCTTCGCAGCCTTCTTTATTAATGGTTGTGTACGTGTATGGTAGGCTGGTGGTTACGTGACGGGACTAGGAGGATTGGTGGTTTTCCATGGCGGGCGAATGGGAAAAGAATGAAGAAAGTGGGAGAGTGGAGAGATGTGAAAGAGAGGAGAAAGCAACGGTAGTGATTATACATAGGTCATGAACTGTCGTCGTTTTACAGTAATAAGTTGCAACCATATGCTTCAGCAGGAAATGAACGGAAGAGTGTGTCCTACTACATGCATGCATTTCTCTAGATGAAGTTTACCTACTCACACGTATTAATCAAAGTATCTCCACACGTGAGAGTTTGTACATAGAGAAGCTAGGAGTTTCCTCTTTTACACTCCATGCTGAAGTCAGCTGGTTGTTTTTATATGTAGTTTTCGGTTTTCCTAATGTTCACACCAATTAGAGTTACCTAGGTGGAGGGAAAAAAAACAGGCTCTTCAAGAGATTAGAGCGGTCTTGTGTGTGGGGTTAGGTTCTTTGCGCAGCCAATGGTTTTTGGTATGCACGGGACCGAATATAATTTGATTAATAAGTTTTGAATATATAAACATGTCTTGCACAATATAAGGGTATAAGGAAAACGAACTAAAACTACAATTGAGTTGAAGCAAATGGATTATTTGGTATGATTATAGCTCTCATTTCTCTCTAGTTTTGGTTCGGTCAGGATCTCAACCAAATTGGTCGTTACCTGCACATAGAGGTGGCAATTGGATCGGATTCGTGGATCCATGGATCAAATGGATTGGTGGATTGATCCATGAATCCAAAAGACATCCAAGGCTTGGACCAAAATGTAAAATTTGAAAAGTTTTGGTACTAAAATGTCACAATGAAAAATTTTAGGTACCAAAATGTAATTTCCAATGATATTTTTCGTATAAAAATATAAATTTTAGGTACCAAAATGTAAAATATAAAAAATATAGGTACCAAATCGTAATTAGTCATTTGGATCCATGGATTGATCCATGAATCTACCAATCCAATTGGATTTGGATCAAATGGATTGGATTTAAATGGATTGGATTATGTGGATAATTTGGTGAATGGATTGAATTGGATTCATGGATTTGGATCCTAATTGCCACCTCTAGCTGCACATATTTATCTTTGTGTATATGTTAGGTGGATATCTAAGGAGTATAATTTAGTGATTACGTCACTGGTTTAATATGAATCTCCTATATTCGAATTTCGCTATGCTCGTAATTTTGTGATTAAAGTATAGTTTTACCTTATTCGTTATACACTAAATTTGAAATTTATCACTAAAATAAGTAAAATGGTGACTGCTGGGAGGATTCCCCACTAACAAAAAGCAATTTTGTGATTAAGCACAACAAGAGCTCATAGTAAATAATACTTTAATTTCTTTCTAACCTTTTTAAAAGAATGTTGGGAACCACATGAAAGGCATACTCTTTGTTGATTCTGGATCCACAGCCATACTCTGTTTATGGTTTGATTAGTCAAAGAATAACAAACCACAAACAAATATCATGGAATTTCCTGATAAAAAAGAAGAAGAAGACGAGGAAATATCTTGAAAATTTACCCAAAGAAAAATGCAGTCAATCAATCCACTTCACACACAATATTAAAAAGAGTCCAGCCAAGGAGGCAGAGTACATAGCGAAGCCCAGTAGCAAGCAAGTAAAGCATACCGATCGAAGTCTTCTTTCCATTTCATCAAACTTAAGAAGAAAAAAAAGTCGACGTCGTGGTCTCTCCACCACCATCACCACCAGCAAGAAACCATGGGGAATTGCCTGACCTCATGGTTCTCTTGCTTCCACTCTTCCAACATCACCCCCACCACTTTCACCTCCTCCGATGCCAATTACTCTTCCTCCACACCCCAACCCACAACCACCGCCGGCAGTACGGAGGCCGCCGGAAGCCAGCTATTATCCGGCGCCACCGCCTCCACCAGCGACGTAATCGACCCAGAGAGCGATCCCCTCTCGCCGCAGGTCAACGGAGGCCGGATTCTGGAGTCCCCGAGGTTGAAGGTGTTCGCCTTCAGCGATCTGAAGTCAACGACCAGGAACTTCAAATCCGACACACTGCTCGGGGAAGGCGGGTTCGGGAAGGTCTACAGAGGATGGGTCGACGAGAGGACTCTGGCGCCGTGTAAGCCTGGGACTGGCATCGCCGTCGCCATCAAGAAATTGAACGACGAAAGTATGCAGGGATTTGAGGAGTGGCAGGTACTAGTCTAGTCTACTCCCTACTTTTACTAATTCCTCCTTCCTCTGCTGATTTCAGTCTGCTAGTGATTGTTACTTGCTGGAAACTTTCAGTTCCAAGTACATTTAGACCAATAATTCATGAATATCGGACAAACTCATAACCGATTATCAGTCTGTTATGGTTTTCAATTTTCATTGTTTTGAGAATGGAATTTGATGGATTAGGCAGGAAGTAAAGCTTGGTGTGAAATGGGAATGGGTTCAACGATTGTGATATATGATGGGGGCCTACATGTTATTATTTTTCTGCCAAGCCGTGTGTGGACGGCCACATACACATTCCTGCCATTTGTTTGTTACAATAGAGATTTATAAAGTTTAATTACGGAAAGGATCATTGAACTTTAGGAGCACTAATAGGTCGATCACTCAATTTCTCATGTAGTTAAAGAGAATTCGTCAATGAAGTTTATACTAATTGACCTAATACTCCATCCACTTTTGCTTTATTTTTTTTATTCAAATTGTTATGATAAGATTGCTAACTCATCCACTTTTGCTTTATTTTACATTCTAGGTTCAAATTTTGAAATCAACTATTACCCTTATAAAAAAAAATTAGGAAGTATATTGAGTTTAATGAGCAAATGAATGAGGCATCACTAGATAGATATATTGGGTCGTTTGGATGTGGAAATTTTAAAACGTTGAAATTTGTCTGAATTTCCATGTTGTACAAAACCAAGGAATTGACTTGTGGAAATTGGAAAAAAATTCACGTTTGGATAGGGTTTAGTTTTGTGGGAATTGATGGTGTGGAATTTGGAAAAAGAAGTAAGAAAACGTGGTAATGTCAAATTACTAGGGGGAGGTGTAGTATTCTCAATTACCATGAATGTGGTAATTGAAGTCAATTTCCATGGTCCAATTTCCATACCATTTTTGCTCTCCCAAACATGGGTTTTTAACCCAATTACTGCATTATGTGGTAATTGGGTCCAATTACTGCATTACATTTCCACATCCAAACGACCTTTATAAAGAAGCTAAATAAGATGTACAACAACAAAAAAATTACATTATTCTCGTAAAACATTTTAAAGTTGAAAGTCCAATTTATTAGTAACCTAATAGTTCCATTCCTGTTTTTTATCCATAAGCATAATATTGATTCTTTCTTACTTTTTGTTTCATTTACGTTGTTCTTGTTTTTCTTTAATGTTTCTTCTTTCTTGGATTGTACAATGCAGTCAGAGATAAACTTTTTGGGCAGGCTATCGCATCCAAACTTGGTCAAGTTGTTGGGGTACTGTTGGGAGGATAAAGAACTGCTTCTCGTCTATGAATTCGTCCAAAAGGGAAGCCTGGAGAATCATCTCTTTCGAAGTAAGGGGGGAAAAGCTATAGCTAGATTGGTCATAAATTGCACACACATTTCCTCTTAACACTTTCTGGGCTTTTGAAGGGAATGCTATGGTTGAGCCATTGCCTTGGGATCTTAGACTCAAAATAGCTATTGGAGCAGCTCGCGGCCTAGCATTCTTACACGCATCTGATAAGCAGGTCATCTACCGTGACTTCAAGGCATCCAATATACTGCTCGACGGGGTTTGTCCTTGACTTGGTAGATCCAATTCCTTTATTCAGTTATTCATTCTCTTAACACTACTGATAACCTCAAATTTCAATCTCCAGAGCTACAATGCAAAAATTTCAGATTTCGGGTTGGCAAAGATAGGCCCTGCAGGTGGTGCATCTCACGTGACGACAAGAATCATGGGAACATACGGTTATGTTGCCCCCGAGTACATTGCCACAGGTACATTATAACAAGTATGAATCATCAGTCCGAAACCTCTGTCTGTGCTGAACGATGACTATTATGGTGTAGTGCTTGTTACATGTTTTAGGTCATTTGTACGTAAAGAGTGACGTGTACGGTTTTGGAGTGGTGTTGTTGGAGTTAATGACGGGGCTGAGAGCTATGGACAAGCACCGACCTAACGGGCAGCAGAACCTAGTGGATTGGCTGAGACCGACTCTGTCGCAGAAGAGGAAGCTGAAGAACATCATGGATGCTAGAATGGAAGGGCAATATTCCTCCAAGGCAATGTTGCAAGCTGCACAGGTTGCACTCAAATGCCTCGAGTCAGACCCCAAATCCCGCCCTTCCATGAAAGAGGTAGTGGATGATTTGGTGAAGATACAGGCGATCAAGGACAATCCAATGCCCTCTAAAAGGGGATCTGGTTCAGGCTCAGGCTCAGGTTCGGGTTCGAATCGTTCAACCAGTACTCATTGCCTCGGCGGCAGACCAGTGTTGAATCACCATTATCATACCCCTCTGCAATAAAAGGGGTGTCTGATGAATGGTGCAAGTTTGATAAATAGAGTTATGTTTGTTTGTACAAATTTGTTTGTTATATTCTTTTGGGAGGATCTTTGTTGTATTAGTTATGATATATATATTTGTTGACTGGAAATGATTATCATATATGTACTCATTTTTCTTGCAGTTATGGTTTCTTGCTGCTTATTCTTTGAACTTTTCATTTTGGGTAGAATTCTGACTTATGAGTGACTTCGCTTTTCTAATAATTGTTCTATGGCCACTAAGTGGAATGGAAAACTATGTTCCAAAGGGTAAATCAAAACATGATACTTATTCACGCTGATATATGAAAAGGAAAAGAACAACTGGAAACGTGCAGGACAAGAAAAGATAATACGAAGAAGTAATGTTGAACTAACCTCATTTATGCTTCAACGATGGAGATAGAGAGAGGAAGCATCACAGGAATGAGAACACGCTCTGGAACCCCATGAACGAATCTGCTTGTCCCGTCTGCACCGGCATTGCCAGACCACAACGCTGGCGTTTCGATCCACTGCTCGGAGACCATTCCTTCTGCTGCTCTTTCCTCTTGCTCCCACTGTTGCTATTACTACCCTTCATCATGGAAATATCAAACGATAACATTTCTCCACGAGGTGGACGATCTACTTTAGAGACTGGCAGACTCTTCGAAGGCAGACTCAGACCGGTAAATTTCCTGCCTGGACTTGGAGAGAATGCGTCCACTTTTACCTTCTGCCCTCCAGGATGGGAATCCGAAAGGACAACGTCACCCTTTCGGAAGCATTCTGGTCTCGGTCCAACCTCGGGCGGTTCAGAAACCGGTTCCAGAGACGGTTCATTCATCCAGCGCAGGGTTGAGGTCAGAAACGGGAACTCCTCAGCTTTCCTCCTTATGTGATCGAATATTGCTTCCCCGTTCAGAGCTTTCTCAGGTTCGGGAGCAATGCCACCACCGCTAGCACCTTCCCTGTCTTCGACAAAACTTCTTCCACCTTCAATGGTGGAACTATGGCTGTTGAGAATAATGTCTTCACCTTCCTGTTCTAACCAGCTGGGGTCTATGGTAAGATCTATGATGGAGTCTTCTTTAGCATCCAGCCTTCTGCCGAGCTCGAGTTCAGTCTCGTTAAGGCCCCTTTGTTGTTCTTCACTTTGGAGAAGAAAGGCTTCTGAAGTGTTGATGATAGGGAAGCTCTTGGCCTTTTCACGTATGTGGTCGAATATTGTTCTTTCTGACCAGTTGTTGTTGAACTTGTCGTTCTGGATTTCAACGACTGGTTCATCTTCTGCAGTTGGTTAGAGAGTAGAATAGAAATGGTTAATATAGGAAATAAAATAATGAAAAACCAAATTTCATGATGATTTGTAAATGGTTTTCTGTACATGCCATCGTACCATCTTCGATATCTTCATCTAGGAGCTTGAAACTGGGCCTGATGTACAGGAAGAAGCAGAGTAGTGGTCAGTGCAATATCAAAGATAGGCCAAAACAATGCCACGTCAGATATTTTTGCAGAACAAATTGCTCACATTGAATTGTCTTCAGCTGCTGCAGCGTTGGACGACATGCTTTCATCGTCGACTTCTATCGCACAGACTTCCTTGGACAGAGGAACGCAGGGAGGCTGCTTGTTTGGAGGTGGTCTGTTGTGGTTCTTACCAGTGGGTCGGCCTTCCTTCATCAGAATAAGCTTCTGATGGCAATCGAGACCAACTGCATGGAGTGAATGAAATTGGACCATAACGTTTCTGATTTATTCATCAGAGTTCAGAAGGGAATGTAATGAATGACAAAGTTACTTAACGATACTCTTCAAACATGAAATCAGCCTTGATGGTCAGCTTCTGCTGTTGGTTGGCCGACACGAGGATTGTAGCACTGTAAGGGCTGCAACGGGTAGAAAATACAAATCCACTAAGGATCAAGTGTAAAATATATGATATGATTGGCTTCCCGAGAGCAATTAGAATTGGTTCAGTTATTAGTTGGAGTAGTTGAGATAAGAGTATGGACGAAGTTGGCTCTAGAGTGCATACCTGGAGAACTCGTCCACTCTGCCGCAAAAACCCAAACAGAATGTTAGTATGGATGAACAGTTTTGCAGAAACAGTGGATATTAAGAACGCGAAAATGCATGTTGGGGCAAGTATGGGTTCTGTCAGAAATTAACTCCGGTTCTTTTTTGTGCTAATGTAGATTCACTGCATAAGCAAATAGCATCACCTTATTTTCTCGTGAAAGTGAATCTGGTTCTCTTCCTCCACACCAACAATCTGCAACAGTAAGAGACAAGTTAACAGATGATTGATCACATATTCATGAAGCAATGAATGGGATATTAGTCCTAGAAACAGACATATCAGCATAATACCCACCATATCAGCAAAATGTCGCTTGGATAATGCTGAAGATTGTGATAACCTGGTCAATGTGACTTTTATTTTAGACTTCCCTTGCCTTTGGCTATCAATTTCCTCTATACTCATATCGACTTTGGGAGGCAGTGAGAGTAGAGAATCCTTGATATGGTTCCCAAATGGGAACTTACGACATGTGATTATCTCAATTCGTCTGGGATCAGCTTCAGCTAATGCATCAAACGATTTGACACCCATGGAATGAAGAGCCTGTAGACCATCATGCGTGGAGAACATTGAGAACTGATAGATTTAGAGGTGAAAAGTTCTTTTTTTTTCCCTTCTAACAGAAGAATGAAATGTACCTTGGCCGTGACCATTCCAATGCCAGGTAATTGTTTCAGTAAGTAGGGACTGTCGTCCCAAAGTTTCTGATACAGTGATTTGGCCAGAAGGATAGTCTGCACTGCTCCTTTATAATTTCTCTTGAACAAGAAGTACTCTTTCATGCACTTTGCAATTCTACATCCGTTGGTGCAAACAGAATTCATATCCTAATGCATAATAAGCACCAGGTCTATCATTAGATCAACAAATTCTGAAGCATAATAATCAGATGAAGGTACACTATACTGAGTAAGAAACCTGGGATAGGGACAAGTCTCGGATTGCAGGATCCCCAGTCAAGCAGTCATTTGCCAAGATAAATATCTTCTCTTCTTTGGACTGAATGCGTTTCTTCCTTTTCCCTCTTTCATCATTCACATGAAAACGAAGCCTAGCACCTTTGTCAGCATTAATATCATTCAACACCTTCTTCTCATTGCGCCTGAGTTGTATCCCTTCATTTCCAAAAAAAAAAAAACATAACATGTTAGAAGGTACAATCTTATACGCTTATAGAATAATACCAGTAGGAGAGAATTGTTATGGTAGCATACATACAGGAAATTTCCTCAGCACGGCATACGACTTTTAGTGCATCTTCCAGACTGCAGTTGTCTGGAGTCAGCATAATGTGCTTCATTGTGTCGAATTTCAGGTAGTACTTGGTCATTAATCTCCCAGGCTCTATCCACAGGAAAACAGGATACAACTCACACTTCCCAAAAAGTGAAATAGGTACTTGTACAACAAGTATGTGGTACCTAGTGGTTTCAGAATGAAGCCATCATGATCTGTCGAGATCATTTGATAGCGTGATAACTCCTGAACTTTGTGGACACAAACATCTGGAATTTGATCATACTGGTCAGACTCAAGGACAGGGAACTAAAAATTCAACTTCAGAAAAAACTACCTTTGATATGCTTCTCAATAGATTCTCTATTAATGCCCCTGCTAACAGCATAATTCTCTGGGTTCTGAGCACAAGTTATCAAGTAAGCAAGCTGAAAGGACTATGCCTAAGTAATAACTGAAGAGGTTGAACTAGAAGTGCTTGCCTTTTTCATTCTAACATACAAGTAAGAGCATTTCATCCACTCAATTGCACGTGCTATATCTGAAACTGTCAGCTGAACTATCTCTGCTGTCAGATGCTCTGTCACGCATGGAAGCAACCTGAAAGAATAATTTGTACAGTAAAAATTCCCGTCAGGAATGCTCATTATTTAACTTCAGAAAAAGTAACAAGTTAACAAGCAGTTGTTGACGTACTGTGATTCCACCAATTCACATCCATTCAATAGATTTTCATACAGGTGGACCTGCAAGGAATTATTAACCCAATACAATGAAGAAAATCTTAAGCACACACACAAAACGCATTGGAGAGGGAAGAGGCAATAGGCTCACTGTTTCTCTTTTTGTCATGATTATGACTGTCCCTGTATCATCAAATGGTGGCCGACCCGCTCTTCCACACATCTAACAGCAATTCAATTTTTCTTTGTTGTGTATTGAGTGTTACAATTCAAGCGAATTGATTGCTGAAGTAATGCTCAAAAGGAGAACATACCTGTAGTACTGTGGATCGATCATACTCCATGTAGAGACCTTTTTCTTTGTTACTGGACCAAATAATAATATAAGATTGCTTAGAGTAAAGTAGTTCAGGTTTCTTTTTATATTTACTAACCTTAATTATGATAAAGCACTACTAATTATGATAAACAACTGGGATCATGTGCGTACTAATGCTGTGTCGACTTTATCACTACAGTATGTGCTGGCAAGTTTACTCCATGAGCAAGGGTATTTGTAGTGCACAGAACCTGAATATCACCCTTAAGAAAGAGACCTTCAACGAGACTGCGGTCCTTCATGCAGAGACCACCATTGTGATACCCAACTGTAGATTGAACCATAAGCAGCAGTCTTTGGAAGAAATAAAAATTAAACATAAAACTACCTAGTGCAGAGGACTAGAGTCATACTTCCATAGAGTATATAAGATTGCATCTGTTTGTCACTGAATGACATGGAAGCCTCTCTAAGTCTTTCCTTCTGTTCATGGTCTTTAATGAACGGATTAGAATAGCCGAAATTCATCACTGTTTGAGACAGTTGTTGTGCTGTTTCCTGTGCTCCCTTTCTTGTAGAACAGAAGATTAATGCAGACTTTCCTTTGGAGAATTGCATTAGGGTATCTGCATATATCAATGACAATCACAAACTTATACCTCAAGTAATCAATTCAGAACTTAGCCAGCGAGAAAATTATGCAAATGATATTAGTATAAGCTTTTTCAAGCAGCCCACTTACCAAAAATGTAATTTTGAAGGCGCTGTCAAAGAAGTAAAGGTAACAACAGAAGTCAGAAGTGGTCCACTATCTATATGCATTTGACTTCTCACACATAACCAAATAAAAAGGGAACATAAACTTCAAAGGCTGCACCGTTTATCCTTACGACCACTTGCCTTTTCAAAGAGAAAATCATTCTTTGCTGGGGTATATCCTGCAAACGGGATAGACGAACGATAAGAAAATAGCTCTTCCTGACGATCTGCACAAGTGATAATCTAACAAGTGCAAAGAGATAGTAATGCTTCATCCATGCAATAAATAAGTATACCAAAAACTTTAGTGGTCAGCTTTACAGGTCTCATTTCCTCTCCAAATCTGCCAACCAATTATATAAATTAATATAAATCTGTGACCAAAACAGAAGAAATAGGAAAATAGCAGCGTAGGGTACAACTACATATGCTTGGGAGAAACAAAGTACCTTTTGATTCCTTTGACAGGAACATTAAGCCATTCAGCTAGAAATGTCAATACGTAAGAAGTCAATATCAATTGGATACTGTTAAGTCTAGTCTCTTTAATAAGATTGATAGCAGATATTGTAACTTACCAAGGTCACCAATATTAGGAACTGTGGCCGAAACAGCTAAAAGACGGATAGTAGACAGAGGACTTGATCTCAGTTCAGGATTACTAGAAAGCATTTTAATTCTACTAACAATTGCCTCCAAAGCTGCTCCACGAGGATCATTCAATAGATGAACTTCATCAATAAGTAGAAGAGCTATGTCACTGAAAAAGCTCAAGCCTCCATTCTTTATGCGGTATCTAGTCACAGCATCAAATTTCTGTTCCAAGGAAATGGCACCAATCAGCTAGTAGACAAAAGCAACAACCAAAGTGCACAAAAGTTAATTATGTAGCTTGAAGAAAATCAGAACAGGAAACCTTGCAGACTCAAACAAGGTATGCCTATTCGGACCACAGTTAAGACCTAAGAAACATAAAGTCAAAGGACCCATTTGATTTCTGTTCGCAGACCTCTGGGGTGGTCAGAATAATATCTGCTTCTTGTATAGTCCTACTGTCATAAAATTCATTGTCCCCTGTCAGCTCCAAGCAAGCTATTCCCAGTGGTCCAAACTTGTTATTCCAGTCACGGACCTTCTCCTGTACGAGAGCCTTCGATGGTGCAATATAGACCTCCACTCACACAAGAAAATTATGCAGAAGAGTCAAATAATTATCAACCGCCAAAAGAAACTAAACTTCAAATCGAACACTCTCAACCTGAAACGAGAATATGGACTCATTACCATCTCTACTGAAATACTCACTTGTTCATCCATCAACATTTTACTGCATATAATCTGGAATAAGCGAACTAGACTCAGTTGAATCGGATGTTCTGAACTTACTGTTTTAAGGGTTCCCTTGACATGGATAAAGTTCTGCCCAGATATGAACCTGGAGAGAAGCCTCAGTATACAGAGTTCAAAAAGCACAGTTTTACCACTCCCAGTTGGTGCAGAGATGACCATGTTGACATCAGAATGGAAACAAACGGGGAAGCATTCACTCTGTAGTGGGTTGAAGTATCTGCAGGTGCACATGATTCATGACTAATTCCGAACAGTAACTGTAATTTTCACTAACAAACCATAGATTAAATTCCTGAAAGCTCTAGCTAACCAATAAAGAGTTATCGCTCTACCACTGCAGTACTAATTACGTCAAGCATACAATCACAAGAGGCTCTAAACTTGCCAGCAACAGTTTGCACATCACATTCACGTAGATTAACCTGATGAGAATGTACCTGAAAGTAAATATTGAACGGAAATGTGACGGCAAATCTGACACTGACTTGAGCGTATATGCATCCATTTCAGTCTCACTTCTCAAATGATGGAGAGATTAAACGATCAACCCTTCGAGATCAGCTGATCAGAGATGCCTGCAGAATGAGTTGTAAACGAACATAAGCGAAGAGAACAGTGAAATCATGCCAAGTAAATTCCGCACAGATGAGCACAGTAAAAATACATCGGACGCACTAATGAAACCTAATCCCGAAGAACAAAAATCAACGAGAAATCTACATGAGTTGAATTGAGCGATGAGAGTTGTTGCTCGGAGTTGCAAATAGGCTTCAGGCTGTTCAATTCTTGATGATGACACAATCGAAGAATGGAGAAACAGGAAAATTAATGGACGAAGCTACGCGCACGCAGGGAGATTTCATCCCCGTCGAAGCCTCGCATAATCGAGGACGGGTTAAGCAGAATTCAAAGTTATTTAAGTAAACGAAACCCTGAAGAATCTCCGGCTAGAACAGACGGCGAACTGTCTTCCCGGCGGAAGAATGAGATCAGGCGGGAGCCCGTTTCTCCAGCCAAAATTTAAAGTTTCTGTAATGTGAACTTCTCTAGTAACTCGTATGCTGAACCTGATTTGGAATCGCTTTGCAGTTCCAACTTTGAGTTCAAAATTTTCGTCTGGCAGAACCGGGAATGAACGGCGAGTTGGAAAACCTAATCTGAAATTCATTGAGAACTCTGTAGGAATTAACACTAACGGTAAGAGATCCAGCTCTGAGATGCAAATGCTTATCAGATAGGTTTGATTCCTGACGATAAACACAATCGAAGAAACGGGGAAACAGACAAACACTGCAGGAAGCTACCGCAGGAAGATTTCATCCCGCCGAAGGTTTACGCAATAGAGGACCGGAAAGCACAGACAAAATCACAACTCGAAATCAAAAAATCCAAACGTAACCTGAAGGAAGAATAACCTGCGACACACGGCTGACGGAAAATAATCCAGCGATCTGTCTCACCGGCGGAAGAAACGAGCTCAGGCGAGCGAGAGACCGATCTCCAGCAGAAATCTCGAGTTTCTGCGAATTGAAATGCTCTTAGAGGAACTCGTCTATGATTTTCAAATCGTCTCACTGTTCCGATTTTGAGCTCAAACTTTTTGTTTTCGCAAGGCGGGAAAGAATGGTGGCGAGTAAAAGACTGGAAAAGTGTGAACTGTGAAGTGAGGATGAAAATCTTCGCATATGCCTCATTTTATACTTCTGGTGTTATACTGGGAAATGACGTCACGCTACGGCTACTAAATTTTGCGGACACACCCCGGGCCGGGTGTAATGAGCTTTTCGGGACCATTGGACCTCTCCACTTTCAGCCCTAGGTTTGGGCTAAAAACATATTGAGAAAGCCCGGTATGATCGGATCCGCCACCATCCAAACGACGACGTGGCAAGCATTAGTATCACAGTCAAACTCGACAGTTGCCACTTTGCTTTACTACGTGGCAGCTCAAATTCCCGCCACGGCGGATCTCCAGAAGCAGCGACTACGGTCCACATTGCCATGGGCTTCATTTCACTTCTTCACCAACTCGGCTCTCCTGGAAAGCTCTCACTCCTTCCTCTCTGTCTTTGTCCATTTGCCGAATTGCATTTGCAGGAGAATTGAAAGGAACAATTACCCCTAAAGAAGACAGATCGACATGGCTGGTGGAGCGGGAAAGGTGGCACACTCTGCGTCTCTGCTTACAAGGGACCAAGCATAATCAAAGAGATCATCTACGGCATCTCCTTAGGGCTGGCTGCTGGAGGGTTGTGGAAGATGCACCACTGGAATAACCAGAGACGGACCAGGGAGTTCTACGATCTCCTGGAGAAAGGCGTCATCAGCGTTGTTGTCGAAGATGAATGACTAGGCTAGATGGTTGATACTTGATAGTCTAATTAGGGGTCCCGTTTGCAAGCCCAATAAATGGATGTCGGTTTCGATTTGGTGCTTCGTTTGTTAGTTTTTGTACTTTGTAAAGCTTATTAATGGTTGAAGATATGTGTCTATCTCTTTGGCTGGTGTAGTAGGGTAAGTGGCCCTTTTCTGGTTGATGGTAATGAAGATGGGGCTGTTTCAATCAATTCAGGACAGTTTAGAGGTGACGACAGACCGATTTGAACTTGTTCCGACCCAATTTTGATCAAATTTGGGTGTTAGGTTGATGCACATCTTCGTTGTTGGATCTATGCAGTTGTACGGTAGTATTTTGTAAATAACATCAACATGATCAAAGTCGTCTGCCACCTTGCTAGTTGCTAGGTAACATCACCAATAGGTCGTTGCACATCAAATGAATGTGCAGGATCATGTATTATTGCCCTGCCCACATGTGAATGAACAAAGATTTCTATTGACATATCACCACTGGCAATTATGGACTACACACTACAGCTGATTCTTTCTGCAAATTCCGCCCAAATCCAACAAACTATTGACATTTCTGCCGCCCACATTTATCACCCAACCAACCGGCCATAAAAAAACATCTAAAAGCTGGCCACCCGCCTGAGCAACCCCCTTTCCCCTTCCATCCATTTCTTCTTTCGGGTCCCTCTTTTCCAGAGTGACAAATGATTGATGAGTGAAAGATACAAGCTTGGAAAGGGACAACTTTTTCACTCCTCTATTAGTTCTTGACTCCTGGCTGGACCGGTGGTTATGCTGCTGAGCAGGCTGGAAGACTCTTTGGTGGATTGTCCATTTGATACTCCTGATACTGAACTGTATGTGCTTCGAGACCTGAAGGACGCATCAGGGTCCATCAAATCTGTACCCCTCATGAAAGGTGGTTGACTTGGAGCTGCGATCTCGCAGTCACGATTTGTCAGCATCTCGATAACTTGTCCCATGGATGGTCTTAAGGAGACTGAAGCTTGTGAGCACAGTAGGCCGATTCTAAGCACTTTTAGTGCTTCATCGGCTGGGAAATCACTGTCGAGGGATGGATCGACTGCTTCGATCAGTCTGTTCGTTCTGTAATAGAACCATACCTGAACATACAACATCACATTGAGCACAAAAACAAAGTCACAATCGTAAGAGTTTTCACGCTAGACTCCTGATAACGACGAGAACTAGCACTACTACTACATTAAAGTATGGCAGATGAAAGATTAATAAGAGGCCATACTGCTTGGAGGAGGGAGTTGGATTCGCCTATAACAGCATTGCACCTTTTCCCACTCACAATCTCCAGAACCAGGACTCCAAAGCTGTAAACATCGGCCTTCTCAGTGAGCTGCCCACGAACCAGATACTCAGGAGCCATGTACCCTCTGCAGCAAAACAAGTGGGAATTAAGTATCACTCTCCGAATGCAATGTTACAGGATACACAGTTAGATAAGAGAAAACTCACATGGTTCCAGCAATCCCAGTGCTGAGATGAGACTTATCAGCACCAAAATGCCGAACGAGCCCAAAATCCGCAATCTTGGCATTGAAATCCTCATCCAGAAGCACATTGCTGCTCTTGATATCCCTGTGTATGATCCTCACGGGAGATCCTCTTTCTCCATGAAGATAAGCCAGCCCTTCCGCCGCCCCAACTACTACGTTCAACCTCTGCTTCCAGCTCAAAGTCACCACCTTGCTGGTCTTCTCTACAATAAAACAGAAAATCCGAATCACCATTTCTGAAATCGTGGGTTAGAGAGTTCTTAAGTCTTTCTTTCTTACCGAATAGGAACTGGTCGAGGCTCTTGTTGGGAACATACTCGTAGACAAGCAGGCTTTCGGGTCCTTCAATGCTGCAACCCAGCAGCTTAACGAGGTTCTTGTGTTGGATTCCGCTGATCAAATTCACCTCGTTAAAGAACTCCTCCACCCATTGGCTTGTGTTGAAGATCAGCCGCTTCACTGCCACGGTTTGGTTATTGGGAAGAGATCCAATGAAAACTGTGCCAGCTCCTCCTTGGCCTAGCTTCTTCGACAGGTTGAAGTAATCAGTGGCTTTTTCTAAAGTTTCATACTTGAAGTTCATGCTTAACCTGTTGAAGCTTATCGATACCTTGCCCAGATTTCTGCGTGCTGTGACAATTTCTAGTAAGTGGGGGAGCTAAAAAAATGGAGTAGTTCTTCTGGTATTTGGAAATGGTCTTTGGTATGTACCTTGTTTAGCCTTTAGGCGTTTGAGATGGATAACATAAGCTGCCAAGAGTGTAAGCATGGCAAATGCTGCTGATGCTAACGCAATCGCCAGTATCACTCCCAAAGTTGAATCCCCTGAAAATTCAGAACAAAGCCGAGCTTAGTTTCTCGAAAAATTGTCGTAGCAACTCAAAATCTATGCTCAAATTTGCAATGAACCCTAATTAAAGATTCAAAATCGTTTCCCCCTTCTTCCCCTGTTCCTTCTCCGTCGCTTTCCCTCTGATTTCTCAGCAAACAAACAAAACCTAGAAAATTTTATAAATTTTTCAAAAACAAAGAGTCCGAAATTACCGTGACCATGCACTCTAACACCTCCTTCGCCGTAGAATTTATGATCGGAGTACTTCAAATAGCAACCGGCATTCAGCGCTCTCCCTTCCCTCCTCGGCAGACATCTTCCGACCACCACGGCGGCGGCTTTACCCAAACACTCCCGGCAACCATCTCTCCCGACGCTCTCCCAGCACTGCGCCAGAGCATAAGCTCTTCCTCCAACCTCCGCCACTCCGAAAAACCCGCTCACTCCCTCCGACGCCGCCGCGTTCCTCGTCACATTCGCCACCGCGTACTTCACGCTCTCCGCGAACTCGAATTCCGCTCCTGCGGCGGCGGCGCTGCCGCATGTGAAGTTGTCGATGGCTGGGGAGACGGATTCCGTGTAGAAGCTGTAATTCTCGTAGCGGAGGAAGCAGCCGTCGAGGTAGATCCGGGCGGAGACGGCGGGGAGGCAGCGGGGGAGCTTCGTGCGGGCGGCGGCGTAGCAGAGGAGGCAGTCGGTCTGGGAGAGGTCGGCGTGGCACTGGATCAAAGCGTAGAAGGGGATTGCGGAGTTGTTGAGATGGTAAGTGGCGAATTTTTGCTTGTTGTTTATGAGCTGGGAGCTCAGGGCGTCCATTTCTTTGACGAAGGTAGGGATGAAGCTGGCGGCGACTGACGGCGGCGGGCGGGCGGAGCCGCAGAATAGGCCGGACTGATCTGTCGTTCGGGGATCGGCGACGGCGGAAGGAGTGAGAAGAGCGCAGACGAAGAAGAAGGAAAAGAAGATTGTTGTCGTTTCAGTGTTCGCCTTCTTCTGTCTCATTTCCATGGCTGCCGTGAAATGGTTCAACTTCTGAGCAGCTGCCGCTGCTGCTGCGTATTTATTTTATTCTTTATTTTGTTTTGTTTTTGTTCTTCGTACGTGGATTGGAAGAGCGATAATAAAAAAATATATATATTGGTAAGTTTTAAGTAAATCCCTTCCCGCTAATTTCCTTGTATGACTTCTAGAATGGCCGTTAATTTGGGATATTTGGTCACTCCGTTAATTAATTTGGTGATCTGTTTCTATGTTGCTGTCTCTGATAAGGTCATTGAAAATTGCCTATTAACGACCCACTTTATACACTAAAGTGTTGAGACTCCATTAGTCCCAATCTTTGACTAATTTTATTGCAACTTCAACTACAGAAAACAAATTCCGAAATGAAAACATATTGGGCAAAACATTTTTTTCTTCTTCCTACTTTCCTAATATAATTTCACTTTAGTTAACTGACTCCAATCCTGGTTTTATTAAGTCAATTATATATGAAGTTCACTAGTGATCATTGTTCATCTCGCAAAAATTCCGGCCACCACAACCACGAGTAAATGACCAAGAAAATTAGAGTGGAAACCAACCATATGCAACAAAAAAAGGAGGAGAGCCTTTCTTTCTCATCATTTGAACTTTCAATGTGAAATTTTCTATATAAACTTTCTCCATTAGCATAAAGTTAGGGTTTGTGTGACGACTTGTATGTAATTAACCGTGTAAAAGTTGCAAATTTGGATTTCCATTCCACACTAAAATCCAAAGCTTCAACTCACTAGGTTGTTTGCATGATAGATTGATGCTTGATAGTACTTAAGGATATGTAAGTTAAAGATGGGATAAGATTGTAAAAGAAAATTCAAAATACTATCAACAAGTTCAACCTTAAAATCAATATGACGAGCAATATAATCTACCTTGAACATGAGATATTTAAGACATTTTCAAAGTATCGATCTTATACTTTTTTTTATACTGAATATATGAATAATTAGAACACAGAGTGTGAAATATATAGCTATAGCGTATTGGCTACATGATTAGGTCTGAAGTGTGAACAGGGGCACAGGGCACAACCTTAAACCGGGGCTTAAAAATAACTACAGGATAGAAGATAATCTAGATAATTAATTAATATATATTATTAGCTTACGTTTAACTAAGTGCGACTTTGCGGATTGTCCACCTCAGCAATTCGTCATCTTTTCTGTTGTTCAGTCATCTTTTGTTATTAATGTAGTGCTGACCTTGCTAGCTTGCTTCCTGGAGTATCCACGTGTGCCACCTCATTCCTTGAACCCTTTCTTTACCTCATAAAACGAGGAATTTATTTAAATACTCCCCACGCTGTGATCGTGGATTAGCCCTAGCTACTAGCGAGGTAATTAAGCGCTGTGAGCCTGTGAAGCAACGAAAAATTGTCGTTGGCTGTCCTGTCGCACTGCTTTCACGAATCATGTCGGTGATATATATTAGTGCCACTTCACCATCGTCGACACTTTTCAATAAGAGTTCTAGAAGGACATGTATATCACAAGATTTGACCAACAATGATTCACATTCACCTTCCCAAGGGCAAGCATATTGTTATTGTGTAAAGGATTAGTAATCTAACCACGTTGGGTTTCTAAAGGAGATAATGGCATCAAACTAGCTAATAACGTAGTGACTAGCTAGTATCTCAATATTCTATATACTCCGTCTTACACCAAGTGTTGGTAAGCTTAACTAATATCCACATGGATATACATTAGGTTGACCCGCATCTCGCATGTTATTTGAAGAAAATAAACACAAAATTTCAACATTTTACAAAAAGACGAGGGAAAACATTTCGTGAAAACCAATTGCATTGATATGATCTTTCATTGCCTATATTTACAATATTTCGACAAATGCAATTGCATGAAAGCCAAAGTGGTCTAAAAATTGGAGAATGACGGGCTTCTTCCTTTTTTTCATAATTTAAGCACATGTGCATGCAATCGCAAACAAATTGTATTGATGCAAGTGCAAATGAAATTAATATAAGTTCAATAGCAAAAATACTGAGATGGCAATACAGCTCACAAATATAATTAGTTTTACAATTACATTGATGTGAATGTTGCTAAAATCATATAATTGTGAATTAGACTCCCGCCATTTCAAGGGGAAAAATATCTTGTGATGTAAATTGGGAATTATAAAACCTATATCTTTATTATCTTTATTCAACTCATATATACTGGGTATAGATAGACGAAGTTTAGCATAATCTTTGAATTCTTGATCCGTAAACCTAATTCATCTATTGAAATCATAACAAGTATGGCATTAAACATATTTTGTATGAACATTATTTTGTTCTGTTACACCCTAGTTTAAACACATGTGGGACTGATGTGCAATTAAAAAAAAAAAAACCAAATTTTCCTATTACCGCCAACCGTTTTCCTGTCGCTTTGAGCTTAACCTCATACATATATACGACTCCAAAGGATATAAAAGGTCCATAATTGCACCACCCAATTTGTCTACACTTTGTTTCTTTCTAACAAAGTCAACATTGAAGTAAAATTTGTCCTGAATGATTTGGGATACTTGTCTTCATTATAAACTGGCCAGTGGACTTATTGGCCGGTTAAGTTATATCCCCCATCCATTCGCTCAGTCCAACTGATCTTTTTAATTGAATCCAAGTGTAATATACAATGCAGATTGCAAGGTACGTCTTTATATATGTTTCTTTCTCCTTTTCACCAAACAACGCCCCACCTATTTTTCGAGATCAGCTCAAAATATATTCAGTAATCATAATTGAGAGCCTTGCATTTCAAAGTCCGGCAGTCCATGTTCACACTCCCATAATATGGATTGGATGATGAGTTACGCGACTGCTAAGTGCTAGCGAACGCATATTCAATTCCACATATCATCGCAAATGGAAAGCATAATTGTTACGCCAATTTCGTGTCTGGAAGTTCAATTGGTACCAGACATAAATTGAGATGGAGGACTTACGATACAAAGCAACAATCAAAACTCGCCTAAATCAAAGATACTGTCTGATCTAAGTCGATTATATAAAGAACTGAAATATCGATTTTATCAACAAAAAAAATTAAAAAAAAAGTATCATTAGCCTAGCTATCAAAAGCTTGCATAGGTCAAAGGAAATACATTTCACTTAACTCTATAGGATGAGATCATGCTCTATCAACTCCTTAACCGACCATAGTTGCACAATTTATTTAATCATCTAGGTAAGAGTTGCTTAACATAAAACACCACCTTAGTTACTTATCATCGTTCCATTAAACAAGAACCATGTTGTAGAGGAGCCCATCGCCCATACCCACCCAATGGTGTTGTGGTGTAATAACCCCATGCATAACCCAATAAGCATCCGCCACATCAGCACCTCATTCTCTTTCATCGAAAAAGTTTTAATTGTTCTTTCCTTAATCTTTAACGAATGATTTCTCACTCGTTTTAAGTCGGAATTTAATTTTTTGCACTCTTAGATCAGATTAATTGTGCTCTTCAAAATGATATGCAATTTGATATTTTTTTGAACAAAAAAATTTGGCAGTTATTACCAGTCTATACCATATTGTATTTGACTGTGCCATATGGTATTGATTGGTATTAAATAAGAGCATATCATATTGTATGAAAATACCACCCATAACAGGGTGATATAGCATGGTATGGAGTTGGTTACGAGAGGTATGAAATTTTTTCACCCAGAAATTTTTGAAATCCAATAGATCATGATTAAATTGTTTCTTCAATGCAAAAATTCCGAAAACGACTGAAAAATGAAAGAGATACCATATGGTATGGAGTTGGTAACGACAGGTATGAAAAAAAAATTCTAAAAAAATATTGAAAATGGATATCATTTTGTAGAGGAGCACAACGAACTAGTTCCATCTGTGCAATTTTTTTTTTGAAATCTGAGTTAGAATGAAGAAGATATGATCCAATCAAGAAACCTAGGGAAAATAAATTCCTTTAATTCTCCACCCTTAGATCTGAAGCCACTTAAAAGAAGGGTCCAGATTTGGTTACTCATAGTTACACACCCTATCTTGAGCCATAGCCGTATATTCCATAGCCGTATATTCTTTCTAGATTTGTTAGTGAATGTTGTAGCTTTTATAGTTTACTTATTACTTGGTTACTTTTTCTATTTTTTTATTCTAAATTATTTTCAATTATTGGAATATGTTTAATTCTTTCTTATTATGTTCTATTTATCCTTCTCTGGTCTCGATTTATTAATGGTCAATTAGAATATATTTTTAGTGATGCTTCTAATTGAATTAGGAGTTTAAAACTTTGAATAGATCTTCCAATATTAGTTTTAAATATTCATTATTATTTTCTAGCATATTTATTATCCCATATTGATATTTTTTATTATTTTTACTAATTTATCTATTTTATTAAAAAAATTCATTAGTCATTCTAGTAATACTACGTTCAGAAAGTTTTCTAATTTTTATATTAGATAATAATTGTTGAAATATATTTTTGGATGTTTTTAAAAGTTTGGGTAATGGCTATTTATTAGTCAAACCTTTTTCAGATTCTTTTTTATTAGACAAACTTATTGAATTACTAATAATTAGCCAAATGTTAACTTTTAGTTAGCAATTTTGTTAGTAATATTCACATGACAATATGATACTGACTTGGAAGAGATACATAGAGGTTAACAATCTAAAATTTTAGTATTTTAACTAAGAAAAGACTTACAAAATTATTAATGATAACGTAAAAATGGCTAATATTTTGATGCATTACAAAACGTATGGCTAATTGTAGTATTTCGATAGGTTTGACTAATAAAAAAGAACACAAAAAAGGTTGGCTAATAAATAGTCATTACCCTAAAAGATTTGTGTATCAAAAGGTAATTAAAAATTTGAGTTGGATGAGAAATTAGACGGATACACATACACTTTTTGGCGACTTTAGTGGTATCCGATGTCCTATTCAAATTAAAATGGTATGTCTACCCCAATTCTCAAACTTAAATTGTACCCGAAATATTTTCTCCAAGTATGTCTAATCATTTTATTAAAAAAACAAAGAAGTTGAATTACTTAATTGTTGCCTAATAGTGCCAAATACCATAGCCTAATTACCATTTTGAGCTTTTGATCCCAAATTTGAGTAGGCCGGTCTGAGCTGGACCAACGACCCAGATCGTAATAGCTCGGCCCATCAGGAAACGGCAAGAAACACAGCCGAAACGGCAATGCGTCTCTCTCTCTCTCTCTCTCGGGCCATCTCTAGAGAAGTGCCGGAAACTCCAAGAAAAAGCTTGGCCGTCGACTTTGCTGAAAACCGCAAACTTTCCTCACTTCCACACACTCCTTCGCCTGAATGCTCACCGGAATCGCCGCTTCCAGATTCCGACTGGGCCTCATGCCAGGCGCTGCGGCGATGTCGTCTTCTACCAAGTCCTCTCTCGCCCTGAGAAATCCTAGCTTGTCATATTCTTCGTGCTCTACGCTCTTCAATGGCCGCCGTGGAGGTGGAGGAGCTGGAGTAATCGGGAGAAGTCGCGTTAGTTTCAGCTCCCCGCTCGTTCGCGGTGTTACGCTTCGTTGTTTCGCTTCATCTTCTTCCAGTTCTAATCGAGTTAAAGTTCAGAGTCCGATTGTTGAAATGGACGGTGAGCACTATAAACCCTTCCAAAACCCTCTGGCCATGGATATGGAAAGTTGCAAGTGAATTTGATTGGTGAAGTGTTTTCTCATGTGCTTTTGGTTGGCGATTAGGTGATGAAATGACTAGGATCATCTGGAAAATGATCAAAGATAAGGTAATGCTACATGTTCTTACCATAGTGAAAAGCTGCCGGAAGAATTGAGCTGTTGAAAATGTGTAAACCGGAGAATAATCAGTGATGTTGATAGTCTGTCCCTGGTTGGTTGCAGCTGATATTCCCGTATCTTGACCTGGATATCAAGTATTTTGACTTGGGAGTAACTAATCGTGATGCTACTGATGACAAAGTCACCATAGAAAGTGCTGAGGCCACCCTCAAGTGAGTTTACATGCATTTAACCTTACTGTAATTAATCCTTTAGAGCAAAGCTTGATTGGACCACTGTGATGCATGTTATTACTGTTTTTTTAAATAATTCCACCAGTAGATTGGGTGGGTTTCATGGGTAAATGATTGAGTCCCAGCTGAGACTCGGCAACATGTATGTTTCTCCATACGTAGTTGATATTGTGTGGTGTATGTAAATAACGAATTCATTAGCTGTCTTGATTGGAATTAATCGGGAATACTTGTTGCTCAAGGATCAGCTGAAAACTTCGTCAATCGCATACTGTTTGAATCTTTTGGCGTAGTTTTTCTTATCCTGCACATATTTCTTTCTTAGGTACAATGTTGCTGTCAAATGTGCCACGATAACTCCTGGTTAGTTTGCTGGCAACAAGCGTTTTACATTTCATGAAACTATATATACTTCAAATTTTCATTCCAGTTCACGAAAGTTATGTATATTCTTAAGCATCTGATATTGATAGCTATCATAATTGTTTTCCTCTTCTATGCAGATGAGACTAGAGTGAAGGAGTTTGGCCTTAAGTCAATGTGGAGGAGCCCTAATGGCACGATTCGAAACATTTTAGATGGTTAGTGCTGTATACATCAACCATTTACTCTTGTTTCTTAAGCAGAATTCTTTGAACTATGCAAAAAGCTATTTCATTATGCTTTGACCTTCAATTTTGGTGTTATATTTGCCTTTGTAGGTACTGTTTTTCGTGAACCAATTATCTGCCGCAACATCCCAAGAATTGTTGCAGGTAACATTAGAACTTATGCTGTCAACAAGTGTAAACTATATTTTGGCAACATCACCTGGTGCTTACAAATTAATGAACAGGTTGGAAGAAACCCATATGCATTGGTAGGCATGCCTTTGGGGATCAATATCGTGCCACAGATGCTGTTATAAAAGGTCCAGGAAAGCTGAAAATGGTTTTCGGTATGGCTTCTTTCCCATTCTTGCTCAAGTAAGTGAAAAATTAATTGCCTTCTGCATGGCACTATCTCTCTTACCCAAATTTTGCTTCCTAATAATCAGTCCCAGAAGGTGGTGATACCCCATTGGAGCTTGATGTTCATGATTTCAAAGGCCCTGGAGTGGCACTGGCAATGTATAATGTTGACGAGGTTTATTCAACCTCATGCTACTTCTCCTTTGTATAACAGAAATTTGAGTATTTGCCTAATCTTTGTGTATGTGTAGTCTATTCGAGCGTTTGCTGAGTCATCAATGACAATGGCATTGGCAAAGAAGTGGCCTCTATACTTGAGTACCAAAAACACAATTCTTAAAAAATATGATGGCAGGTAGCAACTCCTTATCTAAGTGACTTGTTGTGCCAATTCCTCTTCATTTGTTCCTTATTCTGACTGACAAAACAAAACAAACAAAAAAAAAAAGATGTTCTTATCATGACAACCTTATCTCAGGTTTAAGGACATATTCCAGGATGTTTACGAACAGAAGTGGAAGGATAAGTTTGAAGAGCATTCAATTTGGTATGTTATAAAAAATTGTTTTCTGTTTTGTTTTTTGTAAGTAGTAATTACAAATCAAAGTGGTTTCATTCTCTAGGTACGAGCATCGGCTAATAGATGACATGGTTGCATATGCGATGAAAAGTGAAGGTGGATATGTCTGGGCTTGCAAAAATTATGATGGAGATGTCCAAAGTGATTTACTTGCCCAAGGTCTGCATTCACTGACACCTACTCTCAGAAGTTGCATATATCTTTCTTGTCATCCTTTTAAATGCAGTAATGAACTGAAGGACTTACTGAGGTTTAACTTCTTGTTCTTGGGGAACAACACAAACCTTTCTGAATTAGTTGATGTTGTTTTTTAATTGTAGGATTTGGCTCGTTGGGTCTTATGACATCCGTGCTGGTGTGTAGCAAGCTATCCTCTTTTTACACATTGATTCGATTTGTCTTTATGATTAAGGTGACATAATGCTTTAAGCAAACAATTTTCAGATTTCTTCTGACGGAAAGACCCTAGAAGCTGAGGCAGCTCATGGAACTGTCACTAGGCATTTCAGATTGCATCAGAAAGGCCAAGAAACCAGCACAAACAGTATTGCTTCAATTTTTGCATGGTCGCGAGGACTAGAGCATAGGTAAATAATATTTCCTTCAGTCAAACTTATATCTTTAGTTATCCAACTTAGCATTTGTGTACTAATCACTCCTGGTTATACTAGATCCATGATGATGCTGTGATTCTGTCTATTGGTTGGAAGAAAGAAAGATGCAAATATGGATACGGATGCATAGGTGGGAGTCGTGGGACCAATCATGTGTAAATTTTTCTGATCCTGTTTGATTTATTGTAGGGGAAAACTGGATAAGAACGAAAGGCTGCTTGATTTTGTTCAGAAGTTGGAGTCTTCATGCGTTGAAACAGTTGAATCAGGCAAAATGACCAAGGATCTGGCAATCTTGGTCCATGGCCCCAAGTAAGCTGATCATTTCCTTTCACCTCATACGTATTGTTTTGTTATCGTAATAACTTGCTTTGTTTTCTCTTTGCTATTTGATTGTGAAGTCATGATCACATAAGGTGAATTCTTAACATAATGTTTATGTATATGTAAAATGGGTTGCAAGCAATAGAAAAGACCTTAGGTCGGAATAGAGGTAAACATTTCACATCGGAGAACTAAAGTTTCAGTTAATTGTAAGTTGAACTGTTGAAGACTAGAACCATATACAACTTCCGTGTTCAATCAGCTTGTCTGTTAAGGTTTGATATCACGATTTGTGTGTCACATGTGGAGTGATAATGACCATTCCCAATTCCTCATATCGTGCAGGGTATCAAGGGAACTTTACTTGAACACAGAGGAGTTTATAGATGCAGTGGCAAAGAATCTGGAATCAAAGCTCCGGGAACCTGCTGCAGTTTGATGTGCATAGCATCCAGCTGCATCTAGTTGTGGTTTGGAGAAAAACACGACCAATTCAGACATTTCCATAATGGGGTGATAGGAGTTTAGCATAGAACATATACTTGAATTTCTCATTTTCTTTGGAAATAAAGTTGTAACGACGATTCAGTTTCAACTTTGTGATGGTCTTGTTCACAACTAACTAGAACAGAGGCCATTGGGATATCGCCTCACAATCAATAACACTTGTAACACATTCCTGATTACGGCTCCTATGACTCTTAAAACAAAATTCTCAGATCATATGACAAGATCATGTTTCATAAACTGTCATGAGAGAGATACAGAAATCCATATAACGCTCTTGGGCAGAGGTACAAGTGCACGAATCAAGTGCGTCGGTGTTCGATGGATCACTGAATGTACTTTGGGATTTCCCCCTTCCTCAGCACACCAAGAGCATATTCAGCTGTGTCAGTGAGGTCCTTGATATTGTGGACGGATCTCTCCTCGGATCCCAGCAGGAAAATGGCACGAACCTCAGCCTTCTTTGCCAGTCTTGCAGCTAAATTCAAAGGCAAACTTGGAGAATTCAGACTGCGCAATAGTTGTCGGTAGAGAGACAGTACATATCCCCTATTACTTGCGAAGTCCTCAGCTGCCGCCCAAATCTTCAGGCCTCTCGCTGCCATACCTGAAATGGTGAAACAAAGGAAAAATCAATTGTGAGGAAAAATAAGACCAAAAGGCCAAATCCAATAAAAACCGTCATGACAAACACATTCAGCTATACAAACTACTGCAAAACCACGAGACCCTCAGACAATTGATCGAACACATGGCGTGCGCCTTCAAATTCATTAATTCTCTTGTTAACACAAGCTCAACTCAAGTACATATTCTACCGACAGAATTTCGCATTCCAGGCACAATTTCAGAAGCAAGCAAGACCCGATTCCCTCATTTTCTCTCAATACTCACGCATCCCATAAAGTACCCAAAACAGTGTAGTTACCCAGGTTTATGATAATATATAAACCTGAAATGCCAAAACTGCAGCGAGAAAAAGGATACTGAAGAAGTCGGATCAATGGCGCCAGGCGTCCACACTCTAGTATAGGCCCCGGCGAACGACCTTGCCGGCAATCCGGATGCGACGGCTCTCCTCCAAACTCCCCCTCACTTCCGGCGGCTCTTGTTCGGTATAACTCGCCGTGCTGAATGACCTCACTTTCGCTCTGAAATTATTTGTCTTTAGCGGTTTTGCCACGAAAAAACGCCATATTTCAAGCCCATTCCTCTATTGGGCCGCGAGCTAGTAATGGAATACCCATTTCCGGCCCACACCGGATCCAGCTCTTGATCAGTCTCCTCTCCACTTCCTCCTCTCCGTCGAGTATTCTCGCCTTCGCAGAGAGCACGAGACAGTACACGAGGGTTTTGGAAATCTGAGAGAGAGAGAGAACTGTACATGCAGGAAGCAAAGAACCTCAATTACAAGAGAGGGAAGAAGATCGGCGTCAAGCCGCAAAATTCTCCGTTTCTGCCTCTCCCTTCGTCGTGAGATCTAAGAATATGTAGAGAGAGAAAGAAGAGGCGAGAGGGAAACTTCAACAGATATCTCCCCTGTCTCACACCTTCTCCTTACTCTATCGCCCTCTGCACCTTGTCCCATCGCCCATCACCGCCACTCACCGCCGGTCTTCAACTCTCCGGAAGGTACTTCATTTCTGTATTTTAAGAGTGTTCTTTAAATCCGCGTAGGGAGTCCTTTTAATACCTTTGTGACGAGACTAGGAACAGTAAACTGTGATTCAGTGGGTTGAAAAAGCTTATATATGCTCTGAAATCTGAATATAGTAAAGGGTTAAAATGAATTGTTACAAAAAAAATTCTAATATCAGTTTGTTTATAGTCGTCAAAGATGACAGACAAAAGAACAAAGTTGAAGGTGTTAGTAGGACCAATTTTGCCAGCTCTCCACCCAGACCACGACCACCCACAGACAGCAGGTGGTTCTGGGAACCCTAGACAACAACCGGATGGTCACTCGTCTACTGCACCGGCTGACTTTGTGGTAATACGACGTGGGCCAAATGGTCGTTTCACATCTGCCCACCACGCTGATGCTGAGGCTATCCGTAGCAAGAAGAAGAAGAAGCTGATGACGAGAGACGGGACGACAAGAGACGAGACGTGGGTTCTTACAGAGCCGGCTCCTGGCGGGCCTGAGGATCCTACCCTGATCCCTAGTTTTAAGGGTCACGCAGCATTTCGATTGTGGACTCAACCCGAGCTGGCCCGAGGGTCGATCGGGTACTACTCTCATGATAGGGGATTGGATTTCCTCACACGCTACGAGTTTGCGAGCTCCGGTTCCCTGGAGTTGGTCCAGGGCACAGGGTTGTTTCACTTGCGTGAGTGCGTGACGCGCAACCTGAATCGTCCTTTGCTTACGGCGTTTGTGGAAAGGTGGCAGCCCGACACCAACACATTTCACATGCCGTTTGGAGAGATGACGATCCTATTGCACGATGTTTTCCACATTCTTCGGATTCCCGTAGATGGAGAGTTGCTTAGCCGTGGATGCGACTCATTCCCTGGCTTTCTTGGACTCACAATGGACGATTTGGTGAGGCTTGTTGATATTGATAGGGGGAAGAGTGTAACAACTCATGTTCACCAGCACAGAAACAAGGACTCTGAGGTGAAGCATTATCTATTATGTTTGTTGGGATCTATATTATTTATGGACAAGACTAGAGATCGCGGCGTTCTTGATACGATCAACCTGTTCGTGAGAGATCACGAGCGAGTCAAGAGGTACGCTTGGGGGGTTGGTACACTTGCTTATTTGTATAGGCAACTAGGTGTGGCATCTCGAGCTATGAGCTATGCAGTTGGTGGTTGCTTAACACTCCTACAGGCATGGATTTATGAGTACTTCCCGAGTTTGCGGCCTACTGGATACGAGCCCCCAACACTGAAAGATGGCGAGGCTCTTGCTTTTAGGTGGAAGGGAGCACGTTTAGAAGGAGGGCACAGGCCAGATGCTAAGCAGTTGCAATACTACCGTCTGATGTTGGACGAACTGACAGCTGAGGACGTGACGTGGCTTCCATATGGTCAAAATCCTGGCCAAGTGGTTCCGTTGTCTTTGTACCATGGTGTGATCCGATTTGGCGATGTGGGGGAGATGTACGATCCCGGGCGGTGTCTTCGACAGTTTGGATACAGACAAGTAGTTCCCATTCACCCTATTAAACCAGCTTACGCATTTCGTCCTGCCTCTGGCATGGGCTATGACGTGCGGTTCGATTCCGTCTTGGATAATTTTTGGAGCTACCGTCACCGCCACACGTTGCAATTGGATACCATCTCTGCACCTGCTCAGCCTTTGTGGGAGGCCGACGAGGACTACTCAGACTGGTATTTTAAGCATTCCCACCCGTTCATCGTCAAACCCCACGGTATGGAAGATCCTCGGGGGAATGCAATCGCCTATAAGGTGACTGGTTTTGATAATTTTTTTGCAACTCTTTTTGGTCATAACTTTGAGTATTCCTCTTAACTCGTGAAGAAAAATACTAACATTTAGATTTGTGTATTGTTTTTGGTATGCAGCTGTCTATCCAGATTATAGAGAATCTCCGTCCCATGCTTACGGCCGACGATGACACTCTGCCTCCTCAGTTCTTGGAAATGATTCGTCGTGCTCGTGGATTGCTCGTCGAGTATGACCGGCGGAAAGCACGAGGCCCACCCACTCATAGTAGTCTTGTGTAGATTTTCAGTAGTTTTTGGGTAGTTGGTCGTTTTAATTTAGTCCCTTTCTCATGTCGTTTTAATTTAGCTCTCCCGTATCATCTATCATGTTAGTCGCGGTAATTGGTCTTCCATAGTCGTTTCTTGTGTTGATTTGTATCAAACCAGTGCACCATTTGCTTTTGTTACATTTGGGGAGTATTGAGCTATGGGAAGTGAAAATGCAGAGACATATATATATTCTTTCCAAACAGATGCATGGTGATTGTACAATGAGGGTTCGTGGACCTTTGATTGGCTGGGTGGTTGTGTATCCATTGATATATAGTTATATACACGCAGGAGATGAGTAGTTTGCCCAGTCACTTGTGTACGTGTACATTGTGTAGTCTGCTTGAGCTTTTGCTGAGTCATCAATGACAGTGGCATTTGCCAAGAATATGACGGTAGCCACTAGCCGCCCGTAGATGAGTGGCCTGTAAGGTATTTGCCAAGAATACTGACGTAAGGGATTACCATTTACCAGTTGCCAAAAACACGCCGGCCGCCGGCGACCCGGCGTTTCTGTTTCGACTTTTGACCTGGAAAGTGGAAACACAGCTTTGACAGGCCCACTTATCTGGCCCATTCGGCCCACAAAATACTTTTTTTACAGTTAGGCTTAGGCCCACAAAATACTTGAATGATAAAGAAACACGAGAATCTGCAAATGGCCGGTCGCAATTTCATCCTTCGTTCTTTCTGCTTTGTTTTGCAGCAACGCGTACTTCACAGAATCTATAAATTCACACGGTGGCCGCTGTCTCCGAAAGACTGCACCTACTCAGTAACGAATTCTGCAACTAAAAAGAAAGGCCTGCCGGAGAAGAAGAGATGGCGATGACCAAGGCAAAGGACCTCATTTCCTCCAGCCCCGTCGTCGTTTTCAGGTGCGACGATTGTTTATTTGCGGCGATTGATTGGATTAGATTCTTTCGTTGATCGGCGATCGTTTTTCTGCGGTGCAGCAAGACTTACTGCCCATTCTGCACCTCTGTGAAGAAGCTGTTGTCTGACCTGCGAGCTGCTTATAAGGCTGTCGAATTGGATACCGAGGGTCAGTAATCTTAATCCCTCCCACTATTTTTTTCCCCCTTCTGATTCGATTGAATATGTACCGATATACTGGCTAGTTTGGTTCTGCAATTGCTTCTTCTCCATAGCGATTCAGCTTTACTTGTTTGTGTTGGATCATTGTTTAATTATGCCTGCTCTTGTCTTCGATTGAGATTTGGGAGTTCGTAAATGGTTGTTTCTTGGAGGTTTACTGTTGGGAATGAATAGCTTTGAAAGCTATATTGAATTAATTATCCCGTATTCTTTCTAGATACGAAAATAGATGGATAATTAATAAAAGGAATATTATGGAGATAATTAGGAATAATTATCTTAATAGATTATATTTTAATTGTGGGAGTAATTATCTCCCTAATTAAAATATGACTTATTCCCAAAGAAAGAGGGAATATTCTGGGTTTTCTGCTCCTATAAATAGGAGACGCCCCAGACCCTCTAAACACACCTCAGAGAGCAGAAACACGAGATAGAGAGTGAGTTCATAGAGCTCCGGTTTTCGCACAAAACCGATGAGCAATAAATTTAGAGTGGCTGTTTTATCCTGGAGGCGACCGGCTGATAGTCTGCCGTGCGCAACGAAGGCAGTGCCGCGAACGTCTTAAAGAGAGCGACCTAGTCCGCGACTCAGCCAGATCGGTAACCCTGATTTTTCCTGTTCGATTTCTAACAATTTTAAGACGTTCGCGGTTGCGGTCATGTGATTCAAACAGGAAATCGATTCTGGCTGGATTACTATCGCCGTGCCGATCGATCTGAACAACTGATTTGTGGTTGTCGCGCATCGCGATTGTTCTTGACGATCTTGTGTCCTCCACGAAGCAGCTTACAAGGAACAGGCAGAATGCTTTTATTTCCGAACCTAGCCCACTATTGGGAGTCGATCAACTGAAGACGGTTATGAAATTGAGGGAATTGTGGTTCTGCCGGTTATTTGATTTGTGATTTTGCCTTTGATTTATCCTTTATGTTCTCTGTTGAGTGGTCCGGCACTGATAATTACCGGGGAAGCGGTTTTGTAGTTTTCATTCAATTGCAGGAGCAGCCCACGGGCTACGGCGGAAAGAATGGAAAGATACGGCGGTGGCGCCCAGACGGGAGAAGTGGGTAGGTCATGGAATTCATGATCAGCTCTAACCCGGCAGGTTTTTCTATCACGGAGAATGGTGGCGGATCTTGGGCCCTACCGCAGCTAATGTATTGCACCGGGCTGGACTCCCAGGACAAATGCCTTCGGCTAACGGCGAAGAAAGTGCTGGGCCGAAATGGGACTCATAACTAAGAAAGCTATTGAGTCAGCAATCATACAGGCCAGATCCTTTTATTTAAATTCCGTTTCGGGCCAAGAAAGGAGAGCCCCGGTCCAAGTTCCGCCTGGCTCTGGCGTCGTTCTTTGTTTTTCATGAAGCCTCCATTCAAATTCTTATATGTAGAAGCTTTCTATAAAGGACAAAAAGAGGCACCAATTTGGAAGCTAAGCCAAAGCTAGCTATTCGTTACGAATCAGAAGGGAGTGACTTAGTAAAGAGGTAATGACCTTAACCTCACTCGTGAGTCATTAAATGATGATTTTATAGAACCCATGTCATATAACTTTATGCATGGAATAGTTAAATCTTCTAAAGAGGCTAGAATTGAGGTTCCATATGTTGACGCTGAATTGTGCTTTCTTCAAATAATTAGAGTACCAATTTGGGTACATGTTGTGGAATAGAGTAATTTTGATTACATGATTGCACACTCTGGAGCATATATGAACGCATATTCTATGATAAATATACTAGTAAAATAGAATTGATGCATGTCGACATTGAGGTGTATTACCTCGATGATTAGAGCATAAATTGAATACATGCTATGGAGTATTGATGCATGCATATATGTGAAGAATATATGGGAATAGAATGGGTTTATTTCCCATAATAACGATATTATAAGAAGTACTATTATCAGTACTACACGAACCACTTAGGTTGCTGTGAAACATTAAAGTTTCAAGAATGAGAGCAGCAAGCTGAACCAGATCCACACCAAATAGAATGGTACCCTTCGTGGTAACCATAAGATTGCCACTCAATCCTCTAAGAATGACGCTATGTTTCTCAATTAAATTTGAGAAAAACTAGGTCATATGACACGAAAGTGTTAGAACAAGTTTAACATAGTATTGTGTTAACTTGATTAAATAAGAGGATTTGGTAATAATATTCACTGAGGTGATGACAGAGGTCGGCCTTAATGGTAACTCTGAAGAATGGTTGTTGGATAGGACCGTTTCAAAATATGTGTATGATAAACGAGCTAAGCTCAATCATACATTGACGCGTATTGAAGGAGAAAGTGTTGTTGGGCAAGACCCTCACCACTATTGTTGATGGTTTTGGAAAAGTGGAAAAGAACCCTGCCTCTAGAAAGTCATTGACTATCCTAGTTGTAAGGAATGGTTAAGTAGATAAGATAAATTCTTCCAAGTGTGTCTGTATGAAGAATTAGAATATCTTATATCGCATTCCCATATTATTATTGAATGCTTGAGAAAATATGAATTTTCTATATCCAAGCTAAATGACCCATAATATGTGATTAGAGAATCAGAATAAACAGATCTGATTTATGTGGGTAAACTTGATGGAAAAGACAATAAACAATTTATTGCTCTTTAGAGTGCTCTGATTGTCTGACTAGTTATTTGAAATGGTTTGAAATGCCTAATTGCATTATGATTGCACTGATTATTCGATATGTGGCATGCATGTGGTAGCGTTAGAAAATCAGTGTAGCATGATAACTAGAAGAGCATATGAGTGTGTTGTTATCAATAAAAACACATAGTTCCTATGAAACGAAATACTCATGTTGTTGAGAAATCCATTAATGCCAAGAAACTTCCATTTTAAATCAAGAAATAGTGGGGGTAGTGTCCTGCCTACTATTAGAAATAATGGAACTAGTGGGGGTAAAAAAATCTGAGTTTAACTCAGAAGAAACAAATGAACCATAAATCACGAAAGGATTTTGGTTATGAATTTGTTATTTACACCCTAAGAAAGAAAGATCCTACAAGTCTGCTAGAAGTTCAAACTTCCATAAAGATGCAGAATTGTGGGAGAATCCATTATTAACGAAATGGAATTATTGGAGTCTAATAAGACTTAAAATCTTGTAGAGTTACCTCTTGGTTGAAAAGCCTTGGGTAATATATCGATAGAATCAAACAAGATTTGGCATCTTTGAGAATTGCCTCTTGGCAATGAAGTCATGGGTAATAAATGGATTCTTAAAAGAAAAGTGAAACCTATTGGTTTAGTTTATGAGTATAAGGATCGCCTAATAGCTAAGGCTTTAGATAGAAAAATCTACATGGAACAACCTATAGGGTTGTTATTCCTGAACATGCTTAGGGAGTCTATAGTTAGACAAATCATTGTAAGATTTGAAATAGACTCTAAAACGATGGCATGAATAAGCTGGTTCTCTCTCATGGTTTTAAAAGTGAAAGTGACAAGTGCATTTAGTACAAATTTGAGAATGACACTTGCATTATGAATGACACTTCGATCTTTGGTACAAAGACTCGTGATGTCAATATTATGAAAAACCATGTTGTTTGAGAATTATGAAGGTAAAAAGATCTGGATGAAGCAAGTGTTATGCTCAAAGATCCAGATTACTAGGATAATGAAATAGATTTTATCTAGATCAGTTTAACTACAAAATAGATCTAGAGGAAATACGAGTTCTACACCTGCATAAATGTTTGATGGTGCTAGTATAATTTTTAAGAGCACCAAAGACGTTGTAAGAAAGTAAGAACATACTAGCATCGACAGTCTGCGAGAGGCAGCTGATAAACATGAGACCCGACATAGTGGGGGTACTTGGCAGGCTTACTGATCGTCCTAGTATGAAGCATTGAAATGCTATTGAAAGGGGTCATGAGACACCTTAAAAGAACAGAAAAACCTTGGTATTTGTTATCAAAGGTTTTGCTGTATTGGTAGGGTATAATGATGCGGATTAGAATACCCTATAGAGGACTCCAAGACAACAAGAGGCTGTGTTTTAAACATCGATAGAGAAGCTATGTCTTGGAAGTCTAAGAAGTAAACGATCCTGGCTCAATCAACTAAGAATCAGAAATAATAGAACTAGCAATGGCTAGTAAAGAGGAAAGTTGATTGAGAGGGTCACTACTAGAGATTCCCTTATGGGAAAGACCGATCCCTCCGGTAGTTGATTAATTGTGATAGCACCGCAGCTATTGCAATAGAAGGGAACCGGTTCTAGAACGAAAAGAGACGACAAATTCGTCGTAAGCACAGTACTGTAAGAGAACTCCTAACGATAGGAGCAATGAGGGTGGATCCTGTAAGGTCCTAACAGAATCTAGCTGATCCTTTGACGAAAGGATTATCTAGAGAGAAAGTCCAAAATACCGCCAAAGGGTATGAGACTTATGCCTACCGAACCACGGACTACAAGTGATGGTAACCCGACCCAATAGACTGGAGATCCCAAGAAATGGGTTCAATGGGTAATAACAAGTCATGAGTAGTATGCGAAAAGTTCATGCATAGTGAAGCATGAATCCCAAAGCAATGGAGGTTGAGTTAACAACTCTTAATGAGATCTATACCCTATGTGGGGTGGAGTACTTTACTTTGGGGGTACTCCTGATAGACTCACCTATGTGAATGTGGGAGTGAGGCCGCTCCCTATGGAACTTTGGAGGCACAAAGTTGCTAGAGCGTTCACTAAACCGGGATAACGTGCATGGCCATAAACGCACGGCCTATGAGAGAATATCACTCAATGAAAAGATCCGGCGTGCTACATTGTCTGAGATAGGGTTCAAGACTACGAGTCACCCTTATGAAATCGGAAGTGTAACCACTACGCTAAGGTTCAAATCTTCGCGATACCTTAGTTTATGCCCGATCTTATGGAACTGTTGATGCTCAGAGATAGTTTCAAAACTATTCAAGTGGGGGATTGTTGGGAATGAATAGCTTTGAAAGCTATATTGAATTAATTATCCCGTATTCTTTCTAGATACGAAAATAGATGGATAATTAATAAAAGGAATATTATGGAGATAATTAGGAATAATTATCTTAATAGATTATATTTTAATTGTGGGAGTAATTATCTCTCTAATTAAAATATGACTTATTCCCAAAGAAAGAGGGAATATTCTGGGTTTTCTGCTCCTATAAATAGGAGACGCCCCAGACCCTCTAAACACACCTCAGAGAGCAGAAACACGAGATAGAGAGTGAGTTCATAGAGCTCCGGTTTTCGCACAAAACCGATGAGCAATAAATTTAGAGTGGCTGTTTTATCCTGGAGGCGACCGGCTGATAGTCTGCCGTGCGCAACGAAGGCAGTGCCGCGAACGTCTTAAAGAGAGCGACCTAGTCCGCGACTCAGCCAGATCGGTAACCCTGATTTTTCCTGTTCGATTTCTAACATTTACTGCAAGGGTAATAGGTCTTCGATGTAGTATATTTGAAAACCTCCCCCAATATGGATTGAATTCGCCTGTTCGAGCTTCGTTTTGGGTTTCTAATTCTTCTTTCTTAGCTGCTGATTTCTGATCATGCTCCCCTGATAGTGTCTACTTTACTCAGATGGGAACTTGCCATGGACATTGCGATTTCCTAACATGGCAGTCTGGACTTTGTTCCAATTGTTTGTTTTTATCTATCCCATGGTCTTCTTGTTGAATGACTAAGCCACCTTTGAGGTAGCTAACATGCTCGCTACCTACACTAATGGATGGGTTGATTATCTCTGAACAATTAGACCGCAGAACTGTTGATAATGATTGTTCATTTGTGCGTGCTAGTTTCACGCTGTTTGTGATTGTTCATTTCCTGTGCTACTAAGCCACCATCTTTGAGTTAGTTAACATGTCTTTGCTACGCCAATGCATTGATTGTCTCTGATCAGTTAGACTGCGAAACTTTTGATAATTGTTGTTCATTTCTGCATGCTAGGGTTTACGTTGTTTATGGTTGTCCAAACTCTGTGACACATGCAGCGAACAGAACGGTTTCCTTAATTGCTCTTATTGTAGACTGATATGTATGGATATTGGTGGTTCTCTCTTTTTCTGTTTCTTAGGTGATGGAGCTGAGATCCAAGCAGCATTGGCACAGTTGACAGGCCAAAGGACAGTGCCTAATGTCTTTATCGGTGGCAAGCACATTGGTGGCTGTGACGGTATAATCCCCCTGGATGCTTTCTCTTAAATTCCGATTGCTTTGCTGATTTAACTGGCTTTAGTTGGTCTCAATTGCTGACAGTAGACTTTTACATCTTTTTGTTCTTGCCCGGCAGACACGATGGCCCTCAACAAGTCAGGGAAGTTGGTTCCTCTTCTTACTGAGGCTGGAGCTATTGCTGCTACTACTGCTTCTGCTTCTTCCTAGAGCGCTTTGTGGGTGGTTCTGAATAAAATCGTGTCTGAAGAACCTGAGTAGCGTATGTCGTGGTGAATATAGTTGCCTTTCTGGGCTGTGTTCAATTGGATTGAGCGTTTATGGTTTCTGTTGTGGCTTCAAACTCTATACTCGGTTGCGAGCTACACTGTTGTAAAGTCTTAAATCAACTGTGCCTTGCAGCAAGAGTCTCACTATATAGAGGTTATCATTTATACTTTTAGTCGTGAAATGAACTCGGTAAAAAGCCAGATGTTAAGCAGTCTTCAAAGGTGTTCTTGCGTACATTTGCCTACTTCGAATCATGGATGAAATTGTGTTTAAATTCTCTGTACCGAGAAGCATTGGCACAGCTGACAAGCCAGAATACAGATCAGCAATGGACTTTCAGCATTGCAGAAAAGTAGGTACGGACTGACCGAGTCTGAGAGCATGCACAGTTTTTATAATACAAATTCAACAAGAGCCATGACAGGTGGAAGGCAAAGTAGCTTCAACACAGACAAGTGGAGGGCAAATGTATCGTCCTGAAATGCAAATTCAGCAAGGGATATGACAGAGGAAAGAACAAAGAAGCTTCAATCACAGCAGAAGCAACTTATGAACTTTTCAACCATTCCCTTTGTTCATGTTTAACATCTGTGAGAATTTGATTCAGTGTTCACTATTCAGGGGTAGACTCAGAGTTTACAAGAGAGTATCAACTTCATCGAGCTCGAGTAGATGCAACCTTGTTCTTCTCGATCAACTTCACACTTCCAACTGCCGTCTGCAAGCAGTTGAGCTTGTCATCTGGGCCAAAAACCTCTTCTTTATGGAGGGGAAGGCATCGTGGAGGGATAGGAAGAAGAACTAAAGAAGCGGTGAATATCTCTAGACGACATAATGGTGGCGGGAGACACGTAGGCTCGGACAACCGTTGGTCCCCGACCCAACCCCCCAACCTAACATTTAATAATTACACCCTCAACCAAAAAAAAAACCCCAAAAAGAAATAATACAAAGGGAAAGGCAGAAAGAGAGAGATGGTAGTTCCTCTTCCTCTGCTTTTGCGCTGCAGAGACACGGGACACAGCCATTGCCACCAACAGTTACAATCATCCGCCCCAACAAGAAAAGTGCAGAGAGAGACTATTGCATTGCCTCTTCTCTCCGTCTCTACCTCTGTTTTCTCTCGTCTTCTCCGGCAAGCCACTAGACTCGTCAAACATTGCTTCTCTTCGACGCCATTCTTTCTTCCACTTCTACTTCTACTTTCCTCTCTCTCACTCTCTCTCAAATCTTTGTACTGGTGATCTTGTGATCCTGATATAGTCCCGCCATTAAAAGCCTTCACGATCCCTCCTTTTCTTCCCACCCACCTGACCCTTTATAGCTCGCCCCCTTCCCCTTGTCTTCTCTTCTTCGCATCAATACCACAATCAATCTCTCTCCTCCAATGGCGGTGACCGGGTTCAGAGCAAAGCCCCCGTCTTGCCACATTTTGATTCTCTTGTTGGCTCTGTCTACTTCGCTTCAATGCAGCTTACTGATAGTCTCCGTCGACGCGATTCTCGACCCGCTCGACTTCCTTGCCCTGCAATCGATCAGAAAATCGCTGGACGACATGCCAGGCTCCAACTTCTTCTCCTCCTGGGACTTCACCTCCGACCCCTGCAACTTCGCCGGAGTCTACTGCGACTCCGATCGGGTCATCGCCCTCAACCTCGGCGACCCGCGAGCTGGGTCGCCGGGTCTCATCGGCAGGCTCGACCCAGCAATCGGCAAGCTCTCGGCGCTCGCCGAGCTCTCCGTGGTCCCGGGTCGGATCATGGGCTCCCTGCCCGAATCCGTCTCCCAGCTCAAGGACCTCCGGTTCCTCGCCATCAGCCGGAACTTCCTCACGGGGACCATCCCGCAATCAATCTGCCAGCTCTCCAATCTCCGAACCCTCGATCTCAGCTACAACCAGCTCACGGGTCCGGTCCCTCCCTCAATCGGGTCGATCGCCGGACTATCCAATCTCATCCTCTGCCACAACCGCCTCTCGGGTCCGGTCCCGCCGTTCGGATCCCAATTGCTCACCCGACTCGACCTGTCCCACAACCAGCTCAACGGCTCCATCCAACCACTCTCCTTCCCTCCCTCTCTCCAGTACCTCTCCCTCTCCTGGAACCGGCTGGTCGGGCCGGTCGACACGATCCTCACCCGGCTCGACCAGCTCAATTACCTCGATCTCAGCGCCAACGGGTTCACCGGGCCGATACCGGGTCGGATCTTCGGGTTCCCCATCGGCAGCCTCCAGCTCCAGAGGAATTCGTTCGCGGGCCCAGTCCAGCCCACGGACCAGGTGGCGATCCCGACGGTGGACCTCAGCTACAACAGGCTTTCCGGCCCAATTTCCCCGATGTTCTCCACCGTCCAGAATCTCTACCTCAATAACAACCGGTTCAGCGGGGAAGTTCCAGGGAGCCTGGTGGACCGGCTGCTGGCGGCCGGGATGGAGACGCTGTACCTGCAGCATAATTATCTGACCGGGATCGAGATCAATCCGACGGCGGAGATTCCGGTGAGCAGCTCGCTGTGTCTGCAGTACAATTGTATGGTGCCGCCGCTGCAGACGCCTTGCCCGTTGAAGGCCGGGAACCAGAAGACGAGGCCCACAGCGCAGTGCAACGAGTGGCGAGGGTAGGTTCGGGTTAGAGTGGGAGGAATGGAGTAGGGGTAAGACGGTCAATGGGAATATTGATCTAAGAAAAATGAGAGAAATTCTTTTGTATTAGTTTTTCTTTTTTTACTGTTACTGTCACTGTCAAGGTTAATTTTGGTTTTGGATCCATTCATTTAATATTTTGTGTAGTACTGTAGTGGGAAGAGGGAGTGGAGTCGAAGATGACTATTCATTGCTATGAAGGAAGAAGAGGAATAAGGATATGGTTTGGTTTGGTTGTTGTTTACATTTGTTGGCAAATATGTGTAATGTAATGTGTAGTTGATATCATGCCAGCTGATTTGGTTCTACCATAACTGGTCTTCACCATGTGGATTTTGAGAACACCCACTGACTCAGCTTTCCTTGTTTGCTACAGAAATGGATGGATTGATCATAGACGATCGATTAGGACGCGAAAGTATCGATAATGGTTTGCTCATTTCTGCACGCTAGGGTTTAATGCAATGTTCATGAAGATATTGCTACAAAATCCCTCACTTTAAAGTTAAACCTATCACTTTGTGAAGGATACTATACTTGGCTAACAGTTTAAGATTCTGGGTAGAAAACGCTGCCTCTGGATTCTTGTATACATTGCATTGATTCATCACAGCAGTGTGAAGAAAAATGGATTTCCCATGGATCCCCTCTAGAGTGATGGAAAGAGGAGAATGGGGCTACCAAGTCATTGAGTTCTTTGACTGCTGCAATTTTGAGTTGTATGCACTCTCCATCTCCTCCTGCAGTAGTTTAACGTCTTAACAAGTTACAAAAGTGCTTTCCAATCAAGGAGGGACTGATATGACTGATGATTCAGCTGCGAAGGATATTTTAGGCTGAGAAAACAAAGATCAGCAGTTCTACCTTGCAAGATTTCAGAAGAGGTTCCAAGAACGATGATCGGAAAAACCTAACAGATTCGCCAAGTGATGTTCTGTCCCAGTCTGTTCACAAGAAATGTAATTTAAATCAATGGCTCTTGCCATTGATGAGTTGACATCAAATTTCTATCAATTAGAATAGAACAGTATCACAGCAAGAGCTCTTAAGGGGAGGAAATCACACGAGAAATGCTGATACGAGTAGAGTTCAGTATCAAATGGCGTACCATTATCCCCTTCCTGCCCCATTCCCCCTGAGTTAAGTTCTTGTAGCAGCTACAAGAAATTAGGGTGAAATCAGTATCCAGGTGGATGAGAGACTTAATGATAGTCCATGAGCTTCGCCATCACAGGAGTTTGATTGGCTTAAATTAACATATACAGAGTTCTATGTTCATCTTACGAAAATGGACAGCGAATGTTAACTGTTGTAACTTGAGTAAGCTACTAAAGAAGTAAAATGAGAGAACTTGTTACTTGACCAGATTATCATACCTGTGAAAGTGTTGGAACTGTAGTAGGGTCAAATTCATGGCAATGGACTGGGTCTATTGGTACACAGACACGACCTGAAGACGACATAAACATGCAGCATAAGTAAGCTTGATCATATTGTTCAAAAAAATGCGATGCACTATGTTTTAAGTTTCCAAGTTGAGTAAAATATGTGAATGCATTGGCATAATGCACTTGCTCCTTCATGTCCCAAGCTCCAATGCAATTTCACCAAAAAATTTGACCAGGAGAGATGCAATCGATACTTAGGTGTACAGTGTACTTGCCAGTTTTCGGGTGAACACAAAATGGTGCCTTCAGCAAGTGGTTCATGTGTTTGGAGACCTGGAGTCGTAGCAAAATGGTACTGCTCAGGGGAGTTGGAAAGTAAGAAGTAATGTTCGGAAAGCCTGTAGCCTCTTTACTATTACACTTAAAAGCAAAACCAACATAAGCTGTTGGATATTTATAGCTCCAGCAAGATAACTAAAAACTTAATAATACTGCACAATAACAGCAGGATATAAAGAGAAATCCTGCTGTACCAACCTCCATATCTAGCCTGGGATAGGAGAAAGAGAACACAATTTCTTCAACACACCTACGTAGGCCTTGTCCCTGGAACAATGAAGTTGGGTTCTGGTTAAGTGTACTTATATGGATCAGAGCCCTAGCAAGTAAGACGTCTTCTCAAAAGGTGGTCTTATTTTTCTAAGCAATCAAACTATCATGCACAGAATAATTTTCATCTTTCCCTAATGAAAGATGATACATCCTTAACACAGATAAGCAGTTTGTACCTTGTGTCTTCCAGATTGCAGAGTGTGCTTCAGATGCTCCCATCGAACAGCATTAATGTCGTCTTTTGAACAAGAGGACCTCTTCTGCCACCTCCCTCGGAGCTCAGCAGCAACAGCTGTGGGAACAGTAGCAGATAAACAAATCAGTTAATCAGAAATATGGCTGACTGTGACCGGAAAGAAATTGTAATAAATCTCAGTACATTCATCTGGAATCATCTCTAGAACTTTCTCGCATTTGTCTTCAGTTGAAAAAATTTGCTGACTGGAGAGCAATGTTTGCTCAAATAAATCCTTTAGAACTTCTGTGTAAGATCTCCTGCAGAGCATTTTAACCACAAATTATAGCAGCAAACAACCCGAGAGAAAGTAAAGGATGAAAGAGCAGCAAAACAGAATAAAATTGAATTAACACTGAAAAAGGAACTTACACCAAGAAAGGATGAAGAGCATGGCCGGTCAGAGAAACCTTTTTCTTACTGTTCTCGCTACCCTGATGAACATAATCATAACTTCCATTAAATACTTTTCCTGCATCAGTCTCATACAATTTTGAATCTAGTATGTGGCGTGTAAGACCTTGTATACGCGAAAATAATCAGCAATAGCTGCTCTCTGCTCATTAGTCAACCTGAATCAGTGCATTTGAACACATTGTTATAATCACATAACAAAACATGAATAAATATGACCTGAGCTCAGTTTATAAGATCCCTAACCTTCTTGCTTTCCCATCACAAACCCAACAGTGTACACCACGCCGGCCACTGTAAACCCAGAGAATATGTCTGAAACCAAAGTCATCTGCACTAACGGGAAAAAGTCAATATTTTGAGAGTTCTCCTGTTGTTCATAGCAATAGTACGAGAAAGAACAAGTTATCTACATTGACTAAGTAAAGATAAAAGAAGGGGAAATGGAAAACAGGAAGTCATTCAGATGTAATACAATTGATTTTTCTGAACGAAGGTTCGAAAGATAGGGACCTCTTAGGGCAGTGTTGATAACTTTGATAGCAGCAGTCATCAGGGGCCAGCAGTCCAGGCACACATCAGCACCTGAGCAGCAATACCTGACATCGTCATAGTCTGTAATATCCTGAAGGGAAAATTGATAATTAGTTGCATCATCTAACAAATTAAACAAAACCAAAGCTTGTGCCACAGAAACCCAGCAGCTTACAATGTCAAAGATGAGCTCCCTCTCCACTGGTTTGAAAACATTCTCACCACTCTGGGCATAAGCATGTCTTTTGGAAGGCTGCGATGAAATATATAAAAGTAGAGATTGTCATTGATATAAAACGATGACAACAAGCATCAGAAATAGAAGAAATTATCAATATCTAAGCTCTAGGTGCACCGTTCTTAGGCATAGAACACCATGGACCATCAAGTTTACATAAATTGAAGAACCACTTCTTTGATTCATAGACACGGAAGAATCAATGCTGCTGCGAAGAAACTTAAAGTGTACATGCTCTATGTAACAAAAGTGGCAAGAAAATAAAATATTCTTACATCCACGCTGTAAACAGGACCAATGTCTATTTTAAATGGACACTTCTCCCTGATGCCTTTCTCCAATTCTGATACGCTGTTGAAGGACAGAAACCGCAGATAAATATCATTCTCAAGGGTGAAAGAAAGCTCTCTCCTGCCGAAGTAAGATTTGTCACAAGCAGGATGTTTTCCATCTGCACGTAAACAGTCAAGTGGGGGTACAGTTAGAGACCAGGAGAACCACCATTCAAGATGCAAGATCGAAAAATGAGGATGCAAACTAATTACCATTTCCGTAAGACATCCATCTGAAGATATCTCCATAAGGGAAGAGTTTTGCTGCCATGATGCAAGCAACTTATTAGGTTCAAAAGGAAACAGACCGAGAGCGCTAATCAAGTGTGTGTTGCAAAAGCAATGATAAGACACCAAACATACACATAAGTGAAAATTTCCAGCATGAGCAAGCTCTTTACAATAGTTTCACCATGCATTGAGCAGTACTATAGAAGCAAATGCTGGCTTGGGAGATTTTAAACCTAAGAACATCTGGAAAGTCGTTTCCCATATGATTTACATTGGAATCGGAGCTTGAGCAGAGGAATACCATAGTAAAGTTTCAGAAAATTAGGGTTGAATCCACTTGGGAGGACCTGGTCACCCATTTGACCATCAATCAACATGTCATCCCTCCCATTGACAGCTTCTTCAATCACCATCCCTGCAGAAGAATCTGCTCCAACACACCAAACGTACACATAAGTGAAAATTTGACTTCGAATTCCGGAACAGGATTAAACAAAATCGCATCTCCGGATGAGAAACTCTCGCAAAACTTAAGTTGAAGAATTTGGATCGTGAAACCCTAGAATCGATCAAACGGCAAGCAGACGAAAATGGTTCCTAGATTGAGATTTTACATTTCATAGGGGACTTCATAGTTCATAGCACTTCTATTTGTAAGTTTTCTAAAAAGCTAGAACTAGCATCGTCCTAGCAGCCGAGATTTTGATAAGTTCACCTGAATCGTGCCCTCGTCACCGACTGAAGATTTAAGAAACCCGCCTCTTGTTGAATCGCAGAAAACAGAAAGCAGCGGCCCCGAGGCTCCTTCTCTACGATGTAAAACGCGCGGCGGGAAGAACGGCGGCAATTGCTCACTTAGTTGAAAATGAAAACGGGACTCAGATGACTCTTCTTGCTCGCCGACGTCGAAACTCGAAAGAGTGTGTGAGATGAGTTTTTGAGGAAAGAGAACTGTTTAAATTGTACTCCCTTATCTGGCGGGAAAACCTCCCGCCAAAATCGTTCAGAGGGTGCCTTCTTAGTTCCTACTTCCTGATCCAATAATTGAACTTGGGTCAACCCTGCCTGTTGAACCGGTTCTATAATTGGTTCTTCTTCACAGATTTGTGATCACACTAACTATTCTTGCAGCAAGAGTCTTACCGTGTCTGGAGAACTTATACTTCTAGATGTGAAATGAACTCGGTACAAGCCATAGATCAAGCATTCTTCAAAGAACGTTCTTGTATATGTTTACCTATTCGAATCGTCTTAAATGTGATGATGGAACTGGCTCCTGTGAAGGAATTTGGTAACCCAAACAGATGCCAAATGAATTTCAGAGTTTCACTCTCTTCTCAAATCTCTGCTATGAATAATGTGTTGCTACCTTTCATTTCTGTGCAAAGTTAAACGGGTAAATGACACATTTGGTCACTAAGATTACTAAATCGTGTCATATTTGGTCACTAGAAAAATTTAATATCAATTTTGGTCACTCGAATTACTGACACACGTCACATTTGATCACTCTTCTGTAGCCTATGTTCAACTCCGGTCACTCGAATTATTGAAAAATGTCACATTTAGTTAAACTAACTTATGAGAGCAGTTTAAATTTGCTTCCCTGAAATCAATTTTCCAAACATGAAACAACCACAACTAAATGAGTCTCATGCACAAATACTTCTCTCAAATCAGTCATCCATACAACCACATACTCAACATATATAGCAGATCCCATTAAAAAACCATATATAGCAGAAGACCATAGAATCACAGATCGTATTTAAGCGTATTGCGATTCAATACATATAAAAATCATCTGATTCTCTGTTGTACAGACTACAGATCTGGAAGACTTTCAGTGTTGCAGAACAATAGTAGCTACAGACCGAGTCAATAGACTATCGATCAACAACTGTTTCCCCTTGCCACAAGGCACCAATACCTGGTAAATTGTGAAAATAACCTGAACTAAATTTATTATAAACCTTAACAAAGGACACTAAACGATGGACAGTTAGATTAACCTTTACACTTTTCCAGGACATCTCTACTTCTGCATAATTGTTTGCAAATCAACGAACAGTCAAAAAAGGAGATATATAGAACCGGAAACAAAGAAAAGGCCTCGATGGACACTCCATGGTTAAGCTATCCACAGGTTAGATGGGGAGGAAAGTCCACTAGTTAGCTCTAGCAGCTGTTAGATTTTTCACCACTTCAAGAATACGACAGTAATCGTAAAACAGAGAAGACTCTCTCCCCTCCAGGCCGTCCCTGTGGTGCCTGTTGCTACCAGCTAGGTTGTTGCATGGACTCCCACCGACTACCAGATCGAACCCTCCAACAACAGACATCAAGTGCTCCAGCCGCTCAGCAGTCACTTTCTGCACATCGTCAATGTCGATCAGCATGCCCTTCTGCCCTGTCTGCTCCCACCAGCACTTCATAATCCCACGGTTCACCTCTGAAATCTCAACAGACACCACATTCTTCAATGGCACTCCAAGCCGATAGAGAGCCACTTCAGCACCACCAATCCCGGAGAAGAGAGACAGCATATTGAGACCCTTCGGAAACTTCTCCTTCAACACGGACAGGTGGAAGGCAACTGTGTCAACCTGAAATACAAATTCAAAAGAACCATGAAATAAATCAGATCTGATAACAGACAGTCACAGATTACATAAGGTGTTGTCACTCCTTTCCCTAAAAACAAAAGATAGCAGACAGTAACTGCAGAGACAAATTAACCTTCTCATCCATTCCTTTGTTCATGTTTACATTGCAATAATTTGATTCAGTGGTCACTGTTTACTGTTCAGGGGGAAAGCATGCATTGTACATTCAGTTTGCTTATGGATTCACCCTAACTACAGATTCCAAATACAAGCTATTTATTCCTGAAGTTGATAACAGGAACAACAACTCAGTCTAATAAAAGATTCCAAGAAGTAACAGTAGCTACTGACCTGGAACGAGTTGCCGAGCGACTTGTATCTGTCTGTCCTACTAATCCCTCCACCCCTCGTGTGATTTTTTGGGAACCCCAGTAGACTTTCAACCTCATCAGGCTCAAGTGGTGCAACCTTGTTCTTCCCCACCCAAACGAGATTCCACTTGCGGCACTCGTACATAACCCACTTCTGTATCCTTTCTGGCGGATCTCCATCGTACTGCTCAACCGCCTTCCGGATCCTCTCGGTCAACTTGGCGCTACCATATGCGGTCTGCAAGCAGTTGAGCTTGTCACGAGGATCCCATCTGGGCCAAAATCTCTTTGTAATGGGGATAGCATCGTGAATGGTCTGTGGAGGAATAGGAAGAAGTGGAAATCTTCCTTCAATGGGGAGGTTGTGGACGTAGCCTCGTTTCCTTGCAGCAGCACAGAAATGTTTTGAGTCTACGAACTCTGGCTCAATGTCGTAGAGGCAACGTGAAATCGTCTGCCAGACTCCTTTCGGCGCTAGAGCTACATTCTCGTAGTAGAAGTAGGGAGGTCCAGCAGGAATCTTCCGATGAATCTTCCGAGGTATGTCTCCTGGAAGACCAAAGCCAATCATCGGGTTTGGAAGGCTGAGAATCTCATCATCTTCAGAAGTGATCATCCTCTGTTTTTTCCGCTGAAGGTCTCTGTCCAGATAGCTCCTCTTCTTCAGCTTATTATTCAACAAGTTTGGCTTCGACTGACCAAATACAAGATCAACAAACATAATAAGTCAAAGAGAAACCAGATATTTTATCAAAATGTTTCAGAAACAGAAAGGAAACCTCATGGTGTTAAGAGGAAAAGAATCACCTCTTCATCTGGGAACAAAGCATCTGCTTCCCTTGCCATCTGAGCAGCACAAATAAAATCAGTGAGCATCTCCACTGTGGCATCTGGACCTGAAAATCCCAACACTAGACATTATTATACCAAAAAATAATTAGAAGACAAAGATGAATTCATTCAGCTTTTTTCCGGAAAGCACAACTATATCTAGTGTTTTCCAAATTATAATCTGATACTGACAACTCAACAGCTTTCTCCCAAAAAAGAAAACAAAACCATGGTGGCATGATACAATTACACATACCACATCTCTCTATTGCTTTTGCAGCCTCGATTGATGTGTATCCCATCTTTACAAGGGAAGAGACAGTGTCATCTTCATCAGGCTCGATTTTTACATTAACCTGAAAGATAAGAGTCTTGTGTTCAAGGAATATTCATACAAAATAAACATCAGCTGACAGGATTCTGGTCCCAAATATTTTTCAATGGAGGAGTGTAAAACAATCAAAGCAGGTACCTCACTCTCACAACTATCAAAATCTGAAAATTCATCCAGAAAGCTTCCTTCAAATTCAGCATCAGAGTCCAGAGTAGGCTGATCCTCAGCAGGTTCTTCAATGGCCTGTAAGAAATTGGGCAAAATGAGGCATCAGCCACCCTTCTTTTCACATAGTAAGAATCATAAATCATCCAAAACCCAATGCTGGTAATTGGTAATCCTATACAAAGAGTAACAGAAAATTTCATGACTACAAGCTGGTTGCTTCTATGTTCATGTAAAGTGTAAACAAATCAAGATCCACCTGCAACAGAGGCACTTGTAAAGCGGAAGGAAGGACATCAGTCGACTCCTATGGGCTGGTTGACTCAATATCTCTCAGATTTCACATCCTCCCTAGGCCCACCCTCAAAGCTCCAGTCGACCAGAGCAGAGTCTGCATCTTGGATTTAAATTATGAACCAAGCACTTCTCTCTAACTAGTCTCTGGGTTTCACTACAGAAAAAACAGCCTGGTGGGACAGTCTCACTAACATCAAATCCATGTAGGAATGATTTGGTTGGCGCATTCAGTGGAGCTTCTCCACAGGCGCACCATATCTATGGAGAGACATACTCCACCACAGCTGCTTTTTCTACGACACTCCCTGTAGATGGCTCCAATATTGGATTTGGGAATGATCCCTGGACTCCCTATACCGCTCTCTCTTCCTCATTCAAAAGACCCCCTTTTATTCCCAAAATGTTGCTGACTACCTTATGCATTTCCTCGTCACTAAAGCTAGATGCAAAACTTATCAAAAAAGAGACACAGTAACAATGCACCGACCAGACATCATACAGTCCCAATATTGAAAATTTTACATAAGACAGGAATGTCCTTACCGAGTATGTGAGCAGAGTTTCCAGTATAGAGTCTGTTTTTTCCTCCCCTGAGAATATAGTAAAGTAAGGTTAAGATCTAACAAGAAAAGCTTTTTTCAATGGTGAAAATGACCACAAATATGCCAAAATCTCTTACCGATCTCCTGAATCACTTTGGCAACCATCTCCTTGGAGAAACCCATGCCAACAAAGTGATCAATCACCTTGGAGCCATTAGACGTTTCAGCAGGGCTCGAGGAGGATGGGCTTTCCCTCAGAAGAGTTTCAAGAATCGCATCTTCATTTTCCTCCCCTGAAACCCCAATTAGGCAGAAAACTTAAAGCCTGAACGTGTAGAAACATACAACTAATCCACAACATTAACACAGAAATGCCTTAAAACATCACTTACCATTTTCCTGAATAGCTTCAAACACCAGTTTCTCCGGGAACCCCATTCTGAGGAACCGATCCATCAATTTAGTGCCAGAGGAACCCACCATGGAGACATCCTGAGGAGGGGGATAATACTCAGTCAATCATGCTAAAAACAAACAGCAGACTCCTTTTACCGAAAATAACCATCCAAACAAGAGAAACGAAACGGTGGAAAAAGCCCTAACGCTTGAACAACGAACTCCGGCTATGAAACAGTTAGTAAAAGGTGAACCTTACTTCTTTCCGCCCCTCTTCCCCGACAAAAAGGAATTGTAATTCAACGAATTAACCTACTAGGTAACTAGTAGAGCTTGGAATTTCTTAGAATGAACTGAACCAAAGGTAGTATGCTCCAATTCAATTGACAAAAAAGAACCAAGCTCACAAGAAAGAGACAGAAACTGCATATATCAGCAGAGAACCACTCAAAGCATATAACTTGGAGCGGAAAGCTAGCCCCTCTATTTCTGACCAGCAGAGCCCTGCACTATATAACTAAGCTTCAAACAAACTCATCAATCTCTTGCCGATGAATCAACAAGCACACACTCTATCATGTGCAGTGGCATTTGGAGAAATAGTACAGGAAAGAATCAATCCAATACCCAGCCTGTATATAGAACACTAATTACAATCAAATTCTAATTAATTTCCAGTATGTGCTATATCTAATTGCATTAATTCCCAGCCATATAACAGCATATATGCAAATATAATACAGAACCATATTCGAAGAACTCTACTGGAAAACGGTTAACCGCAAAATTGGACAGGAAATGCCAAGCAATAGAAATCAAAACCGGAATTTTGAAGGAGCGATTGGTAGAGAAGAACAGGAAAGCGGGTGGCAGTTCAAAGAATTTGTGCCGGCAGAATGTGAACCGAAGGAAGAAATTATAAAAAAAAAACAAACGAACCTGTTCTCTCCCAGTCACAGCCGCACTAATCTGAAAACTCGACGGTGACAGTGGAGCACCGTAAGCCTCAATCTCCCGCTCGTCATCACTGTTCCAGCAGATATCATCATCGTCTTCCAAAAGCACCATTTCTTCTCCTCCCCCGAAACAGAAACAAAAGGAGCAAAATCTTCCGCGAACCCTAGAAAAAAGAAGAAAACACCCGAGACTTCAGTCTTCTGCTGCTAGCAACTCTATTCACCAGGCGAGGAATCAGAAATTTGTTCGTACCTGACGAGAAAGCCGGAATTTCGGGAGGACCGGAAAAGGGGCAGGGGAGCGACCTTCTTCCCCGGTGAAAATCCCTAATCGGTGGAATGTCGTACGGCTCTCTCCTTCGGCGTTCGCAGTAGGCAGAAACCTAGAGCCCCATCTCTTCTGCGCGTAGAATCGGCGACTGGAGAAGGTGAGACATGCAGGGGGGAATCGGTAAAAGAGAGGAGAGAGAAAGGGGTGTACAGTTTTCTACAAGTGGAATCTCACTCTCTCTCTCTCTCTCTAGAGAGGGGGAACAGGCGAACAGCAAAAAAAAAATTGGCGTCAAATGAAATTTTTGTTGAATTGAAACGGATTCCGGCGTTCCGCAGCTACGAGCCTACGACCACTGTGAAGACTGAAGAGTGTCAGGTGGGGTGAAGTGACAATTACAATTCCATCCTTTTCTTATTTTCTGAAAGGCTAGGTGGGTAATTGCCATATTACTAAAACAAATTGGAAATTGGGAATGGGAATTTATTTTTGCTTTTGACTGTGAGGATATTGGAAAATTTGGGGAAATATGTTAGAATATATCAAACTAGTTAAAAATATATATATATAAAGACTTTACTTATTTTGATTCTCTTGAACAAAAGGAGAAAGGCTCGAGAATGATATAACAGACATGGATATTTAGATATAGTGGGTGGTTGGCGATGTCTTATGCAATTAGTGTTTATTGTCCAATAGATGAATTTACTTTTTTGTTAATTTCGAATGTGACAAAATTACATTAATTGTTATTGATATCTTTTATTTATTTCATGTTTGTTATTATAAACGTGGAAATTATGCCGAAATAGTTTTGGTAAACAAGAAAACAAAATAAATGTTAGTTTTTTTCTCGGAAGTTCGTTAGATATGTGACAAATAATTGTCTTATCTGTCAATTGTCATGACGATATCGGTGGGCTAGTGGCAGCAGTGTAAGATTAGAAATGAAAAACTTGGCGATATGAAAATGAGAAGATGTTTTTTTAGCCGTTAGTTGATAGAGTTATTGAATTTGAATGGACAAATTAATGTTACCTATTTTCTCGCAATTTCAACGACAAATATTAAGTAATATGATATTTTTAGTAATTTCAAGTATAATTCATCCAAATTTATATGAATAAAAACTTTAAAAAGATCCATCTTATAGAATTTTTATTGTCCTCCCAAACAATATGATGAAACTCTAAAGAAATATTAAAACTTTGAAAGCAAACAATCACTATTCACTGTCACATGGTGTGTTTATTTCTTTGGACTCTATTGAATTTTGCAACACCCTTGTTTGTTTGTTTTTGGACTCCATTAGATTGTATTCTCTCTCCTCAATTATCAGGATCGCAATTGTCTTGTTTTAAGGAGAGAGTACTATTATCTATTATTTTAAATGTAAAAATGAAAATTTTATAATTCTTTTTTTCTTTAGCTGCCCCAAGAATTGCCATCCATTTTATTCAAAATTTACACTTATACCAAACTTATTTCGTTGGATCGGACCGTGCCACATTTCTTTGTTAGCAAAAACCACTTATCTTTTTCATTATTTTATGAAAGGAAAAGGATCAATTGTAACTTGTAAGTACAATTATATCCTTGTGTTTCGGATAAATTGTAAATTAGGATTGGAGTTGGACATATGGTAAAGGAGTAAAAATTTGTGAGCATTTTGAATATGCTAAAAAGGAGCAAAAAATCAAATGATTTACCGAAACAAAAAGGAGAAACCTTCTAAGGTAAATTTTAAAATAAAACAAAATGGGAGTCTGTAGTGGGAGGTGGTTGGTATTTTTTATACAGCTTGCCCGATGAATTTGTCCTTCATATTCGTTTTAAATCATGTCGAATTTATTGAATTATTAATTTTTTAATTCATGCTTATTATGAGAGGAAAATCTATATATTGTTATCTAAATCGTGGAATTGTAGGAAGTGTTTGAATTTGTTGTATATAGTTGACTCTCCTAATCAACATGAAATGGTAGTAGGGTAATAATATGAAGAAAAATTGATGTCAAATGATAAAATGTAATGAAAAAAGAAGTAAAATGATAATTTCCATGACCACAAATGCAATTCATCACTATTTTTTAGTCTTTTCCTCCCATAGTAAAAGAACCAAAAAAAAACCCCTTTTCAAAGCAAACACACATGTTGTGTTTGTTTGAGTTGAATTCCAACTTGTTTCATTTGCTCTCTCCTCAATTATGAGCAATACTATTGTATTTGCTTGAAGGAGAGATTACTATTTTGTCCCTTCTCATTCTTTCTGAGCAAGTTTTTAAATTTTTAGTTCCTTAACCGCCCTTATTCGTTGTCCTTCCCTGTATTAATAAATTACATTCTGATTGCACTTTTTCGCTAATTAGCTTTCCCAGAATTTAGATAATAATGGGATCGAGGGCATTTTGTTATTGGGCTGATGGGCTTTGTTTCATGTTTGGTGTGAATTCAGATTGAACTCTATGATTGATTCAGGCCTTTGCATCTTTGGGCTACCAATAACCCCAACAAATGCAATTCAAGGGTTGAGAATCCAACATCCAACCAAACAGTCTCGATTTCACTTTGTCTTGCTTAGTCGATTCACATTCTCATCAATATTATTCATGAAAATGAAGTCAATTTTATGATTAGTTGTTTGACGTTGTGTACATTTACCCATGACGAGAGGATAATTACTATAATTGGTATAGACTAGTTACCAACGTAAGAGATATCTTCTTAAATGACTCTTAAACTTGAGACATACCCTTGAATAAGCTAAAAAAATATCATTTTAACAGTGTAAATTAACATAGACGATGAGGTGAGGGTGGCATACTATCCCCAACAACAACAACAGTGATTATGAACACAACTTGAGTTGTCTGCTATGCTATAATTAAGTTGACAACGTTAGACTTATGATATCTCAGAAAATATCTGATATGTTATTACAAGTAGTAAATCTCGTAAGTAAAATAATATTACGATCGTTTAAGTGCCAACACATATATTAATTACTCCGTTTACATTCCATAATAATATATAATTTCTTGTGTACCTTCTCCAGCAATATAGATTCTGCATCTGGTACCTAACTCTATTAGCTAACTTCTGGAATGAACAATGATCTATTTTGGTAGGCAGAATCCATGTAGGTCCAACAAAGACTCACATGATGAACAGTAGGAATGAAACCAATGTGCCCAACGGATGTGCCGCAAAGCGCAAACCACGGATTTCGCGGCTGATTGAGATGGCTTAACAATAATTAATTACCTAACAACGGTACCTAATCTAACCAGTAGTAAATAGTATCTTGTTGCTTGAGAAGAATTTCATGACAGGATGGATTTGCGTCTTCCTTTGGAAACAGCATGGATCTAACAGTTTACAGTTATGTTGTCACCAAATGAAACCCAAGGATTTAGAGAAGGGCTAACAGCTTATGGAGTTATGGTCAGGCGCAAACATATCGCTCGGTAAGGGCATCCGGGTGATAGGTTGCAGGCGGGTGAGCTCCAATTTTCTTCGACATATCGTAATAAGAAAATAGTCGGTCGACTGTATCGCCGTCTCCTTATCATTGAAGTAGAACACTTACTCGAAAGCACCCCCAATCCTTTTCCTGGTCAGTCTTTCGTCGTCAGAATGTGCTTGTACAAGTCCAGCCATAGAAAACCCCTGAAATGTAACAGACCAGGAAATGCTAGAATAAGGAGATCAGCATTGTCCCATAGGAACCTGTAAAAACCCAAATGAGCCTGATATCAAGGATCCAATAGTCAAACCAGAAAATATCCAGGCACGAGAAGTGAACCGAACCAAAAGGCAGAGTTAAACCGAACCGAAGGCAATCAAGCTGGATTATCCCAACCGTGGCAATGATCAGATTTGGGTGGCCCTTCCAGGAGCAATCAGAACTACAGATTTAGCAGCCTTCCCTCCCTATTTTTGCCAGCTCTATGGTCTGTCATTTCAGCAGAATCTTTTGGAAAGATCTTTGCCCATGTCTATTGCCGCCCTGCTTGGGTTTATCTAATCGCTTTCATTATCCCTTAATTACCCGTCTATAATGGTCTCAAATAGTTGAAGAAAAAACATGTAGGGGACGGCTGTGTCTTTCATGTCTGACAGTTGACATAATAATGTAAACCCTTCACTGTTAGATGATCTCACGTCTTTTGTTATATACCTGTACTTGCTTGCATGTTTTAACAAGACCTCCAAATAATAGTCATTACACTTCTGATTAATAATGCAAGGTCCAATTAGCTCCCGCCACATGACGAGCATTCCATATTCATATCTACTCAGGAAGATCACTTCTAATCCAAGTGATTTGGTAGATTCTAAAAGAAAGATGACTTAGGGAATAATGAGATCACTTACCCCTCAAAGGTGTGGCTCAATGGTTCAAATCGACACTGTAGAGAATACCACCTATGAGGGATATCGACCAAGTTGCCTGCTTCAAATCCATGATCATTATGAATGGGGGGTTCTTCCTTTGCTTCGGCAAAGAGTCACTCGCTATAAAAATAAGAAGTAAGGAGATTAGAACAAGGGAGGGCATAATTTAATGTCTGGGGGAGTCAGACAGTTAGGCTATAGCCGGTCATGCAAGTAACTAACCGAATCAGAGTAACAGAATTCAGAAGCATAAAATAATTCACCAAGAACAAGTCATCAACCCAAATAATTAAACAAAGAGAATTTTCTGTTTTTTGTCATGCTCACAAGTACTGTTCATCTCATGCACCAACAGTAACCTATTAGTTTTCTTGTACTCCTATCCGTGAACTGTGATATTCCCTCTATATAAACAAACATAGGTTCCTATCCTACCTACAAACCTGCAGAAACTCCAAAAAGCAAGAAGCATCTATTCTTTCAAATATTAAGATGGGAAGGTTCTATAATGTTGCATTCACCCTCATCATTGCATCATTCCTCTGCTCTCCAAGAGCTGGAACTTGTCATGGTGATAAAGGGTTAGGCAAGCAAAAACAAGCTGTTGGTCATGGCGGCCAGGGCCGAAGTCTGAGAATGTCAAACTTCATGGGGGATGATGGCCATATGTGGGAGGGTGGAGATATGGATGCACAACCAAAAGGAGGAAAGAAGAAGGGCAATGTCTTCAGTGTATTGGACTATGGTGCTAAAGGCAATGGTCATTCTGATGACACAAAGGTGATGTCTTTTTTCACTTTTCTCCAAGCTCTCCCTTTTGTCTACCATGTTCTTTCTTTTTTGCTTTTCCCTGTTGGTCCCTAAGCATATGGGTTTTGGTAAAATTCAATATAGCAGCAGCAAATAGTGACATCTAGATGACTTGGTTGTGTCTTTTGATGTTCTAATTTGGGCTATTTTTACAAAAATGACGTATCTTTTAACACACTAAGAAAGATTACAAACTAAGGGAGATGGGCATGGTGCAGTCCGGTCCAGGATTGGGCCACAACCAAATCAACTGCGTATTCGATTTGATTTGGTCAATCGAGTAAAAATCTTGAATTTGAGAGTCAAAACCAAACCGTATTCTACTTTCTTCTGGTCCGATTCGATCAAAACATCAAATGGCCATCCCTTAAAGCTAATTGAGAGTACAACTTGAACATTAAACCCACAAAAATAAGACGGAATTGGCCACAAGAAAATGATTACCTGAACAGGTTGATGTAAATGCAGGCATTCGAGTCGGCATGGGCAGATGCTTGTCAAGTTGAAGGATCAACCATTGAGGTTCCATCGGGCTATGTTTTCCTTCTTCAACCCATCTCCTTTTCTGGTCCAGACTGCGCATCCAACCTCATATTTCAGGTAAATCTCAAGTAAGATTCCTAAAAGAACTCCATTTTTCTGTGAGGGTTCAATGCAATAAAGAAACTTCTATTTGGGTCTATTTGCAGCTGGACGGTGAAATCAAAGCAATAGTCAGTTCAGAATTATGGAGTAGCACAAGGCTTTTACAGTGGATAGAGTTCACAAAACTCCAGGGGATCACAATCACAGGAACAGGGATCATTGAAGGACAAGGTTCGGCTTGGTGGTACGACTCACCAGAATATAATCCAGGAGCAGAGGTATGTAAACCGTCTCTTTATGAACCTCAAACAAGCTCAAACCCTGCTACTTCAAAAGCTTCTTAGTTTCCGGTTTTAACTTGAATTTGATTCCCAACAGCTAGCTAGTGAGCTACACAGCAGCACCAAACCAACAGTAAGTAAAATCATCCTGCCGATATTTCTTCTTGGTTCAAGTATGGGGAGATCATTGACAGAGAGAGGTCATGGATTTGCCGTACCTATGCAGGCAGTCAGGTTTTATGGGAGCACTGGCGTCACAGTTTCTGGCATAACCATTCAAAACAGCCCTCAAACCCACCTCAAGTTTGATGACTGCACAAATGTTGAGGTCTCTGGGTTTACAGCATCGTCTCCGGGTAACAGCCCGAATACTGATGGCATACACTTGCAGAACTCCAGAAATGTCAACATCTACAGCACTGATCTTCAGTGCGGTAATTACCAAATCATTTTATGCATATAAGCTAATGGCAGACTTAAAAAATGGTTATTTGACTACACTCTTCCCGGTTGGCTTGAACAGGGGATGATTGTATCTCGATACAAACAGGATGCTCTAACGTAAATATACACAATGTGAGGTGTGGACCTGGGCATGGAATCAGCATAGGAGGACTGGGAAAAGACGGCAGCAAAGCCTGTGTTTCAAACATCACTGTGAGAGATGTGGAGATTCAGAATACACTAACCGGAGTAAGAATAAAGACATGGCAGGTAGGTAACATCATTGTTGGTCAATAAACCATTTAACCCAAATCCCACGAAACCCAATCCACCAAACTGACCCATTAGCTAACGCCATCTATAATCAATGAACTTTCAGGGCTATTGAATCAAGCAACTGACCTTTCTTTCAATGATCAACTGCAGGGAGGCTCAGGCTCGGTCCAGGGAATCATGTTCTCCAACATTCAAGTTTCTGGAGTAGAAACCCCCATAGTCATCGACCAATTCTACTGTGACAAAGAGCACTGCAGAAATGACTCGTCGGCAGTCTCTGTATCTGCAATAAACTATGTGAACATAAAAGGCACGTACACAGTAAAACCTGTGCACTTTGCCTGTAGTGACAGCATGCCTTGCAGTGGGGTATCCCTGAGTAATATAGAGCTCACTTCAAGGAAAGAAACTGAACAGCCTTACTGCTTGAATGCATATGGGGAACTTGAAACAATCACTGTTCCTCCAGTTACATGCCTGAGAAAAGGCAAAGTGAAACCTCCGGTTTACGGTTGCTTGGCTTAGCCTGGTGTTGCAAGGTGGCAACATGTATTGTATGATACATAATACGTATGTACCAATGAAGTAGGCAATGTTAGCCAGAAGCAAAAAAGTGCATCAGTACTACTTTAGAAAGCTTGCATCCATTATTACTGAATAGTGAATACTAGACGTAGAAGTAGATAAAGTTTTTGTTCTTTCTATCAGATTAAAGTGTTAGATATGTTTTTCCAATCGTTACAAAGAAATGTAAGAAAAAGGACGTGCAATAAAACAACAGATGATATTACAGCAACTGGTTCTCAGAAAAATGTGTTCTTACAAGAATATTGGTACAAGAGCCTATAGCATATTCAATATATCTGCCGACCCCAGAACCTAGAATTTCCATACCAGCAACTAAATTACCCTATCACTTTTAACCAACAATCTATCTCACAAAGCATGGTGATGCTCGGTCCACTTGCCAGCTCTACATAGTTTCTGAGCGTGGCATAGAGAAGTGGCGGAAGCTTTGATGACGATAATAATAACATCAAACTGAACCTGGGGTTCGAAATTCACATAGTTAGACCAAGTGACATAAGAGATAGAAAGAAACAGGTAAATGAAAGTTAGGTCTGATTTATGCTTTCCATGATACCTGATTTATCTGCCTAGGCCAAGTGTACAAAATCATGACTTTCCAAAGCCCACAGCAACTCTTTTTATTGGTGCTTGTACCTTTTCAGGGCTAGCGAGTCCAGTTTTGTCTTCATACTTCTTTTCTAAGGCCTGACAAATGCAGTAAAAGAAAAAAGACATGTAAGCAATTGCGATGACTGGAAATTAACCATAAGCTTGGTAATCAGTGTCATTCTTACACTGACCTGTAGCTTTGCAAAAATAGTTTCGAGTACTTTTCCTGTCATTCTATCAAAGAAAAGAATCCCCTGCAAGTGAAGCCATCTCAGCCAACAGATTCATACTTGACACCAAACGACTGATACCGTAAATCAAGAGTACTAGGAGCTTCAACTTGATGTAATCATTTGATTCACAGGAAAAAAATTTGCTCGAGTTTCAGGTGTCCATAGCAAATACTTTCACATGTACAACTTCATCAAAGCTAACAAAGGACATGGCACTCCACTTTTGAAAAACAGAATTCATTCAAGATTTGAATATTTTATGGTAAAGGTAATAAAGCTGTACTGTTGACTATATGAAGCACCTCCAAGTGGTCGAACTCATGCTGGAAAACCCGAGCTGAAAGCTCCGACAAGCTGATACTAAACCTTGCACCATTAATGTCCATAGCATCAACTTTTACAGATTCAGGTCTCTGTGAGAGAACAAAACAAAAGAAAGTTTGAGTTACCCACACTGCAACTTATTTACTACTTATGATCATGGTGGTTGCACCCAGAAAGACAAATGACAAATAAAAGAATACCCACCTCTACATCAGCATATATCCCAGGAAAGGAAAGACATCCTTCATTGAAAAGCACCCTCTTCTTTGAGATCTTACTAACTCTCGGATTAACGAGCACAATCTCCTCCCCTTCTCCCGGTTCACCAGCAGGATTAAAAACCATTAGCTGAACATTCACTCCTACTTGGGGTGCTGACAGTCCAATCCCATCAGTTCTGCCAATAAGGAATACCAACAAGTTTCAATTTTTATCCTATCTCATTGCTTAATCAAAAAGGCACCAGCGAAGATTGATATGCATTCAGCATAGTGAAACCAGAAACAAGAGCTTCCAAAACTAAAACCAAGTTGTTCTTTTCGCATATGGATTTTGGAACTGTTGAGAAACTTACTTGTACATAACACTGAACATCTCGTCTACCAATTTCTTCAAGTTCTCGTCAAAAGTACCGATTTTTTTGTTCTTCGCTCTCAGTAGAGGGTCTGGGTACTCGACAATTTTAAGCGGCGTCTCGAATTGAAGATCAGAAGCTAGTAAAAAAGATTCCCCGCCAAATGAAAGAGTGAGACAAATCGAAAGCAAAGTCAATCGCCACTAGCTCATATAATACTTAGGGAGTTTCTTACCAGTAGCTAGTTCGTCGTTCTTGGACGAGGACCCACCTCGCTTGGTCTGGCCACCGCGAACGGCCACGCAAATTGGTGGTTTTGGGCGGGTAACGGCAGTGGTGCTGGTGGAGGAATTGAAGCGAGAAGCTGAGAAGGGTTGGAAGAACGACGGACGGGGATGGGAAATGGGAAGAAAGAGAGCTCGTCGGAGTAAAGAAGAAGAACCTACGGAAGCCGCATAGGCCGCCATGGTCGCACCAGAGCCAAGCTGAAGCAGGAGCAGGAAGCTGTAGCCTGTGGAATGTGGATAGTAGGCACTAGGTACCCTGGGTTTGAACTTTGAATGGAAAAATTACTATCTGCCTCCTCAATGTTATAGGAACTTCCCATGCGGTTCGTGTGTTTGTGTAAATATCCTAATTGAATCCCTATGTTTTATTCTTTTCTTTTTATCAGAGAAGAATAAAGCGAAGAGTGAGAATGTCGTTAACATTATACTTAATTTAAACATCAATAAAATAGTTGGTTGTTAGGTCAAGGTCTCAAGGATGAGTTGTTTGAAATTGCACATATTTCCCTAAAAAAGATAGTGGGAAATCAACATTCATTGTTCAAAGTTGACACCATTTAACAACCAAATACTAACTAGTTATCATCAAGTAATGAAACATTTAACATCAAGAAAATCACTTAAATATTTCAGTTAAACATCACTAAGTTTACTATTTAACCTCTTATGGGAACAATAGCATTGTTCAAAGTGGAAGCAATCAACGAACAAAATAAGAGTAATAAGTATAACATCACAAAAATAGTCAACCATTTGTAAGATATAAGAAAATACACTTATTACTTAGACCATGGAATATATGCATTTATTAGCAAAGATGCAAACACTCGAGCCCAAACTTTTAGAGTAATCGCAGGTCCATCTCTCTTTTCGTATTCAAATTGTCTATCACAACAACTACATCTTGTTTGTTTTTGTAAGTCGATAATGCTAAGAAACAACATATATCAAGATTTATTTAGCATAGATACAATGATAGCTTTCAAAGTTAGTTTCCATACCCATTATATATTCTGGTAACACTAGTTTCAAGATTTATTTAGCATAGATACAATGATAGCTTTCAAAGTTAGTTTCCATACCCATTATATATTCTGGTAACACTAGTTTCCTCGACATTGATTGGCTAGAGATAAATAAGCGCTCCCAACCATGCTAATTATAGCGATTCGTACACTACACCATTTACTTAAAAAAAAAAAAATGAAAGTCATGACATTAAAGCAAAGCGAAAGACATTAGATAGAAATATGATTTACTTTGAATTAGGCCAATTTCTTTATTGACGAATTTCTTTCATCGATCACGAATCATGAAAAACTTTTATTAACGAAAATTTTTCATCTATTAATCGATCACACATCATAAAAAAAACTTTATTAACGAAATTTCTTTCATCTATTAATCGATCACACATCATCATGAAAAACTCTCTGTCTAACTAAAAGTCCATGATTACCAAAACCAACCCATTAACCATACCGTATCATGTCAGTCGGTTAAGTGGCATTGGCAAGCTGCCGCCGGTCAGCCCAGAACTACACCGGCGGGCGCCAGCCAGGTCACAAAACTTTTCTAAATATCTGAAAGTGACGTCAGCAAACTCCAGCCAACTTCCCGGTTATAAATATCAGAACTTGCGCGTCGACCATCTCTTCTCCCGCACTCTCTCTCCATCTCTCTAGCTCCATCTCCTCCCTCTGCACCGCGTATCGTCCCCCCTGCGGACTAAGGGAGAGAAGCGAGCGAAAGAGGCAAAATCGAGAGAGAGAAACAAATATATAGACGACGACGAAAAAGCTCTAGGCAGTTCACAGCCGCCCAATTTCTCATAGCCACACCTGCCGTCCGTGGAATCTCGCCACCAATCGATCTCTTCTTCTTTCGGTACGATCCTCTCTCCGATTCCGATTTCATCAAGCATTTTTGAAGTTTCCCATTTCGGTTAGCACGTCTCAGATCTGATTCTTCTTCCGTGCTTGTGGTTGTTGGTTTTCCCTTCCTTATCTCGTTGGCTTCCCTCTGGCCGGCGGTAGAATCCTAGGGTTTTCTGCTGTACGATTCGGTAGGGTTTGCGTGGTTCTTTTGATTTCTGGGTCCATGAGGGGAAATTAGGGTTGTGTATTGCGTTTATATGGCCGATAGATGAAGGTATGGTTCATTATACGTTGAATTGGAGGCATACTTCTCATGTATTGGTTTTTCCGATAAGAATGAGGCTGGAACGGTTGTTGTCTCAGTTACTAGACGGAACTAGGTTAATTGCTTTCTGTTTTGGTGTATATATCTGTTTGATTTTGTTCTGATACGACCTCGGTTAATTTGAATAACCACAAGGCAGTTCATTGTTTGAATGTTTCTTGGAAATGAATGTTTGTGAGATGTTATATATATCTGAATGTTTGTAAGATGTTTTATATCTCTGAATGTTTGCTTGCGGATTTGGTGTACATATCTAATGCTTTTGCTGAATTGGTTGCATGTAGTTTGGTTGTGGTATCAAAGTTGTTGGTTTCGATCGACATGGCTGCTGCTACTGCTGCTGCTCCACGGTTTGCGCCAGAAGACCCTACACTTCCCAAGCCCTGGAGAGGATTGGTTGATGGCAAAACTGGGTACCTTTATTATTGGAACCCAGAAACTAATGTGACACAATACGAGAAGCCTTCTGCACCATCTCTTCCATCCAAGCCACCTTCGGTGCCCATCAATTCCTCAGTGCAGGTACAGCAGCCTTCTCGCCGTGCGTATAGTCCTGAAAAAGAAGAAGATAGGTATGGGAGGAGTAGCAATGGTGCACCAACTAGAACTGAAACTGTTGCAAGGAGTATCCAGGTCCGTGTTAACTTGCCATTCCCACTTATGTTAGCCCAAATGTGAAGTTCTTGTTGTCTTTCTTGGAAGTGATTTCTCCTTTCCCATTTGTAGATAGGATCATGTATTTTGTTTTCTTTTGGGTTTTGGGGGATGATGCACGTATCACATTCTGAGAACTTTGGATTATTGAAAAATAACTTGTGGCTCCTACGTGCTTTCTGTTTTATGTATTGCCATTATCTTCTCCCCCGAAACAGAGGTGAAGTTTAGAATTATAAGTTCTATACTAATTTGTGCTTTTCGTTGGCTACTGTGCTTTTTTACCCCTCAGAATGAAAGAAGTTTGGTTTCACAAAATGGAACAATCAATGACTCTGTTGGATTTGCTGCCAGAGGACCTGCACCCTCAGCAGGTGGAAACAGTTTATCAGCAGAGGCATACAGGCGTCGCCATGAAATTACTGTCACAGTGAGTCAGCTTGCTGTACCTTATTACTTTAATCTATCCATCTAACTATTGTTCTTGGTCTCAGAGTGATTTTTACCTTGTCATGTATTCCTTGTGTTTGTATTCAGTAGTACTCAACCTGATATCGAGTAACGATTCTCCTTCATTAATTAATTTCCTGTGGAAAAATGGTACCTGGTCGATTGCTGCAATCAGATCCGAAAAATGAGAAATTGATAGTCAGTTGCATGAATAAGGCAAATTAAAAAAAAAAAAATCTCTCTTGATTTCTGAAACATATGCAATTAGACATTAGTGAACCCAACTTAGTCCTGGGTGATAAGAATACGGAATGGCAAACTTTATTTATCAGTTATTTCAACTTTTTAAAGGATTCGTATATCTTTCCTTAATTAAGGATGCAGAAACTTGAACTTGTCATTTGTTCTTTTTTTTATTGTAAATGACTAGTATTCTTCAAGATTGCGATTATAGTTGTTGATCTTTTGTTACGATTGTTTTGCAGGGGGGTGATGTGCCACCACCTCTTATGTCATTTGAAGCCACTGGGTTCCCTTCCGAGTTACTAAGAGAGGTATGGATTTATTTTTCAGTTTCTTCATTCTATCTTGGCCGAGTAAACATATCACCTTGAGTTTGTAAGTTAATGAAACTATGAAGTTGCGGTTTCATGTGCTAAGATTTTCTAATAGCTGGGGACCGCAATGCTCATTAATAATTTTTTGCAATGTACTTTTTTTGTCGCAGGTGCGATATTTGCTCCTGGTGGAGCTAATGTCGTACGCTGTGTTGCCCTTTCTTTGGGGGTCCCTTGTAATTTGGAGCGCCCTTATTTTGCTGGACAAATTTTGAGAAGGGCTTTCCGAATCCCCAAAGTTCGTGGCTGTTACTGCCAATTGGTGATGATATAGCACGCCACTCGGTCAATATCAGAAGAAGAGGCCTCCTCCTGCTAGAGCTTGCATTTAGCAAGCGCTGACGACTGCATGTGGGGGATGGTGCTTCTTCTGCCATTAGCCACTCACTCCATCATAGATCTGAAAAGAATTCAACCAGAAAATCTTGAAGCCAGTCGTGGCCTTATTGAAAATTGCTGGATTTTTTCTTTTTCCAGGTATACAGTGCTGGGTTCTCTGCCCCAACTCCAATTCAGGCACAGTCCTGGCCTGTTGTTATGCAGAGTAGAGATATTGTGGCCATTGCCAAAACCGGTTCTGGGTAAAACCCTAGGTTACTTGATCCCTGCCTTTCTCCATCTCAAGCGTCTTCGCAATGACCCTCGAATGGGTCCGACTATCCTGGTATTGTCACCTACAAGAGAATTGGCAACACAGATTCAAGAAGAGGCTGTGAAGTTTGGGAAGTCATCAAGAATTGGCTGCACGGTGAACTACTTTTGCCTTTCCTTTTTGATTTATTTTTTAATATAAGTTGTCTGCTTTACAGTTCAGCTTGCTTATAGCAGTTCGGTACCGAGTCCTTCTCACTTGGTAGCAGAGTATATTTGTGTGCTTGTGGTGTCTAGGGTGTAGGGTATTCTTTGTAGTGCGACTATCTATTATTTGTCCTGGGAGAGTTATATGTAATTGGTATCTGTAACATGTCCTTTATTTCAGTGTTTATATGGAGGAGCACCTAAGGGTCCACAACTAGGTCAGTTAGACAGAGGAACTGACATAGTTGTTGCAACTCCTGGTCGTCTGAATGACATTCTGGAGATGAGAAGAGTAAGCCTTGGTCAGGTATCATACCTAGTTCTTGATGAGGCTGATAGGATGCTGGATATGGGGTTTGAGCCTCAAATACGGAAGATAGTTAAGGAGGTCCCTTCCCGTCGTCAAACCCTCATGTACACAGCAACTTGGCCAAAGGAGGTTCGGAAAATTGCTGCAGATCTTCTGGTCAATCCTGTCCAAGTGAATATTGGGAATGTCGATGAGCTTGTGGCAAACAAGTCTATCACACAGGTCTGTTGGTCTATGAAAATTTTGCTACTTATGATTTGCAGAGTCTTTCTACTAGGAATTTTGTTCATGCAGAAGTGTTGAAATACTGATTGAAAAGTGGACGATCTTTTTGCAGCATGTTGAGGTACTGGCATCCATGGAGAAACACAGGCGTTTGGAGCAGATACTACGCTCCCAGGAACCGGGATCTAAGGTTATCATCTTTTGTTCAACCAAGAAAATGTGCGACCAACTTGCTCGTAACCTTTCTCGTCAGTTTGGAGCTGCTGCTATCCATGGAGACAAATCACAGGGTGAGAGGGATCATGTGCTGAGTCAGTTTCGATCAGGGAGGGCTCCTTTGCTTGTAGCTACTGATGTCGCTGCTCGGGGGCTGGATGTAAAGGATATTAGGTTGGTACCGCTTTCATTTTCCTTCGTACTTTGAATAAACCTCTGATTTTTTAATTGCCGTTGCTTGATGACACTCGCTTATTTTGTGGGATTTGGTGAATGACGATTCGGTGATCTTATTAATCCGTGGGTGATGAGATAACTTCGGAAGGTTCCTACCCTAGTTTGAAGGATTTGATGAGTGTGTAAATGATTTTCCTAATGTATTTTTTGTGTGCCACCTAGGGTATTATAATTAACATGGTCTATGCTTGTGTCTGTATTTTTCTCTGGCTTTAAATGTGAAAAATATTATCCTTTTCTTTGAATTTGCAATTTCACTTAATTGCTTCTTTTTCTTCTTGCAGGGTGGTTGTCAATTATGATTTTCCTACTGGCGTGGAAGATTATGTGCATAGGATTGGCAGAACCGGAAGAGCTGGTGCTACAGGTATAGCTTATACATTCTTTGGTGAGCAGGATGCCAAATATGCCTCAGACCTCATCAAAGTATTAGAGGGTGCAAGCCAGAAGGTTCCTCCGGAGATCCGTGATTTGGCCTTGCGAGGTGGTGGGGGATTTGGTAGAAATAGACGATGGGGTAACGGCAATGGTGGAGGTCGTGATTCTGGTGGCCGTGGTGGTGGTGGTCGTGGTGATTTCAGTTTCGGTGGGAGGGATGCCGGCAGGGGCAGTTGGGCTCCTAGTTCATCTAACAGGTACACTATACCTTATCATCCTCAATATTTACTAGGAAGTTAAAAGACCCAAGGTTTAGTTTAGCGATAAAGTGGGATTATAATGTCCACCACCTCCTGGATTCAAATTTTGTAGAATTTCTCCTGTCTAAGCTTGTGTTGTAGGGGTAAGCAATCTTTAGGTTAGACCGGATTGAATTGTTGATAGTTCAGACTGAAAAAAGTAGTAATTGGATTTGGTTCTGATTCCCTACAATTTCCCAAAGAAAATATTTTGGTTGGGCTGAATTGATACCAGGCTGGAGTAGATCGCATAGAATGCTCTTTCATTTGTATTCTGGTCCTCGACTTCCCTTTTCATGTTCTTGCCTATACGGCCAGATTATTGATTGGACTGGCCATTGCTGCTCACCCCTATATGAAAGTGGTAACTGTTAGTCTGTTACTAATTACTTGCTTTCTTATTACAGGTATGATAGTCGTCCTAGTGATGGATACGGAGGAGGACCGGACAAGGGGTCTAGCTGGAGCGAGCGCCCTGCTAGTAAAGGGTGGAGCCGCGATCGCAGCCGGAGTAGGAGTCCCGGACCTGCTGGCGGTCGTGGAAGTTTTCACATGGCGATGATGGAGCGTAGCAGGAACGGTGGTGGTGGTGGTAAAAGTCCGTAGAGACAGATGGGAAGATGTAGTGATTACGGGGAAGATGGCCAGGAAGGCATGAATCAGGCCTGAACAGGTCTCACCACACAGAAGCATCTCGGGTGTTCTACTATTAGCAGTATTATCGCTAGTACTACTACTACTAGTACTAACCAGGTAAAAGAATCTGAACAAGGACGGTGGTAATTCCATTTTTTGTACGACACTTCCCTTACTCTGAAGGTCATCTTGGATGGGGAGTGTCAAAAGTACGGCAAATTACACTCTTTGATGAAAATTTGTTTAGTTTGGGAACTCTGTTTTGTTAGGGAACTCTGTTTAAAGGTTGGGAGGTAAACTATGGGCATGTGTATGTAGTGTGGAAGTTTGGCGTCACAGACAGAAATATGTGTTCATGTTTGTATTAAGTTTAGGTTCTGTTTGGAACACGGCCTTTCAGTCGTTGTACGTACTTTTCTTCGGACTGTTCGTCTATCAGGGTTTCTGTTTTAGCTTCAGGTAGTCTTGTAGGGTTTAATGTGAGTGGTGACTGGCGAGCCATATCGTAACTAATGACATATGCTAAGGTAAATTTCATTCTTCTATTACGAGGACCATGATGCATATGTTTGAGGAGGCTTCTTTGTCCCTAACGAATGAGGGTAATGCAAAGATCATGTGGTTCGAGTTATAGCCTTGTTTGTGGCTACTGGACACCCTAATACAGTATGTACATGCTTCAAGTATACACACTGTACAATTTCGTGCTTTGTTACGAAGTATGAGCGTGTGACTGGCTCTAAGGGGTCGTTCTCTAAGGGGTTGTTTGGAAGTTGTGATTATTCAAATTGATGTATTAGGTCAATTAGTGTATTATCATTTGATGTATTGATTCAATGCATGTATTATGAAAATACTTTGTTTGGAAGGGCAATGATGAAACAAAAAGTAGGGTAGACAATCCCTCGTTAACAATCTCACCTTTTAGTAGAGATTTATAATCATTCATTTGGAGTGATTGTAGGTGGGCCTAACAAAAAGGTAATGCATGCATTCTAACTCAAAGTGAACCAAAAAAAACGACTTAATCTTATCATGACATGTATTTGCTAAATTCCTCACTTCAAATCTCAACCTCCAAACAACCCCTAAGTTGATTTCCGTCCCTAAGCCTGTTGAAATAATCGGTTAAAAAATACCCTGCAAGTATGTACATGCTAATCATAAGATAGTCTGCTGCTTGGAGCCGTTTAAGAAAGTCAGAACCTCTTGGTAGTGCCAACTGCGTATGTCCTCTCTCCCTGCGCTGCTGCGCATTGAGATGAACGATCATCAAAGCAAATTAAATAAAAGTGATACGAGCATGGAGCTGATGTGTGTAGTTACAGTCAATCCTCCTTCATACCTCTCACCCACTTAAGTCTCTCTTTAAATATCAATCCAATAGCATTTTTTTTCTTCATGTCGTCTCTTCATATAATTATATTGTTTCCTTTTCTCCTCTCTCCCTCTCTCTCTCCCACCCATAAAAAAAAAAAAAACCAATTGTGTCCCCGACTATTTGTCTGTGCTTCTTTCCTCCTCTTCTTACGCATGGACTTCAACACAAAACTGACGAGAGACGAGTTCCCTCACATTGATGATCACCATCACCATCCCCACCAAACTCCAATCAATGGGTTTCTCGACTACTGCAATGGTGCTAACAGCTTCTCCACGGAAGGATTCCCTTCTTCTTCATCGACCCCATCTCGAAACAAACCAAAATCGTGTTCGTCCGTCTTCCCAACACCACCTTCTCCTTCGAGTACCGATCCCATTCGAGATCTAGCAAGGTGGTTCTCACCGTCATCAACCAACAACAACCACCATCACCACTACCATTTCCATTACCATAGTCACGAACTGCTCATTCCAACTCGTACCGACGAGATCAATTTAAACAATGATCCTTCCCTAAAAAGGATTGACGAGGATGGCACGATGGAGAAAGATCAAGAAATTCAAGAGGAGCAAAGTAATGATGAAGAGACATCTATGCTAGTGATGAAGGGGAAAGATGGATCATCTTTATCAGGGCAGCCTCCGAAGAGATCTGCATTCAAAGGCCAATGGACCCTTGAAGAAGACAAGTTAGTTCTCTAATTTGATCTTTACTATGGTCTATTTGGGATCAATCTCGTTCATATGGTTTTTTTTTCAGAATGCTGGTTCAATTGGTGGGCGAGCATGGACTCAAGAGTTGGTCTCAAATTGCTAGGATGCTTGGTGGCAGGATTGGAAAACAATGTAGAGAAAGGTGGCATAACCATTTGAAGCCAGATATCAAGGTAATAACATTTTTTTTTTATAGGAAGGTAATAACATTAATGAGTTCCCCCCTTTCTATCAATTATCTTATTGCATTACTTAGTTTTCCATAAAAAAAAAAAAAAACATTTGGAGTCTATGGCATCATCATCATTGCATTGGTGGTGTACTATGTGATTCAATTTCAAATTTCTCAAAAAATAATTTCAGTCTTTGTGCATGTTAAGATAAAAAAAAGTAACGCTTCTTCAAAGCATTTAATTCTTCAAAACTGAAACCACGTGTAATTTTAACAATGAATAGTTGACACGTATCATGTATGCACTGGATGTCATACGTGGAGTTCTCCTCTATTGGTATTTTTTTTTTACTTGGTGCATGAGAGTAATGAGTTTACCATGTGAGGCCAAATTGTCTTTTTGTGGAGTGACAGCTAGACGTAATTAAAACATTAAAAGGAGTTCCACAATAAACGTGAACATCTGACTATTGTTTGATATGTTTGCATATGGTAATATACGATACATTTAGGTTTCGTTGTATTGTACGTACTAATGTTATAAAGCGATCAATTTAACATTGCGTGAATTTATCATGAAAATAAAAAAATTACAATTATTGTGAGATCTGAAATTTCTATATGTCTTAGCAAACAATTATTTGAGGCTTAGGGGTTTTCATTTTTCACCAAAATGGGCTTGAGATAATAAATGATGTGAGTTGCAGAAAGATGCATGGAGCAAGGAAGAAGACGAGAAGCTAATCCAGGCCCATATGGAGATGGGAAACAAATGGGCCGAAATCGCAAAGCGACTCCCGGGCCGGACCGAAAACAGCATAAAGAATCACTGGAACGCCACCAAACGGCGCCAATTCCCTTCCACCCGCCGGAACTACCGGTCCCCTGAACCCTCCGCCTCCGCCGCCGCCCTCAAGGACTACATCCACGCCGTCACCTCCCTGTCCTCTCCCAGCGTGGAGAAGAAGATTCTCACTCCCGCGCCATCGAATTGGGCGAAAAAAGGCAACTTCGCCGCAGGGTCGTCGTTGTCTAGGGAATCCGAAGCTCCTGCCACCGCCGTCATGTACGATCTGAACGAGGCGTCGGAGCCGCCGTTCCTGTTTGCCGGCGACAGTGATTCTGAACTCGGCAGCGTTAGGTTCGGGTCTGCTATGGAAATGCAGGAATCTTCGTTTGCTGATAATCGTAATGCGAATTCATTTGGGATGTCGATTGATAGTTACGCCGGCAGTTCGGCGATGGTGAGGCCCAGCAAAGGCGAGGAAGAGAGGGAGGATGCGGTTGAGATGGATTTTCTGGATATGCTGATTCACCAGTGTTAATTATGTCGATTTTTCCTTTTCTGAAAACAGGTTAGGCCCCAGAGGGAATTAGAGGATTAGATTTAGGGGTGACATCTCAGGGGAAGGCTGGGATGAGTTGAAATGGATTCATGAGTTGAATTGAAATGGTTTCTTGATTTCATGCATTGTTTTTAAACTATATAACAAAAAGCCAATGTCCAATCTAAAAATCAAGCTGACAGCAAATGACAACCAACAAGTAGAATCCGAATGACTCTAAATGAAACCGAAGGAAGAACAAAAGTACAGAGCAAACCCCAATTGGTGGCTCATGGCGCACAAACAGAGATGATCACTGCAGAACTGGGCTGATGAGGGAGTTGTTGGTGGTTGGTTCTTGCTACCCGAAATCATCACCAACCTTGAACACCCTTGCAGCTGCTGCTTCAGATGTGGCTACTGAGTTGTTGATCATCAATTCATCATGACCAAGGGTGCTGCTGCAGCAGCAAGGATGGTGGAACTGTCGGAGAATAATGCTTGCTTCTTCATTTCCGCTGTTGATGGATGTAAGCAAGAATTTCCGGGTGATTGGGGTTTGATCTCTGCGAAAGTTTGAAGCTTTTTTGGCGAGGGAGGGAAAATGTTGAACTGGGTTGATGGAGTTGGAAAAGTGTGAGGGATGATAATGGATGGGATTTTCCTAATCCATTTTGACATACTCAAATTCATATTTGTCCCGAGTATCGAGTCGATTCATGTTAGAATTAAATCGAATTGAGATAATATCTGATCAGATTTAATTTTGAACCATTTTTCTGCCATACTAACTTGTTGAACCAAAACCGAATAAAAATACATTCGGTCCGATTCGACCCAGTAGAAATAGTGATCGGATACAATTTGATTTGGTATAGACCTGATGGTTGTCCACCCCTACCCATGCCCATAATTCATAAGGAGGGAGGTTTTGCAACCTCATCCGCATATTCACGATTTTAGATAACCCACCCATCTCATACATCCAACGTTGTTGTAACTAAAATATATACATCTTCAATTATAATACTATACAGACCTAATAAATTGTGAAATCAATAAAAAAACAACAACTCTTAATACGAATTCAAAGGATCCAATCCAAAAATATCAATCAATCTATAAGAAAAAGTACAATACTATCCAAATAATTCATTTCTTACTCTGATACATCTACTAAACAACAAATAAATAAAATAATCTTTTGTTAACAAGGAGAAAATAAGTGAAAGAGTGAAGGGCGAATTGAGAAAAAGAAACTTGAGTTTGGTTTGGGTGGCAACTCACATAGCCACACCGCTTTGGGTGTTTTGTGGGTGGTTCGGTTTTAAAATACATTTCAGCCAACCATTTACTCGCCCCGTCTCTTACCCCCTAAGATTCATCTTTAATAACTCTTTAACAACCTTTCCATTCTTGTGCTTTTTTAATTTAATTTCTTGCCTTTTCTCCTCGGTCTTACATATCTCCCCGGCCATATAAAAAGCGACTCTATGTTGTACTATTGTTATCACTATATCATTCTGTTTCTCCCTTTTCTTCTTCTTCTTCCTCATCTTGTGCATGAATTTCGACGCACAACTTATGAACTATGAGTCACTTTCGTTCACTAGTCTTCTCGCCGATGAGAATCATCCAATACAACAAAGACTTGAACTAGAAAGTGTCGTAGGAGGGCTTCACAAAACACCATTTTTTCCCTCCTTCTCTTCTTCCTCACAGTCTCTTAATGACTTACTTGTTCAAGAATTCCCTCAAGTTGATGGTCAAAATCATCAAACCCTCCAAACCCCAATTAATGTTATTCTTGGCTATAGCAATAATCCCATCTTCCCATCCCCACCAACCAACAACAACCATTTCCCTAACCATTATAATGGAAAATTTATTCAAACTCATAACATTGAAATCAATCAAAATGATGGCCCCTCGCAACAGAATAATCTGCACTTTCCGAATCCTTCCCGGAAAAGGATTGGCGAGGATGAGGTGGGGAATGAGAGATCATCAGTATCAGCAAGATTTCCAAAGAAATCTATAGCCAAACAGTGGACTGCTGAAGAAGACACGTTAGTTATCTAATTTTTTTTATTATTGTTGTTTTGGTATAGATCTCATTCACAATGACAATTTCTCCATGAATTTCCCCCCAGAAAGTTGGTTCAATTGGTGGGTGAGCATGGAGTCAAGAGTTGGAGTCAAATTGCTGGGAAGCTTGATGGTAGAATTGGGAAACAGTGTAGAGAAAGGTGGCACAACCATCTAAAGCCTGATATCAAGGTAATTTAGACATCAATTCCTCCCTTCAATATGATCTATCAATCATCTTATTCAATCTATTGTTGTGGACGTACATATCAGCATTCGGTCAGAATTGACTTCTATTTTTCTCAGTTTTGGAATTGTATTTTTTTTAAAAAAAATTGTATTTGATTTACATTTCAGAGTTCGATGATGCATGTAAAGATACATAAAATACTACTGTAACCGTAATTTTAGATGATATTTTACATTTGTCATGCATTCATTGGAGAGTCATACGTGGAGCTCGCGCATCTATTTTGTTGTTAGATTTTTTTATTGTTGTTTTCTTGGTGCATAAAGGAGTAATGAGCTTACCATGTGAGTGAAATTTTCTTTTTTTTTTATATATAAAGTGACAACTAGAAGTAATTTAAACAGTTGCATAATAAATTGTGAAAGTTTGTCATGAAAGAATCACGTTTACCGTTAACAAAAATATGATACGTTAAAATTACTTCATGTTATATTTACAATGATTTATGATATCATATCACATCGAAGAATGAACCATAAAAAAATCGTGTTGTTCGTCAAAGTGCTACGATACATAAAAATAGTCTTTATAGGTGGCACAACATGGTCAAACAACCATATACAGTTTACCAGCCGGTTTTATTCGGTATTATAGTGCTACTATTGAATGCATTATCTTATTTGAACATAATTTGTTTAATCATCGATTAATTTAGGCTGTCAGTATGAGTCTTCACCATATGTGACTGGTAAATATCAAATATGTGTTGGTTGTGGGCTGCAGACAGATGCATGGAGCGAGGAAGAGGATGTGATATTAATCCAGGCCCATAAAAAGATGGGAAACAAATGGGCCAAAATTGCAGAGCTACTCCCGGGCCGGACCGAAAACAACATAAAGAACCACTGGAACGCCGCAAAGAGGCGCCAACCCATTTCCACCCGCCGGAACTACCGATCCGCTGAGCCCTCCGCCTCTGCCGCCGCCCTCAAGGACTACATCCACGCCGTCACTTCCCCATCCTCGCCGTCATTGACGGAAACAATTCAAAGTCCCGCGCCGTCCAATTGGGTGGCGAATAGCAACTTCGTCATCGGCTCGCCGTCTGAGGCAGCAACCGGTCCGCCTGCCTCCGGCGCCATGTATGATCTGCACGAGGCGTCGGAGCAGCCGTTCCATTTCGACGCCGACAGCGATGGGGGATTCGAAGGCGGAGGATTCGGGTCTGCTGTGGAGATTCCCGAATTTTCGTTTTCTGATTTCAGTAATACGAATTTGTTTGGGATGTCGATTGATAGTTACAACGGCGAGGTGGACGGTCCGGCGATGGGGATGGTCGGCAACGGTGGGGAAGAGGCAGAGGGGCTGGGTTTGCTGGATATTCTGGATGGCAAGTGTTAATTATTTTTGGTGTTTTTTAGAATTATGTTTGGTAATTTAGTTATGGAATAATTGAGCAATTAAGTTTTGATAATTTATCAATTAATGCAGAATTTGTTTGGCTGTTATCATATAAACTTATTAATGCATTACTCATTTGGGAAAAGGGGATGTCTTTTTCCATTAATGCATTAAAGGTGTTTTTTTTACTCGAAACTAAAGGAATTTTATGAGTTTAATTAAGATTGTTTTCTTTTTATAATAGTTTCTTTTCTTTTGACACTTTCTCTTATTAAAATACTAAAATAGTATGGAACTAAAATATTTTTTTTTTATTTCTGAGTGATATCAATGGAGAAAAATAGTTAAACTTACAATTCTATCCAGGACCCCTAAAAGACACAAAATAAGCCACCCCAAAAAAATCAAAAGATTCTACCTCTAAACGAGACAAAAGCAGTGCTTTACGCGCCACTCTATGGGCAACACTGTTGGCGGATCTAGGTACCGCCCTAAACTCTATACAAACAGACAAAGAACTAAGGATCCGATGACACTCTCGTAACGCCGGACCACCAATCGAGTCTTCTATGACGCCTTGACGAACTTGTTTGACGACCACTTCGGAATCACCTTCGACTATCACGTGGGTCAAGGATCTTGAGGCTACGATGGAGATAGCATCTCTAAAGGCTAGAAGCTCTGCCAGGTAAGGATTGACTATTCCTTGAAGCTGCAACCCAAACGCCAACACCACATGTCCGTCTGACCCACGGATAACAATCCCAGACGAACACCCAGTGGCACAAGATATTTGATAAATGACTATCTATTTGTTATAATTTATTATTTTATTCTTTATATTTATCGTAATTCTTTTATATCATATACTATTTGCATAATTTATTCCTGTGAAGTTTCACATGCATTCTTTTCATTCATTAACTTCATGATATATCAACAAATTGAGGAAAAAATTTACACAACTCAGTCAGCCTTGGGCTTAGGCGTTATCCTTTTAGCTCTAGAGTACAAACCCACTCCTAAAAGCGCCATTGCAGTTCCTGGACAAAGTTAACAAACCAAACCAGTCAGAGAAACTGAACTTCCTAACATGTAATCAAAGGGTAAGCAATTGCCTGAGACGCAATCAAATCAAGTTCAAAGATGAAAAGTAATACCCAGAGAGTTGATTGGAGTGACTGGAGTGTGGAAGAAGAAGATGGAAGACACAATCACCACAACCCTCTTCAAACAATTCCCTACTGCATGGCTCACAGGATTCACCATCCCCAGTATCATGTAAGACACCTGCAGTTTCCCAATCACCCATTTCAGTACCCCAAACAATGGAAACAAAGAAATGCAAGTGAGGCAGGGGAGAAATGAGGCCTAAGAGGGGGGATTACTTGTTGGTAGCTATGGAAGCAGAAGCCAGCAAGTAGAGATCTCAAGCAGAGCTGCTTCACATTCAACCCTTGATTCGCCTTTCGTCCAAAAACAGTCATTACAAATTAGATCTCTCATCAAGTGGATTAGTCATCTGGAAGCACATTGATGTGTAGGGGATGTTAGAAGAGACTCACAGCAGACTTGAGATATGAGGGTGTGAACTTGATCCCTTCGATGTAGATCGCCGAGGGAACCAACAGGAGAAACGAGATGATTGTTATTACTGAGAAGAGGTTGACATTGTCCAGAGTTTCCTCTTTCTGAACCATAAGCTTCTTGCTGAGTACATTCCTTGATTGGTTTGTCACATTGGAGGCCATTGCACTGCAGAACCCTGTCCTGTTTTGCACAATAATTCTTTCTGTTCATATAAAAAGTAGAAGAGAGAGGAAGAGAGAGTAATGGAGGTTTTGGTTTTGGGTCTCTCCTTACCAATTGAAGGAAGCTTCTGTCAGTGATGCCAATGCCACTCCTCCAACTATGGGCAGAAGTGAAGAGAATACCCAAATTGTGGGTTTCTGTTGTTGTTTTGTTTTGGCCCCCGAAAATTAGCAAGAAAGGAACTTTTTGGTTCATTAACCATAAGAAGAACTAAAAGAATGTTGGACCCATCTGATAAATTAATTTACTTTACCTTACCTCTCCAAGGAAAATGGCAGCAAATAGCACAGTGAAGAATGGTTCCATGGCCTTGATCGTGTGGGTGAATGAAACAGCAACTTTGCCAAGGCTAACATTGGTCAGAAGGTTCCCCATTGTGTGTGCCAGAGCCAATGGGATGATTGCTGCAAGCTGACCAAAGTAAAGTCACCAATAAAGAAAAAGCTAGACATCATAGTGAAATCTACAGTAGTATAAGATGTATTCTTCATCCTATTGTTCAACAATTCTGAGTTATAGAAAGAATCTGCTTTCAAATTAGTAGACTTTGAATACTTAGTATTCACTATCTCTCATCCACTTGAGTTATTGAGTATGAATGAATACGATTTTACCTTTTCACTACTAGAACAGCTAGTCTTACCCATTCGATTTTCGACCTGGTTTAAAAAAGAGCTGCTGGTATACACATTTGATCAGAGCTTCTCTAAGGAAAGTTACCTGAGATCGGGTGAGTTTAGGGACGTGGTAGAGTTTCAACCCCCACATTGTGAGAACCATGAGAGTCCCACACCCAAACTCGAAGGCAGTCACCGTTGCAGGAAATGGATACACCTTCAGAACCTGAACAAATGTAGCCCCCCCCACAGAGAAAAATGTTCAAAAAGATTCAATCTTGATCTGATAAAGGAGGAAGAAGAAGAGAAATGACGGTGAGAATTGAGAACCTGCTTGTTGAAAATGTTGAAGTAGATATTGAGAAGGTACCAGACGCCAAACATGGCTCCCAGCTTCAACGTGCGAGCTAGCCCAGTCAATTTCTCGCCGTCATTGTCGTCTTCCCCTGAATTCTCCGAAAGGGCTCCGGCGGCTCTGGCCGCCACCGTCTGGAATCTGCCATTTCCAGGGAGAGAGACTGGCGCGAGGAACAGCCTTTTCCGGCATGGAAACGGCCGAGGAGAAATGGGTTTTGATTGGTTTAGGCAAGTGAATCTCTGGTTGGAGAGGCTTCTGTATGGAAGTTTTCGTGGTTTAAGCGATGGGTTTATTGAAAGAGACGCAGCGGATGCTGTTATGCCCTGCATAATTCTGGTGGTGGAGAAACAATGGGGTTCCTATAAGTTAAGGCGACGAGAGATTTGGGCATTGCAGCATTGTGATTTGAGCACAGAAAAAGATCTTTTTGAAAGGGTTCCTATTGACTATTTTAGTAGTATTTGCAGCCTCAGTCTCTGTGCCTAAACTGGTGGCTCTGTGGTTCTTGCTGTCATTTCTGATGTGGAAACTGGGAGTGCTGAGGTGTCACGTGTCCATTGGCCTCCAGTTCATTTTTACAGAGAAATTACTTACGTCTTAGATAAATTCTTCTTAATTTTTTGAGTATGACCAATCTGTACTAGAAGATTAGTCATTGTTGTCTTTACCTACAACATTGGCCAATTGCCATAAATGATGTGCAAATTTGGAGGGGGATGGGGGATGAATGGAAAGTGTGAAATAATGGGATTTGGTTGTTGCTACTTTGAGGTAAATAATAGGACCAATGCCTCTTTGTTAGGAAAAGTGGGAAATGGAAGGTACAATGGTCTAAGATCAGACTTATATTCCAAGGACCAAAATCTCCAATAACTAGCAAGCATCCCATAGTAAATCACTAGAAACACACGAAAGTATGTAAAGATAATCGTCTGGCCCTTACAAATGAAAATTCCAGAGTCTAAATAAGAAATATTAAGTTTCAAACGATCAATAATATACATTTTTTCCCCATGCATACAAGTGGCGGTTTGGGTGTTCTACCTTGATATGATTGCTAAACAAACACTATCTAAGTGCTAATCACTACGAACTCATGACATTATGTAACAACAACCGTTTGACTATGTGGAACGGAAATGCCATATAAAGAGACATAACAAAATATAACAGGTTTCGAATGACAAATAGGAGATCTATTTAAGACAAAACATGAATAGTGTAATAAATAATATTGTGCATTTCTTTGTGGCACTGGCACGCATACATGTGTTCTATATTGATATGGTTGCTAACACTATCCAAAAGTTTGTTGCTACATATCATGACAATATGTAACAACAACTATTTTCCTTATCAACTGGAAATGTTTTTCAAATAATCTTGACCCAAAATAACAGGTTATCGAACTACGAATATTAAATTTTCAAAGATGAAACGTGAATATATGCGAAGAACAATGAAATTATTTGCCATGCCCATGCATACATGTGTGGTGGTTGGGGTGTTTGAAGTTGAACCAAAAAGAAATTGGCTGCTGGAAAGATGTGTGGCATGTGTTCCTCTAGGCCCAGCCAGCCAGCATTAACAGCAAGGAATGGGTGGATGGACTATCCTCTATCCTTGAGAGAAAGATTGAAGCTGACAGTTAGTTTTGGTAGTTTGCTTTGGCCAATTAGGAATTTAGGATAGTGTTCATCAAATTGGAGCAAGCCAATATCATTAGAGTAGATTATTTTAACCATGTGACCAATTGATGGATTGGCTGACATGAACAACAAATAGATTGACTGACTAAAAAGAAATTTAGAGTCGCCATCTAACAATAAATATAAATTCAACTGTAACGAATTCAAGAAAATATAAACGATTCACAAATCCTTCCAAGAAAAAGGAGGTGGTGGTTGACTGGTTGAATAGACAGACCAAGTTGTATGGACGACCGACTGCATTTGTACTCTTTATTGCCAAATCAATTTTTTGCATATGTAATTAAATAGGATAAATACAATATAGTAGCTAGAACTATTAAGCAACGGGGAATAATAGCCACAACTATCGAAATACAAATTATTAGTCAAACGTTAACTTTCTGTTAACAATTCCATTAATAATGCTGACTAAACTTTATGATGCTGAGCTGCTCCCACGTGGCAGTCACCCTACCACATTTTTTATTTTAAGAAAATGAAAAAACTAAATAAATTATAAAAATGAAATAAAAAACCCTGTCTCCCTCTTCCCATGTCTTCCTCCGCCCTCTTCCCCTATCTGCTTGATAGCTACTTCCTTGCCATTAGGAAGCACTCCGAACCCACCTTGTCCAAGCAAGTTAGACACCCTGCTGCTGCTCAGGTAAGTCAGCTGCTGAGGTGGCAGTGGCTGTCTCGCAAGCGCTGGTGGCCTAGGTGGCAGTTTTGGTATAGATGCAACCACTCGATCCGGCGACGACGGAGCTATCTGCTGCCAGTTCTGTTGCTATTGGCAGTCGTACGCCATTAATAAAAAACCACTCCATCAATTTTCTAGAATATGGTATGAAAATTTTCATAATGAAGAAGGAGCATATCTGAGTATTTTTTACCCAAGTCAAATGTAGTGAGAGGATATTTTGTTTTTTCCCGACAAAATTTGCCAATTCCAGTTTGGAATTCAAAGGGGTGAAAGGAAGGAGAAAGAGGAAAATCGAACCTTTAGGGCCATAAGAAGGCGGTGGTGGAGGAGCGTAGTAATCGGCTTCATTGTCTCCTCTCCTTCTCCTCCTCTTTCAAGGAGCGAACCACCAGAAGAAGAAGGCGGGAGCGGGCAGAGTGAAGCGTGGAAGGGGTGACTAGGGTGGGGGTGGATGGCGGGGTCATGGAGGATGAGGATTGCGGAGAGGCGGAAGCAGGCAGAGAGGCTCACGACCGAGTGGGGGCGGATGGCGGGGTTGTGGAGGGGGAGGATTGCAGAGAGGCGGAAACAGACAGAGAGGCTCACAACTCGCCAATTTTTAGGTTTATTTTTATTTTTTATGTATTAAATTATAATCAAAAGTAGTCTGACGTGGCCTTCTTCGTTAAAAATTTAATAATGGTAACGGGGTGTTAGCCAAAATTTTACCCCCAACAATAGTTATGGCTAATAATTAATATTTTCATAGTTGTGGTTGTTATTCCTCGTTGCTTAATAATTCTGGCTAATATATTGTATTTACCCAATTAAATATTGTGTTTAAATTATAGAAAATAACGTAAAAGAGAGAAGAATTAATATAAATTTTTTCCTCATTTTTTAAACCTTTTTGACTTGCATATGCAATTGCAAACACCCATGTCATGTCATCTTACATTTGAAAATGCAATATCAATGTGAATGCTCTTAACCGATTCAACCGACTAGTCCATATAATCGTGACTGATAGTGGTTTACAAATTTCAATAAGTCAATCACTAATTCCACTTAGTTAACAAGTCAAGCCATTTAATCTTATAACTGAAAATGCAATTCCAATGTGAATGCTCTTAACGGTTTCACCTGCCAGTTCTGATTATCATAATCAGAACTGATAGTGGTTTACAAATTTCAATCAAGTCAAGCACTTAGTTAAAGAGACCCGTACAAAGCAACTGTCCTCAAAAGAAAGTTAAAAAACTGATAAAAATGTCCCATATTTATCTACTAGCATATTACCCGGCCCGTTGGCCGGATTGCTGTATATTACCCACTTGTGGAATGGGAGAGAAAGCAAGTGAGAGTGAAGGGATTGGGATCCCACTTGATTAGGACCGACCCACTAATCCGATTCTTCCCGACCCGCCCCAACCTAAAGGTTCAGAAAGAGTCAATAAGAAAATATGGACGGAGAGGATTAGTCATATATCTTGACTCTTCAGAAGTGGGTCAAACAGGATCAAGGTTGGTTGAGGGCAATTTTTAGCGCTAAGCAAAGTTCTGGGTTGAATACCTTTACTTAGGCCTAGAAATTGGTGCTGATGCAAACTATAGTTTTTATTATACCATCATCAATCATCATTGAATTATTCCTGGCATCCCTCCCCATTTTCGGTCTGAATTCTAATGATGACTTCATTCATTGCACCAGCCATATCAGCGAGTTGTCATCTCGAGCATGATTTGCCTATGTACAAATGATACAATTAGAGTATGAAACTGAGTTCAAAGAAAAGGAAAAGAGAATTCTATCTCATGCCAATAAATACACACATAATAGTTGAAGCTAAGTGAAAGTCATTACTCGCACATCAATTGTAAAAAATTACAGACTAAACAATGGCTAGAATGGCACTGAAGCTACCAAGAATCATGGACGAAACAACTTGTTAAAATAAATAATCCTTATACTGAAACTACCTTCTAACTTGAAATAAGACATGATCACTGTTCATAGCACTCTTATCACTATGAATTGGTTGCAGCTCGTCCTTATCACTGCCTCCCAAGCTCAATTCAAACAGAATAGAGACCGTTATGTAAGATAACCATATCCTTACTGATCATAATTCCTTTCTTCACTCCATTTTTGTCGGAGAAAAGAGTTATCCCCCTCTCCTGCATTTCCCTTTCCCCCTCTCTTCTCCCTCTTCTTCACAAACCGATCCCTAAACCAGCAACAACAACACAAAAATAGTCTTCGCCTCTGCCATCTCCATCTACTGAATGCGTTGGTGGCAAGACAGGACTGCAGAAGCAAAATTTTCTAAAATCAAACTAAATTTTTTGAAGGAGACTCAACCACGAAAAAAGAGTAAAGCAACAATGCTAATAGTTCAGATGGTTGGTTTTGATGTTATATGTTGCTTTTGTTATGGTCTCCAGTATATCAACTGCAACTGAGATTTTTCCTCCAATCATCTTTAGTGCACGATTTAGAAGTAAGTCCTCTTGTTTGTGTCAAACGGAAACATTCATGGGTTCTTAACTCCCCTGTTAGTGTTAATGCAGCAGCAGCAACAAAGAAGTTTGACAACACAGCAAGCACCCAGGCAAAATGATACAATGCAGTAGGTGATATGTGTCTCGAAGGTTTTGAGTTACTAAAGTTCATGTTAAAAATAAACATGAATTAAAATGGATTATTCTATTAAGCAAACATCCCCTCTAATCATACAAAGATCAGATATCCAATTCACAAACAATTAAGCCATAAAAAATCATCACACATCCACCCCCTTTGATTGCCTAAATTTGGTTTTTTGCAAAGTTATGGACTCTTAAGGGTAACGTTCATGGGTAGTCTGTTTCATAACTCTAGAGAGCACAGTAAGCAGCCACCAGCCAGACACAGTGCGGTAGGCGAATATGATTCTCAATTCACACTTTCTCACCACCGGAAGTAAGAACAGACCATAATAAGCGTAGCGTTCATGGGTGGTCTGTTTCATAGCACTACTACACAATTTGTTAAAAAAGAAAGAAAGGTATTTAGCATCAAGACGGAACAACTTTTACAGGCCAACAACGACAACATGCTGCAACCACCAGAACT